ACCTAGCTATATGTTGTGTGTCGTGAGAAGGAGATGTATAACCTAGTTATATGTTGTGTGTCGTGTATAACCTAGTTATAGGTGTGTCGTGAGAGATGTATAACCTAGCTATATGTTGTGTGTCGTGAGAAGGAGATGTATAACCTAGTTATATGTTGTGTGTCGTGAGAAGGAGATGTATAACCTAGTTATATGTTGTGTGTCGTGGGAAGGAGATGTATAACCTGGCTGTATGTTGTGTGTCGTGGGAAGGAGATGTATAACCTAGCTATATGTTGTGTGTCGTGAGAAGGAGATGTATAACCTAGCTATATGTTGTGTGTCGTGAGAAGGAGATGTATAACCTAGTTATATGTTGTGTGTCGTGAGAAGGAGATGTATAACCTAGTTATATGTTGTGTGTCGTGAGAAGGAGATGTATAACCTAGTTATATGTTGTGTGTCGTGAGAAGGAGATGTATAACCTAGTTATATGTTGTGTGTCGTGAGAAGGAGATGTATAACCTAGTTATATGTTGTGTGTCGTGAGAAGGAGATGTATAACCTAGTTATATGTTGTGTGTCGTGAGAAGATGTATAACCTAGTTATATGCTGTGTGTCGTGAGAAGGAGATGTATAACCTAGTTATATGTTGTGTGTCGTGAGAAGGAGATGTATAACCTAGTTATATGTTGTGTGTCGTGAGAAGGAGATGTATAACCTAGTTATATGTTGTGTGTCGTGAGAAGGAGATGTATAACCTGGCTATATGTTTTGACTAATCTTACTTATTATCTCTATATCCGTATTTCCTGTGATATTGGTTACCATGTATGTTAAATGTATCCAATAGTTTCTGCCTTTTTAGTTAGTGCCAGTATAGGTTATCACACCGTGATCATGTTAGAATCTATTATTTACACCAGGTCAGAAGGTTAGTACGGGGGTACTTGAAGTCCCGTACCGTACCGAGTCATCTCTCTCATAATAATAATGTACAAACAGGACGTATTTGAAAGATGACACTTGAAATACATCACCTTTTTGTACTTTCATAAATATCATTTTAATTGATTTTAAGTGGAAATGGGGTAAAGTCAATCCGGTCTTCAGGGATTCGGTGATTCTGTGTAAGAGTTGGTATTACTAAGTTTCCTGTATAATAATACTCTGTCAAGTGATTCATTCCGGAAATTTGTCGCGATGAAATTAATGCTAAAATCACATAGCGATACCGTCTGTGGGATGTAACTGTTTATAGTATCTACATGTGTAGATATAACCATAACCTATATGGATGTGTGTGGAAACAAGAGTATTTAAAAATAGACCGCAGATTGTCAGATAAGAGACACCATACGTTGTATCACGTTCATCGAGAATCGAACAGATGTCGCGTAAGGGTACGAATGCACTAAGCGACTATCCTTCAAAGCATCAAGGGCATTAAGAAAGAAAAGTTAACTCACCTGTAGCTACATCATTAAGTACACATATATCAAATGAAAAAAACGGCATCATCCGTTACCTAGTTTATGCTGAGACTGTCGCGGTAAATCTTGGTCATATCACATGAAACGAGGTCAACTTGATTTCTTTTTCTAGTATTAGATATGAACAAACCAATATTTAACCTAACAACTATTTAAGTGTTAACAGTCGTAAAACACTGTTTACGTGATAAGTAAATGTTTCCTGCTCCTCAGGATAGTGGCCTTAAACCCAACTTATAACTTCGACAATCTATTAGCTATTATAATGCCATCTATTAGCTTTTCAGGGTAAAAGTGTTAAGTCAACACTCTGATAATGAATAAGACCGAGACTCGAACCTTGGACCTCTTTTTAATGGAGGTAAGGCCATGGACATTATCAATCTCTGCTAGAGACTTACAGGATACATATAAAATAATGGATGTTTATTTACTTTAATGTAAAAACAGTCATGCAGCTAGTGCATAAGACATCTACTTCAGAATTTCTCAATAAATGCCACTTTTGTTCTGCCAGTCACGACTACTTAGATGCTAAATACTCAGTAAAATGTAATTTAATTTTTGTACTCTCAAAGATAAATAAGTTTTGTGATAGCTCAATTATAACTTATTGCAAGCTATAAAGGCCAAGTTACCTCCATTCCACTATTTAACTGGCTATGAATTTGTAGAGTTTTATATAATATGTATGTAAACTGATGAAAACCATTCCTTTTACCGGGTAATAAGATCTAATCTTTTTTAAATCCAACTAAACGAGGAAATCAAAGTTCATCATATAAATCACACACCAATATAAATGAGCTTCGTGTTCACATTGGTTTTATTAACATTATTTCTGTAACTGGTATTAGTAGTATAAGACCTCGATAAAGTATGTAAACATGACAGAAACACGTGACAGTACTACAAAATAGGCACGCGACCACTTCAACTTCAAAGGCTCTCTCTCTCTCTCTCTCCCTCTCTCCCTCTCTCTCTCCCTCTCTCTCTCTCTCTCCCTCTCTCCCTCTCTCTCTCTCTCTCTCTCTCTCTCTCCCTCCCTCTCTCCCTCTCTCTCTCCCTCTCTCTCTCTCTCCCTCCTTCCCTCCTTCCCTCTCTCCCGCCCCCTCACTCCCTCCCCCCTCTCTCTCGCTCTCTACACGATTTAGTCATGTTAATTACTATAGACTAAAGACCATAAATTAGTCATGTTAATTACTTCAGACTAGAGATTAGTATTTAGTCATGTCAATTACTATAGACTAGAGGTCAGTACTTAGTCATGTCAATTACTATAGACTAGAGGTCAGTACTTAGTCATGTTAATTACTATAGACTAGAGGTCAGTATTAAGTCATGTTAATTACTATAGACTAGAGGTCAGTACTTAGTCATATCAATTACTATAGACTAGAGGTCAGTACTTAGTCATGTTAATCACTAAAGACTAGAGGTCAGTACTTAGTCATGTTAATTACTATAGACTAGAGGTCAGTACTAAGTCATGTTAATTACTATAGACTGGAGGTCAGTACTAAGTCATGTTAATTACTATAGACTACTAAGTCATGTTAATTACTATAGACTAGAGGTCAGTACTAAGTCATGTTAATTACTATAGACTAGAGGTCAGTACTTAGTCATGTTAATTACTATAGACTAGAGGTCAGTATTAAGTCATATCAATTACTATAGACTAGAGGTCAGTACTTAGTCATGTTAATTACTATAGACTAGAGGTCAGTACTAAGTCATGTTAATTACTATAGACTAGAGGTCAGTACTAAGTCATACTATAGACTAGAGGTCAGTACTTAGTCATATCAATTACTGTAGACTAAAGGCCACAACAGCAATCAAAAAGTTATTCTACTTAACATATTACACAGATCACTTAAATAGGTTAGAAATAACAATATTCGAATAACAACAGTTACAATATACAATATATATAAAATGTGTTACAAATCAGGACTAATCTGGGTTTTGGGCCAGTCCCTACCATTCAGAGCTATAAGCCCTATGAGTAGAGTACTAAAAATAGAGGAAAATTATGATGAATTAATAAAATATTACTGAAGGGATATCACAGAAACGTGTCAACAATAATCTTACTAATACCGTTTACTTCATAGCTGGACCTGGTGAGGAACACTTCAGTAGAAACACGCACTGACTATCAGGAGGTTTTCATTTACCGTCACAATTGGTGAATGTTCGGAAAGATCCCGTTCATGAAATCGCATGTGAGGAGATTTTGACCGCCTTCGCAATTTCCTGGAACAAATTTGTTGAAAAAATTTGACAAGACAGGGGGAACCTCCATTGGAATGGTATGGAAGGGAAGCAGCATGTTACAGTGCAATTTAAGATTACGACCTTTGCCCGATTCATGTTTCACCTCATATACAGGAATGTCACTGTTTGAGGATATTCATCACAACAGAGTGTCCACGTTCCCAGTCAGTTTATGCTCTTGAGACCCACCATTCTTATGAGAACACGGTCTCCAATTTCCAGCTAAGCGAACTGATCGAATAAACTTACTTTTTGTTCTGTGCTGATCCCTTCGCAGCCTCATTCTGTACGGGTTTATAGGCATGCTCCATCCTAGTTTGCAGCTTGCCAACAACTGTAGGAGGTATGTATGATCCGCCGCACCCTGTTGACAGGGATCAGTACCTAACAGGAGTTAATGGCGGGAATAACCTATGGCATCACTTCTGGTTCGATTGTAAGCCCGATCAGCACCTTTAGCCCCATATAGATTGTCTAGCATCCTGAGAAGGGTTTATCTAAAAGTCTCACCTGAGCCATTTCACGCGTCCTTAGTTATGCTTAACAGATATTACTATTCGAAGGACTACACCAGGTTTTCACCATATTGGTCTCTAGCGTTATTTCGCACTATGTTCTGCGACCTGAAAAATCTCTCTTGAATAACCAAGACATCCCATTTCTTATTAAACTGATTGTTAATAATTAAGTCAAATTAATGTAATGAAAAATACCATATTGCTAAAAGGTATCTAACCATGATCGGTCATATGTGCACATGAAGGCTGACCTGGACTGCGCATGAGTGCAAGCAAGAAACATCAAGAAAATACCAACATAATCATAATCCTAACTCAAATTCCTTAAAACTATAACAAAATATTACTTAAAGAAAATTTTACGGGGAGACTCCTGAAAAAGTACAAGGTGTTCCGTAAAGATGGCAAGCTTAGAACCGCGTTATCCTGGCTGAACTATTTCTTTCTTTCATTCATTCTTCCTTTTGCTTTTACGCAATGAATAAAGACAAATGATGCAGAATACATAATCGTGAAACAATTCAGAATTACCTTCCTGTGGAGATTTCTTACCACACTGATTAGCCCAACATGTAAAGCATTTTTCATTTATCAAAAGCATATATTATAAAATGTATGACAAAACATCACAAACATATAAGTACTGAATTCGTGACATATAGATAAAATGAGAACATTTGTTCCGTGATTTGAGCTCTTTTGTAATCTACAACACACCTGCACATCCTAACAGATGCTATACGACCATGAAGCTATTTCCCTTCGTAGTGATTTGTCGAAGAATCCATAAATTACTGGATTAACAATGTTGTTTATTATGTACCAAGCGTTAGCAGTACGTAACCCCAAACGTTCCACTGTTGATTTCTCTTCCCAGTCGTTTCTGTCCAGAGGACTCTTTACAATTGCAATCAATGTTGGCACGAAACACAATACATACACCAGACTAATAACGAGGAACATTATCGATATTCTGTTACCCGCTGTCTTCATTTTCCTCGAAGTCTTTCCGTGTGGCTGACTTGACGAGAGTTTGGTCTCCGTAAAAGTCGAAGGATTTTCTTCATCGAGACCATCGGAGGACGAAGACACGCATACTGCTGGTTTTTGCATGCTTGCTCTGCTCTTCACACGACTATAAATGGTTTTCCCTATCATGAAGTACAGAGTACATAATATAATAAGATTTCCAGCACAGATCACCAGAACCAACAAATTGTACACAAATGGAAATACCTTTGATCCCATAACTTTCACTGAAGCACATACGTATCCAGTAACATTTAAATGCGTGTTAGTTATTGGTACTATTCCCGTGGTGAACAAACTTGGAATTGAACCCAGAAACATAAACATTAGCATTAACAATACACTCATTCTCTTTTTTCTCAATGTCATCTTCGGTTTGAAAGGTCGACAGATTAACTGGAACCGTTCAATGGCAATAATTGTCAGCATCAGTGCTGATGATGCTGCTGCGAACTGGCTCAACATGAAGAAAGTTTTACACAATATAACACCTGGGTAGCGTACTGGATTAAAATTGATGATGAGATTAGCAGAAGAACAAATCACACATGCCAAGGTGTCTATACCTGCCAGGTACGGAATGAAGAGTCTGTCCTCGGGTGACTTTTGGAATCTGAACTTATAGATGTAGATGACTGCTACATTACCAAGAAGTCCCAACACAATGTATGCAAAGAGTATGACGGTATTGGGTAGGAAATCTCGGGCCAAGCGACTGTTCAGCTGGTCAAGAATACCTTCATTAAACGTTAAGTTATCCATTACACAGGTACAAGTAATGGAACTGATAAGTAAGACCAGATGGTCACAACAATCTTATGTATTTCGATTCGTATAATGTATAATCTTACACAGCATCCATGAAATCCACGAAATGATGTGTAATAGCGGATGTGATTTACGTACTATAGAAATGAACAAGTATCACATCAATTGCCCTATTGATCCACTTACCGGTCCTAATATTCAGATCTGTCTGGTTAAAACAGTTTCCACAAAGTACATCTTAGATACATGGTTAAAATAATAAATCGGAAACAGTATATAATTAGTATATATATATATATTTTTCATTTAAATTTTAAGTTATGTATAGTGAAAAATTAGAACATTTCTTACACGGTTACGCATTCCTCTTGTATTTTGACTAGTTTAGGATGGTACAAGAGGACAGAACAAACACTAGACCTGGATTCATATTAGTGACTAGGAAGAATGCATTGTTACTGTTGATTTTGAAATTCTTCACACAGATGAACATATGGTTTGAACAGTAGTATATTCATAAATTATTGCAAGGGATTTCTCATTATGAAGAACGCACAAAAATAAATTGTACCCGCAACCTATTTGAAGCATTCTTATTCTAAAAAATTATTCTTAAAACCGAATTCAAAGGTAATTATGCAGATAAGTAATTGGCATTTGCTTTCACTATTATTTTACATGTTTTATATCTTATAATGTATCTGAAAGAAAAAGGAAACAGCCTCTAAACCTCAACATAGGAAAAATCCGTCTGACCGGAGCCAGAGGAACTACTAAGATTAGGTGCCTCCTTTAGATAGAACAGGAACACTTAAGAATGATTTCACTGAAGGTAAAAAGTGGGAAGCACACAATGAGAGTCTTTCTGCTGGCCCGAGCTGACAGTTGTCATCGCTGGAGACATTTACTTATCTCGAAAACATTGTTATAAGACTGTTTATGCTTTCAGCGATTGATGTGAAAAAAATGACCTGTTCATTTCTTGTGCATGCTAGAAAAATATACACCTGTTGGAATAACAATTGACAGAAAATGGTCTCATGCAGAGCAACCACATGCCATTAAGAACATAAATATACCTATAACATATTGTGGTTCGTTTGCTATATATAACTATGTTTGGCTGAACTTGAGGTTGACCGGGTGACATTTGGTGTCGAACATTAAAAGGAGGTTTCCGAACGCTTTGTCGACAAAACTTTGTCTGAAGTTGGAAAACACTTTAAATTGGGCAAATAAGAGTCTCTATTTTCCAAAATATTACTATATAATGCATTATATAAGATGTTTCATGTTTTCGCATAGTATTATAAAAAAATATTTGCCCCTAAATCGATCCACATTGTCTAACAACATTACCCCGGGACATTTTGTTTTGACTTTCGCATGGAAAGGCATGAAACATAGATACATGCTGGTAACATATTAAGATATTGCTTTGTTACTATGTTTATATGAGGGTTACATAATAAAGTCCCATGTCGTACCTACCATGAATATAAACCGGAAATGATCACTTTGTTGCACTTCACTTCGATCAATAGTCTGTATCTAAAGTGTTTTTTAGATTTTGAGCGGAAATAGACGAAAGTGTATCAACAAAACGATAGACATTTATTCGCCATGAAACTTTTACGAAGCTAAGTGTTCCGTGAAGTATAATTTTTTGTAATTGCTGTTTTTCGGATTACACATCATTGTCATCTTAAAATACATATTTTGTAATGCTATTTAAATATCTCATGTCATGTTGAATCGTGTTGGTTAATTAGGGCTTACTGTTTTCCAACAGTGACTTTCGGTGGCCTACAGTGTTGAGACAAAACTTCCTGACGTAAATTCATGTACACCGATGCGTTGTTTATATTCCATGAAAATAAGTAATAGGTCTGTTATATATACTACAAGGCAATAGCATTGCAAATACAGATGTAAATGTGTCAAATCCAATGCGGCTATTGTGCCATTTCTAACAATATATAACTCAATTTCATTTAACTAACAAGTATGAAGCGCCATATTTTATTGACAATACCAATCTCAAGAAAATATTCCGAAGTTGCATAACCTTTATGCATTGTATGGACTATCTCTGTATTTGTATATTTCATTTCATTGCCAGGAACACATTCACGATGGTGAAAGCATATGGGATTTCCTACACAGAAAATACAAACTATTATCAGTTCTTTAACAAAAATACACGTATATTATTTTAAAATATTAACAAATAAATCAAACTTGGCATAAAATGTATTCTCAATCAAAATGCATAAATAAACTTGTGATACTTAGACAGATAAATCAAGCTTTTCAGGCTTCAAACAAAAATACAAAGTAGACAGACTCTATACAGAAAATACTTTTAAAAGATGCTATTCACGTGTGTCTTTTTAACAATCTATGAAATAGGAGGTAGCCACTGTTGGTGAACTCTATTTCTCGAGATTTGCCGTAATGCCACGTTTAATTTCCTCGAATAGTGGCAAGGTTCAGAATAAACACATACGCTTCACGTTGATCTAGATCTATTATATATGAAAATAACGAGATTTCTGTAATTATGGGACTGCTGCACCTCTTCGTCTAGATTTTGCGATCGTTGGATTTTTGTCAGTAACATCCTAGGCTTTAAACTTTAGGCCCTTACACATTGACCAGTCCAAGAAAGACGAAACATTCGTATGATGTAGTTTAATTCATTTTTGGCTCTACTGTATTTAACTTAATTCGAATTAAAAGGTGTATTCACTTGCCTGTCTTTTGTACAATCTTTTAACTCCAAATAGAAAATATAACTTGTCAGGACCTAAATAAGAAACCAATTTGAAATTCTTAAAGAACTAAATATTTAACAAAATATACAAATTTGTCAAACGCAAGCAGAAAATTCAAACACGTCAGGTTCAAAATAGAACATACAAACTTGTCAGATCCTAACACTAACAAAACAGGTCATACACAAAACTTTGTCAAATTGAAAGAATTAAAATCAAATTTGTCAATTACTGAATAGGGAATATACACACGTTAGACAAATTCTACACAAAAATCAGATAGTACAAACTTTTCAGATCAATGCAGTCGAATAAAAATAGTCGGGTCTTCAACGGAATATACTGGTCATATTGCATATTCAATAGAACAAAAACATACAACATGCCCATCCTTATGACCTTGAAATGGCCGATGGTCATTCATTTAAATAAAAATAACAAGAAAATACCAATATATCAACATGATCATAATATAAAACCCAAATTCAGTGAAACTAAACTATTACCAAAAGAAATATTTACGCAGAGACTCGTGAAAAAGTACAAGGAGAATAAGACCAGGTGCTGCGGAAGAGTAAACATCTTCTGCTTCATTGACACCCGAAATGTAAATCTTTGTCAATCCAAGTAAATAATGTCAAAGTCTTAAATGAGAACAAGGTAAACCGAGAGGAACCAACAGGCAAATTGACGAGCATCAAACACGTCCACCTTTATATAGCCGTAAGAAATAGAATATTTCTTAATGATATCACATCATTACGACGGCCGTAAGTTGACAACCCTTTTTCCAGTGTACTATGTGGCCTTGGCCTTCTGGGTTTTTGATAATATTTGTGATAATGAAAAATTAGTTTGATTCCAGATCAATGAACGACTGCACAACGGAAGTCAAACATCTGGTGTACCCTTCGAATCGGTTCACTTATATTTTTTAATAACCTGTGAAAGAAAAGCGTTCGAATTTCAATTGATTTGATCTTTTAAGTCAGAGTTAGTTAATTATCATTTTTACTGCAAATTAAAAAGGAAATATTACCACAACAATGTAAAGTATCCATGATGTGCTGAGAAAAATTCATATTAACATCTACAAAACATTTGTATGTACATAGGAAATATCAACAGGACAAAATAGCTGTTTCATTAACGTTTAAGATGTAAACAGAAAACGTTAGCGAAACAGCTATTTTCTGTTGATAGTTGATTCAATAGACAGAATGTATTTTCATGCTTATACTAGGTGTTAAAAGTTCTTGTCATTATGGTGAGAGTTTCTAGTCTGATGTAAGAATACATCAATTCATTGCAGTTATTACCATTGTAATATCAATTTATGTACTAACCACAATACCATCTTTATATCATAATAATTTCACAAACTTACTGTACTATTATCTTATCTTAATTGGCTATATGATTTAACAACTTCCTCTTATTTTCTTTTCTCTCTTTTATCATTCCATTCACGATATTTTCTGTCAATCAAAAAACATCCCTTCATCAATACACTATACTATATCCATATTTAATGCTTACAATGTTTCATTTTAATATATAGAGATAGATAACATTTCTGAATATATGAATTTACGATAAGGTTAAATGGAATCATCTATGCAAGGGCACAAAATTACATAAATTCTTGCGTGATAAATTAACCAGAAGAAAATAGAAAAGATTTGAACTATTTCAGTCTCTCAACATATTTCCTTTACAGATTTTTTCAATCTAATAAATAAAATATTCAAAGTAAGGCAAGAAGCAGAAACCTGTGTAAATTCCCACCTTACATGCGGATTGATAAATTATGTTCAAAAGATCTAAGTGCTGATAACCCATACTGTTGTTAATAGCATCACATAAAAACATTAAACATTTAAACAATGATTGTCTCCTTTAAGGGTCTTAGCATATCTTGTCGCGAAGAGATTTAGAAACGTGATATGTCTTCCAAAAACAAATTATTGATCTCAATCTTTTTTTCATTGTTGATTTCTTCCTTTCATCGTTGTGTAAAGACAAGGTTTTTACTAGAACAATTTGTGCATTTCGCTAAAATGAGTGGTAAAATGTTATGACGTTATATTCCATCGCCGACATTTTATCATCATATACTGATGTATATTAAACAAAACAATTGTAGAGGGGAGACAATGTGTATGTGTACATTTTGAAGGAGAAAACTCTGTTATGAATACATTATATACCAGCACTCGTGGCTTTCTATATGGCTGTATGAAGCTTAATTACGGGTATCGTAACAGATATGAGATAGCCATGTGAACATTTCTTTCCGAAATGTCTTATCAAAGAATCCATATATGACTGGATTAACAATATTGTTGATAATGTATAAAGAATAAGCACTGCGAAAACCGATGATCTCAAAGTTAGATTTAGTCAGCCACACATTTATATCGAGAGAATCCCATACTATCGCTGTTAAAGTAGGCACAAAACACACCAAGTACACTACAGTTATCACGAGAAACATCAATGATAGTCTGTTACCTGCCATCTTCATCTTCCTGGTTGACTTTTTGGGTGACAAACGTGTGACCATATTGTTAGTCTCGAAACTGGTGAAAGATTTCCTGACGTAGCTTTCACTAAAACCTTCGGAGGACGAAGACTCGCACACTGTTTTCGCGCCTCTTCTGTACTTCACACGACCGTATATGGTCTTCCCTATCATGACGTAGAGAGAACATAATACAATAAGATTTCCAACACAGATCGTCAGAACCAACAAATTGTACACGAATGGAAATACCTTTGATCCCATAACTTCCACTGAAGCACATACGTATCCAGTAACATTTAAATGTGTGTTAGTTATTGGTGCTATTCCCGTGGTGAACAAACTTGGAATTGAACCCAGAAACACAAACATAAGCATTAACAATACACTCATTCTCTTTTTTCTCAATGTCATCTTCGGTTTGAAAGGTCGACAAATCCTCTGAAATCGTTGAACGGATATAATTGTCAGCATCAGTGCAGAGGAAGATCCCGCGAACTGGCTCAACATGAAGAAAGTTTTACACAATATAACATCTTGGTAGCGTACTGGATTAAAATTGATGATGAGATTAGCAGAAGAACAAATCACACATGCCAAGGTGTCTATACCTGCCAGGTACGGAATGAAGAATCTGTCCTCGGACGACTTTCGAAATCTGAACTTATAGATGTAGATGACTGCTACATTACCAAGAAGTCCCAACACAATGTATACAAAGAGCATGACGGTGTTAGGAAGGAGAATTACTGCCAGGCGGTTGTTCCATTGGACAAGAGTACTAAAACTATTGTTGGAAGGCATCGTACTATTATCCATGAGTTCCTTAGTTAATGTCACCAATAGATATCAGTATCTAACAAAAATATCAGCAACCCACTATAAGCTGCCCTGTGGTGTTGGACATCAATGTGACACAAGATAAAAGTAAATTATGTGTATCATAAATGTACTTTATCCCCACTCACAATTTTGATTACCAGGTTGATCTCATTATGAGGAGCTATAAGTGATGGTTTTCCCTACGACCCACTTGTGGTATAGAAATCACACACCAATATATTTTCAGCTCATTTTTGTTGTTGTAATTGGAAGTGCCTAATAACATATAGTAAACAATAGCATTCAAACTATTTCATGGAAATTAATTATACACTAACGGAAATATAGAGACACCTCTTTATCCTACTTAAATTGTCATCAAATACTTGTTCATCATGACTAACGATAAACAATTGGGTGACAAGCGTATGACCATATTGTTAGTCTCGAAACTGGTGGAAGTTTTTCTGGCGTAGCTTTCACTTAAACCTTCGGAGGACGAAGACTCGCACACTTCTGATGTTTACCCGTCTCTTCTGTACTTCACCGTATATTGTCTTCCCTATCAGGATTTCCAACACAGATCATCAAGACCAACAAATTGTACACAAATGGAAGGAAATACCTCTGATCCCATTACTTCCACTGAAGCACATAATTATCCAGTAACATTTAATTGTGTGTTAGTTATTGGTACTATTCCAGTGGTGAACAAACTTGGTATCGAGCCCACAAAACAAAGGATAATGCAAAATACACTCTTTCACTTACTATTCAAAGTCGGTTTGGTTTGAAAGGTCGGCAGATTAACTGGAACTGTTCAATGGCAATAATTGTCAGCATCAGTGCTGATGATGCTGCTGCGAACTGTTTCAACATGAAGAAAGTTTTACACAATATAACACCTGGGTAGCATTCTGAATTAAAATTGGTGATGAGATTAGCAGAAGAACAAATCACACATGCCAGGGTGTCTATACCTGCCAGGTACGGAATGAAGAATCTGTCCTCGGACGACTTCCGAAATTTGAAATTATAGATGTAGATGACTGCTACATTACCAAGAAGTCCAAATACAATGTATACAGAGAGCATGACGGAGTTTGGAAGGAGAATCTCGGCTAGTCGGTTGTTCCATTGCTCAAGAATATTTTTGCTGAAGGCGCCGGTCACATTATACATAATAACTTGATGTAACTATTAGTTCTCATTGTTGTATGTATAATCCGAACTAATTTCACAGCTTTCGTATTCAGCATGTGGAGGATTGATACTTCTACTCAATGAAATAATTAAACTTAAGAAAACTTTTCAAAAAAACTTAAGAATAACATACAAATAGATAATTCTTACAAATACTCACATCTCTAGGTAATATCATTGTACATAAGATAATCACAATTTTCATATAAATTTATCATAATAAATACTTGTTGGCACTGGAAAGCACCTTACTATTTAGGTACTGCGGATGACAATACTGGATTATCTGTCTTAGTTACAACTTTTTTTCAGCTAGAATGCACTTGTTGTATTTAGACAGGCGGTCTCAGTCCACAGTTAATTTGTCTATATGTTTTACCAAAGGAAAACAAAAATTAAGATATATATCTTTGCAATGGATTTAGTTCTTCCACAATGTGTAGAACTTTTCAAGACGAACCTACACCTACCTGGAAAGTATCTCATGACCTGCATTTAAGAAAAAATATTTTCATTCAGAACCCCTCAGAACTAAAGAGGAATGTTCAGAATTGAAAAATATCACTTCTCACAAAATGTGTCCTTCCACACCTACAGACATGAAAATGATGCTAAAGAAAAATTCCTCTACTAGAGTAGATATTGTACAACAATCCTGAGCAAGCAATATGTACATATATGTAATAGTTAAGTATAGTTGAGTGTAGATAAAATATGTACTAATTGACCTGAAATTTTATTTTTCACTACATGCATGTACAACGACCCGGAAGTGAGACAGCGGTTTGAGGCCTGCACACATGTGTGGTTTTGAAATAAAAAGTGTTTGCTTTATAGGTTGTGTTGTTTATTAAAGATGAAGTTGAAATCAAACTTTGGTTGCATTTGATCGAAAAATTAAATTTCTATTTTCATTTTATTAACCCTATCCCATCCTGAAACAAATATTCAATGCATCTATACGGTCACTATACAAACATTGCTATCATATACAAATTTGTGACAGATAACAAACTGTCAATTGGCTTCATCATACCGTGATTTCATTGTGATAATCAAAAATTGAAGATTAGAGAACATTTAATGAATTAAAAATGAACATGTGAAGATGAGAAACACATTTTAGAAATAAATCAGGTAATGACTTTGTTAATTGAAATTTCAGCCTATTTCGTCGTGTTTGAACAAGGTAGTTTTTCAAGATTGTATTGACAAAGAGCAAAACGTGTATAAGCATTTACAACTGCAGCTGATTCCGCATGATAAGTATTCACGAATACTTACATAATATTAAACTATATAGACGATTTGTTTCATTTTATAATTTCATACATTTTTTAAACTTAAAACGAGACATTTTAAAACTTTTCGATGAAATATTGTTTTTCAATATCCTTTAAGTTGGAACTTCACTAATTTCCAAAAGCTAATAGAATAATAATATAAAGTCAATGCTGCTAATTAAATATGTAAAGAATATCAACAGGTCAAAAAATACATCAAATTTAATGCACTTCTGCATGACTTACTTTTGCCTCAAGTTCAGCCCACAACCAAGATCAGCGTGACGCGGATAAAGAATGGTCATTTGATAAGTATTGTTTCCTCAACGAAGACCACTAAATTTTCTTGATAATGCGTGAAAGATACAAATGTTTAATTATCACTAACATGTGTACATGAATCTTGTGATATTGAATACTTTTTCCACATAAAGTGTCCATCAGAGAGATTATACCCTTGGAAAGTGCCAAATATGAAGACATTGTTTTCTATAAATTGTATAATACTATTTCCCTTTGCTCTGAATAGACCTTTCCAGCCTATTTATACCTTGGTGTACATTGATCGAAGAAAAAGTGTATGAAAACTAATTTTTGACTTATATAAATGTTAATATTGGTAATTATCAATGTGAGTCAAGTCATGACAAATAAAATTGACATGTTTGGGCGGGGTAGTTATACAACTATTTCTTTTCGAACTAGGCTACTTTTTATTCAAGTTACTGTAGAACATAACCAAGAAATCTGCATATTAGTACACGGCCAGTTTTTGAGTGTTTGGTATCTCGAGGCAAGAATTCCGGATTAAAGGAAGAATATTTGATAATTCTGAAAAATTTTCGCCTATTCAAGCATTTAGCATGTATAAACAAGCACATCTATAATGAATCAGATCTCCACTTCATTCAAACAAATACATAAATGATTTATTTAAAAACTGGCCTGTACAAGGCGAGTATTTTTCTCATAAAATATCCATGGATACGACCTCAAATTCGCTCGCCTGAAATGATCGACAAACAGGGCGAATGTATGATTCGACGCCCTGTAGCTTGATCGTTCAAGGCAATTCATGATTCTATCTACTGTATGAAATAGAATTTCCAGGTAAAAAGTTTAAATTCAAACACAATATGACGAACAAAATAAATGTGAAACAGTTTTCTTTAAGATGTAAAGTTAAAGGTTTTTTCACCTAATATACTGGGTATTATAATACACATATCAAGATAATAATTTTTAATACTGCTGTGTTGATAAAGCTAATAATTTTACAATCCTCTCCCTTCTTAAAAAGAATTTCTACTACTTTTCTTCCTATCCTCGTTATCAGAGGGGTCTGGATGTGACCAGCCCCTGTGTCTTTGTGGGTTGGAACTCTGTCCATTTATATCTCCACAGTTGATCTGTCATCTTGTACAGTTAACCCAGCATCATCGTCCACATCATACTGGATTGGATCTCTCCCCTTGGCATTGGGTTGCAGTTTGCTGGTCTCGGAGTGATGTTGGTCTCAGGAACAGGCTCTCCCATGTACGGTTTGGCATGACCTGTATGTATAGTTAGAGAATGGTGCCCGTTGATTTTCTGTACCTTATTGGTAATGTCCGAGAGTTTGCCCACTACTTTGTATGGCCCTGCCTATTATGTACTTAGTTTATTTTGTAATTCAGGGGGATGTCATTTCCATATCAAGAATTCAATGTTTGTAGCCAATCTACGTACAACCAAAATGTCCAAGGGTAGACTAACTTCTTTACCCAAAATAATCAAACTAGAACTAAAATCAGTGCTTGCATGAGGAGTAGCTCTATACGCAGCCAGTACATATGGCAGGTGATCGTCGCAATCATCATCGATCGTTTACATACATTTATATACATTACCAGCATCTGGATCAGCCGCTTAACCAAGCCATCAGATTCAGGGTGAAATTGGGTGGTCCTAGTTTTTTGAATCCCCAAATTATTGCAGACTAATGAAAACAACTCGCTTACAAATTCAGGGCCCCTGTCATTGTGGATTTGTTTTGGCGAGCCAAATGTAGCACAAAATTCAGTACATATTTTATTAGCCAAAGTCAGAGCTGTGTTATCGGGTACAGCATAGTCCTCAACCCTTTTGGAAAAGTAATCGCTGACAACTATCACATAGTTATTACCATTCCTCGTATGTCTTAATCCACCCAGGATATCTATAGCTATGCGGTCCAAGGGCTGATCTATAGTAGAAATGGGATAGGACTCCCCCTTTTCCTGTAGCGCTCGCATCACAGTCTAGTATGTACTTTTCACTAGTGGTGGGGTAATCCAGTATAGGAGCCTTGGTTAGGAGAGACTTGATTTTCATGTATGCTTCCTCATAGTTTCAATTCCACAATTTTCTTCTGTTTGCAGGTCAGCTTGGTCAAAGAGTAGACAACCTAGGAAAAATCTGGAATGAACCGCCTACAATAACCTGCGAGGCCTACGAAGCTGTGGATTTCTGAAACATTTGACGGCTGTAGCCATTGGGCGAGGCTCTAATCTTTTCTGGATTACAACTTATTCTCTTCTCAGATACAATGTGTCCAAGATACTCAACTTCAGTTTGGAATAAACTACATTGTTTGGGTTAAAGTGTCAAATTTACTCTCCTCAAACAAAAAAATTCCCTAAGATTGGTTAGTGCATCATAAAATGAGGTCCCATAGACGATGACGTCTAAATAACAAAGTCACCGAGAATATTTCATATGACCAAAAACACGCGACATCGTGCGGGAGATCGTCGCTGGTGCGTTACTCAAGCCAAATGGCATGATTCGGAATTGAAATAGACCCCTGTGGATAGCAAATGTTGTTTTAGGCTTATCTTCCTCACTCATGCTGCATGCTTCCAATATCCACTTGCAAGGTCAAGGGTACTAAACTATTTAGCACCATGTAATGCATCAAGAACGTCGTCTTTATAAGGTAAGGGGTAATAAGCATTTTTCCTGGTGATATCATTAAGCTACCGATAGCCTACACAGGTCTTATGGCCCCATCGTTTTTGTGACTAACACGACCGGCCCATGGACTATTACTAGGCTTTATTATAGTTCATTTTAACATTTTTGCAGTTCTTCCTCGGCTCTCTTTTTCTAGTAGGAAGATACACGTCTAGTATAGGAGGTATTTTTTATTGATCTAGCCAACTCTGTATCTACATGGTGTTCGACAATCCCAATCTGTCCCAATATCTCTCTCTGTGATAGCAAAAATATCCTGATATTCCTTCGTCAAATTAACGACCTCAACCCGCTCCTGTTTAGTTAATTTGTTAGATATTAGGGGAGGTAAAGTGGAAGATTTTTCAGGTATACACACTCTCATCAAGGACCTTATCAACTTCTTCTACTATACCCAAAAAAAGTGTGTTCTGGTGTTGTAACGGGTTGTCCGGTTAAATCCAATATGAAAAGAGGTATTGATTTGTCTACCTCAGGGGCAACAACTGTGTTAGCAGTAAGTATTTGTTGGTGATAAACCTGTCAGCTATCCATAAAGTCCGAATACCAAAACTGATTTATCCATTGTGTGCAGTGAGGAAGTCTATCCATATAATTCCTACATGCTCTGTCTTTGTGATGATTTTGTTCTGTTGTACAATGTGACCTCCTATTCTAAATTTCATGTTGGTAGCACCGAAAACTTCAAGGCTATCCTCAGAGCTTGTTGCCAACCGTTTTCTACTGTTACTTACCATAGTTTTGTCCTTCAACTCCTTGAAAATCCTATCAGACATAATGGTAATAGAAGATCCGGAGCCTAGAAAAAAAGCTGATATCTTTGTCTTTTACTGTAGCCTCTACATACAAACTGGGTTGTACCATGTTAAGGGATACTTCTGGTCCTTTCTCAACCTCATTTTCCTCTTTAAGGACTGGACCTCCGGGCCCGAGTCCAGCCCTGTCTATATTACCTTAGGAGGGGTAGGTTTGTCATCATCTCTCCCTTCTTGTTAGAGCATGTATGTGTAATTTGACCCTTCTCCCCGCATAGGAAGCAAATTTTCTTTGACATGTCCATTCTCCCTTGTTTACGGTAAGTAGGAATTTTGGTCTGGCATTGTTCCATCCTTTGGTCTAACTTAGCAATCTGATCAATTGTCCAGGACTTGAAATCTTCTCTTGAGCTATCTACTGGTGTCTCTACTTCCTTATTTACAGTACAGACATGTGATGGGGGTTCTAAGTCCCATTGTGTTGGATTTTTTGGGAGCCTACCATGCTTATTGGTAAATACTTCGAACTCGATAACATTGCTTACTGCTTCTTCTAACGTTTTAGGGTGACTAAATTGGACATATTGCTTGTTCTCTATGCTACCTAGTCCCTCACTCTACTTGTTGCTGGTTCATCAGAGTAAACCTGTGAAGCTAGAGTTCAAATTGCACTCCCATAGTGCCCATTTCTCTTCAAGGGTTTCATCTCCTTGCCTATGCCTTCCCCAGAATACCTGTTCATGAGCATATTCTCTCCTAGGAGTAGGGGTTCGGGGTGGGGGTTTGGGGAGACATTTCTTAACTTTCCCGATAGTCATTAGGCTATGCAATGATGAGTTTTCTCAATACTTTTAGAGCAGGACCCCTTAAACATGAACTAAGGTTAAACGTTTTGTCATACTCCCACCCACCAACCAATCCCACCCTACTCCCGTCCCTCGTTATAGGCTGCTACTGTCTCAAAGTGTACCGTGAAATCCTGAAAATCTGTGTCCCCTTTCCCATCAAAAATCATAATCTTTTCTTTCTTCCTACCTAACCTTGTCCTTTCTAGACTCAAAGAATACCTAGTTCTAGTGCGAGCCTCTGTATCGTTTATAGACATATGGGGGTTACAATTATAAGGGGGAGGGGAAGGTACTATACTCCTGGAGGGTTACCAGCATAAGGAGGAAATACTCCTTACTGGGCCTCTCCCCTTATGCAATTCCAGAAACTCCTCAGTCATATCCCGGTGATAAGAGGACATATCTTATTGATCATGCTCAGGGGCAACAGACTCACTACTGAAATTGCCCTGACCACATAGAGGAGAATCATAATGACTGGCACGGGGAGGGGCTGGAGTACTGGTTCTCCACAGACTTACCCTGAAATAATGAATGAAGAAAAAATGGGCTTCGTGTACAACTGCATCCTCGTCGCAAGACCCGGTAACATTCTTTTTTTATACCAAGAATGGCTGAAGGTATTACATATTTTTCACACTATAACAAATATGCGTCAGGCTGAAGGAGTGACCTCCCCCTAGCACGATCATAATACATGCAAGATAAGAGGTGAATTATGCCTCGTTTCTAGGTAAAACTGATGTATTTACAATCAGATAAGTATACATATTGTTTGTAGTTTCACTTAAGTAAAATCTTAAAATGGCTATAATTTGCTAAAAATCGGAAAATTTCACGGTTGAGTGCGGCGTACAAGTTTTCACCCTTTGAAAAAAATTGTCGATTTAAAACAATCTCGATATTTAAATTATTTCATACAAATTGTCAGATTTTTAAAACATCTACGTAGATTAAGATAAAAAAAATACGATGAATCAGATTTTTTGTTTTCGAGATAAAAATTAATTCCTAATTTCCTGTCATGGGTATCGGGACCGGGAACGGCGTACACGAATTCACCCCCACCAATACAGGTGATGCGAAAACCGTTACATACGTGTACAACGACCCGGAAGTTAAACAGTGGTTCGAGGCCAGCTGCCCAACGTCACTCGGTTCAAAGACTTTACTGGTAAGATAAATATCGATTTGTCCGTCCTGTTGTTCATATAACACACTGTCTAAGCGACGTTAATTTCCTCTCTGACGTTTAAGTATTACAGTGAGAACAAGACACCACGAAATGCAATTATAATGCACCGTTCAGTAAAGCAAGGGAAGTAACTCGCATGGCAACACCACAAGAAAAATTAATTTGCAATGCTGACGATCTTGACGATTTATCAGTGTCTAAATATGATATAAAAAGTGCATTGTGCATTTGTATATGGGCCATTGAAATAAATATGCCATTGGGGTCCATACGAAAGGAAATTTGTGTTATAAAGTATTAATTAATTGCATTTTCCATTTTAAGAAATCAGACATATAGTGCATCACCTTCCTCTAAATATTTTTCAAATTATCATTAAAAGAGATTTAGTTTATATTTCTAGTTGGTTTCATTTATTTGTTGGGGTACCACTGTATGAAATGTCAACTGAATTTGTGTTAGCCTAGTAAACTAAAGTAGATACTGATTTGTATTGGGAATTCCTTCTACGAGACTAAAAGCTTAGCTCTAGAATATGGTTGATCTTTGATGATATTTACAGATAGTACAGTGATGGTGTCGGAGGAAAGAAGACCAGTCCCTCTGTCTGCTATTTGGCGATTTTACTGTTATGGACTACATGGCTACTGCACAGAGATTATGTTCACTGCCTTGTGGGAGTATGTTGTAAATATCAATTGGAAATTCCCAGGCAACACCAGTGTATGGTGCTTCTTCATCTACGGATCTTTCGGCATGATCATGGAGCAAATGTACTTCCAGATGAAGGGGAATGTGCCGTTCCTGGTACGAGGCCTAGTGTACACACTTGGTACATATATCTGGGAGTTCAGTATTGGGTACATACTGTCCAGGTTTGGGGCTTGTCCATGGGACTACACCTTGTTCCAGTGGGATGTTATGGGCCTGGTCACCTTGGAATATGCACCTTTGTGGTATATTGGCAATCTGTTTTCAGAATACTTTTTACTTCGGTATACCAGCATGCTGTATTGGGGAGTCTCCACCAGTAGTACAGTTAGTGTTAGCCACAACAGAAAGACTTCTTGATGATTGCAGTATTTTAGGGGTAAAATTAAACAGTTAATATTTTCCAAATCAAACCATCTAACAAATACTGGTATCCTAACTTTTTTCTTTGAAAATTTATCAAGATGAAGGACTCTGTGAGTGAGACAAATATAAAAGAATTGGTTTTTTTTTCAATTTTGAGATGTGTCTGAAAGTGTGCCAGAATCACTAGGTCACCTATAGCATATGTACACAAAACAAAAAGGGACCAGTCATTGTCAGGATTTGAAATGTACCAGTATTCATTGTAACTACTTTTAAATAGGTTTATAAAGATTTTATATTTATCATATGAATTTTAGATGTAAAATATTTTCATAATGCACATTAGTGTACAGGTATGAAAAAGTTTCTAAGCTGTGTTGACTGTTTTTTGTCCCTGTAACATTTCATTATATAGCTATAGCTCAAAAGTCATTTTAAATTCTATTTTCATGTCTCATGAAATTTAAACACTAGATGAAATGGTTGGAGACTGGTATTTTCTAGCTAAGCTGGTAAATCAATTTTACAAAGTATGCAAGTTTTGTCATTACATATATATTTATCCATTGTTAAAAGTTGTTTGTTATATATTTGGTTTATGACATATCTAAATGTCCATATGTTTCTCAGAAGTGAAAGCAAAAGAAATTTTCCATTTCTTTTTTATCTAAATTTTACAATTTATAGTATTTTATTCAGCTATTTATTAGAGAACATGTATTCTCAATGGCATGGAAAGCTAATTACCAGTATTATCTTTATTTTTCATCATTTATGGTTTTTGTTTGAGTGCAATATAAAATTGATATTAGCAATGAAGTAGCCTCTTGCACAGTACTGTACATGTCACAACTGTGACCAGATAATAGATCTTCCACATATACCAGTGTGAGCATTAAGGTATATGTATACACTTGGACACCGAGTTGTTTAGGTTAAAAGTTCTAGAATAATAAAGGTCAGGAATATGAACAAAGTGCAGTTTGATATGAATAATTGATGACTTTTTAGAAATATATTGAGATTATTATCTAATTAAAGAAAGCTGTATTTATATATGGCTGACATTCCATGAAATTTAGTTTAGATTTAAGTATTGTGAAAGTGTGTACTGATGTGGAATTAACTGTATTTATAATTGATTTTGAAGTTTTGAAACAAATTTTTAAAACTTTTTTCTATCTTTTTAAATGTCTGGTTGGAAGAGTGCAGGGAGTTTTGTCTTTTCTCTTTTGTTGGTTTTTCAATAATGGATTGGTAATTTCTTCAATTTTTGTTTTATTTTTGTTTTTGGTTTGGTTTCAAAATGAGAACATTATGTTTCTGTATATGATGTCATTTAATATTTAATTAGATGTGTTAATGACAAGTTTTATTGATCTCATTTCTTCAGTGTATACATGATTGTATAGATTGTCTACTTGTCCGATGTAGGGAGATATGATGTTCTCCAATCTGATCAGATAGATTGTCCTATTTCTCGCCAAATGTAGGGAGAGATGATGTTCCCCACTATGACATATAGGTAGTCCTTTATCTAGTTAAATGTAGGGAGATATGAGTTCCTCGCTCTGATTATTAGATTGTTCTGTATCTGGTCAAGTGCAAGGAGATATGATGTTACTCAACCTGTAACCAACCAACTATACAATTTGTTTTTGCAGATTGTCCCATATTATTCAAAGTGTATGTAGTGTTATAATTTGTCCTATGACTTGGTAGATGGAATTCTTCAAGAACACTGCCATTTTTTATTTCATTTTCATGGTGTTCAAGTTTTCCTTGTAATGAACAGAATTCTGGACCAGATTCGAATTTGTATTAGAGTAGTCTCCCTTTTTAACTGCACTAAATTTCATCTTTGAATTTAGACACCATGGTTAATTACAAAAGATTAGGTTTTAAGTAACAAATGTAACAGAGGTCATAATAAATTCGAAATCCAAATGTGATGATCTTTATATTCTCTACACCCTATAAAATGTCTATATAAATTGAACATCTGTATTATATGTCCCTGATTCTACATGTACAGAAATTTGATCAGTTCTGGGCAAACAGATCTCGCCTACATGTATCACTTGCCTACTAGCTGTCCTCTGAAGACTACAAAAAGGACTATCCAAGCAAGACGTTTATAATCTTACATCTATACTGATATACATTGTATGTCTCTACAGGATTTGTTTTTTACTTTATACTTTATTGTTGTATTCTTGGTTGAATAAACCTTTTTTTTTTTGCACTATACAATATTATGGTTCTTTATACCAGTGTGATATTTTAACATTTATATGTTAGGTAGGCACTATATCATTGGTGGCACTTGTTTATCAGCTGAACAGTGTGTTTATAAATGTCAATGGAAATGAGAATATTGTATATTTTTAGTTGTTGACTTATCAGTAATTTGTTTATCATAAGCAACATTTGTTTCATAATTCAAATCACTAGCATTTTTTTATAATTGACATAGTGACAGACTACTTTCTATATCATTAAATCTCCTGCAAAGTCAAATATTAAATAAACAAATATTAGGTATGGATAAAACATTAGTATTTGTATTCTGATTCAGCTATAAATCATTTTGCAAGTATTTTTGTTATCTTAATTGATTATAAATAATTCTTTCATTGAAAAATGCATATTGTGCAAATATTTTGAGGACTTTGTAATTTCATTGTTGAATTATTTGTTAATAAAATGAGTACACAAGTCAATGAACATAAATATTTTTAGTTTGAAATTAGAAACTTGTGTATTACAGTTTTATTGTTTTTTTTTCCATGAAAATGCTTGCTCTGCTTATTCAGAAACAATTTTTCTGTTCTTATGAAAATATTGTTGAAAAATTATGTTCCCAGTCAATGCAAGAACATGTAATTTTTGGTAGATAAAATTCTGTCAATTGAAAATAATGCATTTTCAATGAAGCCAGGTTTTATTTTATCTACCAGTGTAGAGGATCTTTGGTGATTCTGTACTGGTAATAAACTTAACATCACATGGTGGAGTACCATAGCACTATTTAATATTAATTGTGGTTAAGAAAAGAAAAAATTCAATTCAATTTTATTAGAAAAAATTCTGCTATTAAATGGCATTTAATAAGTATGTGTATATTGAGTAAAAGTTGTAATTTCTATGAATTTTGTTAATTATTTTTATTGTAGTAAATAAATCAATGTTATCCATGTGCCAGATTAGCCACTGAAAAAGGTCAGGAACAAAAACAAAATACATAAATGACTTGAAACGTGTTCATACTATAAGATTTCTTAAAAAGTTACCAGTAAAAGGCAAGTCTTTTTCTAAAAAGTATCCATGGATAAGACTTCAAATTCACTCACCTGAAATGATCGACATGTGAATCATACATGTGACTGCACTTTCGCTTCGGATGGCAGCAACTCTTAGAGATGCTTGAGTTAGCTAAGCGTGACCCAGAGGTACATGTTTTAAATAAAATCAGCATTTACACAGAAACTACATTTTGATGACAAAAATATCAAAATGAAATAATGGTGCAACAATGGTGGATATTTAGTTTCCAAATAACTGATATCTGGTGTCCAGTTCAATCATTTAATGTACAGATATCACCGATATTCAATGGACAATTAACGGTAATACCAGGTGTTCAGATCAAACATTTGATTTAGATTCACAGATATCTAGTGACCAGATAACTCAGATATCTGGTGTTCAGATGAAATTTCTGATGTACAGATATTAAATAATTTCTATGACATCCTGATTGTTTCACTTAAAATTTATGTAAAATCCAGTTTTTTTCTGGAAATAATTTCTATAATATCCTGATTGTTTCAGTTATGATGTTGTAATATATTGATTGTTAGATGGTTAAAGAATTTCTACCTACACGAAGTCAACTACCACACCCAGCATAACAATTAATACTGGCCTAATACATCATTTTTACAATGTGATGTTTCATTATCCTTTACTTTAGATAGAATAAATTTTGCATCATTGTCATTCAGCGTTATGGTTTGTTACCCTGATTTAGGTAAAGTGGTATATATTGATTTCTTTAAGTATGTATACCCTCACTTAGGTAAGGTTGTATATAGTAATCACTTGTTTGTATATCCTATCATTATCTGGTGGTCTGGTCTTTATCCTTATTTTGTGTGTTGGTGCACAGAAGTGTGACCTCTAATTTACAGTCTTATTTTGTGTGTTGGTGCACAGGAGTGTGACCTCTGATTTACAGCCTTATTTTGTGTGTTGGTGCACAGGAGTGTGGCCTCTAGTTTACAGCCTTATTTTGTGTGTTGGTGCACAGGAGTGTGGCCTCTGATTTACAGCCTTATTTTGTGTGTTGGTGCACAGGAGTGTGGCCTCTAGTTTACAGCCTTCTTGTGTTTGTCAGAATACAGATGTTTGGTCTCTAGTTTATACTTTTATTGTGTATGTCAATACACAGAAGTTAACCTCTAATCTATACCTTTATATGTGTGTCAGTTTACAGAAATTTGGCCTCTAGTCTAAAGCCTTTATATGTGTGTCAGTTTACAGAAATTTGGCCTCTAGTCTTAAGCCTTTATATGTGTGTCAGTTTACAGAAATTTGGCCTCTAGTCTAAAGCCTTTATATGTGTGTCAGTTTACAGAAATTTGGCCTCTAGTCTAAAGCCTTTATATGTGTGTCAGTTTACAGAAATTTGGCCTCTAGTCTTAAGCCTTTATATGTGTGTCAGTTTACAGAAATTTGGCCTCTAGTCTAAAGCCTTTATATGTGTGTCAGTTTACAGAAATTTGGCCTCTAGTCTAAAGCCTTTATATGTGTGTCAGTTTACAGAAATTTGGCCTCTAGTCTAAAGCCTTTATATGTGTGTCAGTTTACAGAAATTTGGCCTCTAGTCTAAAGCCTTTATATGTGTGTCAGTTTACAGAAATTTGGCCTCTAGTCTAAAGCCTTTATATGTGTGTCAGTTTACAGAAATGTGCCCTGCATTCTTACCCTAGGAACATACCAGCCAAATATCATGCATGCCTCTAGGACTTTCAGTTCATGAGAAGAAGTCATTTAAAGGTTGTAATAAATCTGACCCCTGTGACCTTGAACATAAGTCAAGGTTATTTCCCAAATTTTGTAGAGCTTCATCCTAGGAACATACCACTCAAATATCAAAACATTTGGTCCATTGATTGTTGGGAAGAAGTTGTTTAAAAGGAAAAAGTTGATGCTGGATGCTGCCCTTAGGGCCAGGTGAGCTAATGAAACAAATAAAACAAACTTTGTGAAAGGTATTACCATGACCAATATTCAAGGCCACAGGGGTCCAAGTTGTTAAAGCTTTAAACAATTTATTCTGACAGACCAAAATTTTTAAAAGCACTTTTTTGCATGTAGGTCTCTGGGATTAAGCCAGACAAAAATTTGCAAAAAGAAATGACCTTAGCACATATTTGTGGTTGTAATGTTATAGATATAAGCCCGATAAACTTTGAGAGAAAATAAAAAGGAAAAAGAGGACCTTATATATAACCTTTAATCCATGTGATAATGATCTAGAGTTGAGTATTAGAAGCTAAAGTTTGTTGTGGTAATGGGTTAAAATTGATCTGATGTTCTCACTTTGAATGTCAATGGTGCATGTTTTAATGTATTTGTGATGAATATTGATTGTATTTCTGATGAACATTCAATACCAGGTTAGTGAAACAGGCCCACTGGGCCTCTTGTATAACTTGTAAATGATGTAAAATTAAAGTTCACTTTCACATTTTCTCATTTTGCAACTGGGGAAAATATAAACCTAATAGTCATGAACTTTTATAAAATATCTGTTTATTGTCTTTGCAAAACTGATTAAAATAAAAAATGCTAGTATTACAAAACGAGTATCCTTTCAAAAAACAACAGGTTCACCTTTCCATATCTACTGTATTACAGGAGAACTGATATAAAACAACATTAATCAAAGTCCTTAAAAACATTATAATATTATATCAATATATAACACCAGATAACAGTGTAAACAGGTGATCATGTAATATATAACACCAGGAACAGAAAATATATACTGGTGATGATAAACTGATTCCTTCTACCATACTATTGTCACTACAGCACATTAACAGACACATCAATATCCAAAGATTACAAAGATACATTAATAATTTTCAATGAAGCTATCACATAGGAACTGAATGGTGATGGTCAAACTCAAGCCATCACAATGAAAAATTGAAGAGTGACAGACAGAAAGACAGACCAAAGGTATCACCAGGAAACTGAAGTGTAATGGACAGAAAGACAGACCCTGGGTATCACCAGGAAACTGAAGTAAGACAGACAGAAAGACAGACCCAACGTATCACCAGGAAACTGATGTAAGACAGACAAAAAGACAGACCCAAGGTGTCACCAGGAAACTAAAGTGTAATGGACAGAAAGACAGACCCAAGGTATCACCAGGATACTGAAGTAAGACAGAGAGAAAGACAGACCCAAGTTATCACCAGGAAACTGAAGTAAGACAGACAGAAAGACAGACCCAAGGTATCACCAAGAAACTGAAGTAAGACAGACAGAAAGACAGACCCAAGGTATCACCAGGAAACTAAAGTGTAATGGACAGAAAGACAGACCCATGGTATCACCAGGAAACTGAAGTAAGACAGACAGAAAGTCAGACCCAAGGTATCACCAAGAAACTGAAGTAAGACAGACAGAAAGACAGACCCAAGGTATCACCAAGAAACTGAAGTAAGACAGACAGAAAGACAGACCCAAGGTATCACCAGGAAACAAGTGTGACAGACAGAAAGACAGACACAAGGTATCACCAGGAAACTAAAGTGTAATGGACAGAAATCCAGACCCAAGATATCACCAGGAAACTGAAGTAACACAGACAGAAAGACAGACCCAAGGTATCACCAGGAAACTGAAGTAAGACAGACAGAAAGACAGACCCAAGATGCAGTCACTAAATTAAAAGTTCTACATCGTTTGAAAGACATCTCAATTTGTAATTGTTCTGATCACCACTTTGTGTTTAGATTTACATATGCACCTTACCAGTTATTACTACAACACTGAATAGCAGTACCAATGGAATGTGAAAGTATGAGCAACAATGATGATCAAATATACATATTCTGTAATGTATTTTGTATAGGTATTGAAAGAAGTTGTTGTAAAAAAACATTTACAGTGGCCAAGTTACAATTTTACAATTTTGCCATAAGGTCAAATACATTTGATAATTAAGACAACAGTATTAGTGAAATTGATGAATGAACAGAAATAATTAAAAATACAAAGAATGTTTTAAGTGAAAATCAGTTTTGACTTGTATTCCTAATTCATGTCAGTAATAAAGAATACAGAGTACCACAACCAATAAAAATAATACTGTTTCAGTCAGGCTTATCCTGACATACTGATTGTTGAAGTGTTACCTTCAACTAACCTTGATATTGAAACCTTGTCTTTGATTGATCAGATGTGAAGGTCACAATCCACTTATCAAGTTTGTGAAGAACACTGACTCTGCCACTTCAAGGTAAATATATCCTTGACATTGCTACTGCCGCACGTCCTTACGAGTAGGGTCCTGGAAGCAGATTAGGGCCACAGATCCTGTTCCTCGCTTGGATGTATAACTAGAAGTAAAAGATTAAAATATGAGCATAAATTCAAATTTTTTACTTCATAAGGATAAAGATCATTTAGATTTACAGTAGCATTTAAATCCTTGATAAGAATGATAACATAGGTTGTGAAATGGAACTACTACTTGTGTATGATAGGTACCCAATATATGTACAAGACAGTGTAATACCTCGAGTGATATTTATTCCTGGTATGATTCCTTCATACAAAGCCTAAATCCTAGTGAGACTCCTTCAGGCAGAGACTCAATCCTAGTGAGACTCCTTCAGGCAGAGACTCAATCCTAGTGAGACACCTTCAGGCAGAGACTCAATCCTAGTGAGACTCCTTCAGGCAGAGACTCAATCCTAGTGAGACTCCCTCAGGCAGAGACTCAATCCTAGTGAGACACCTTCAGGCAGAGACTCAATCTTAGTGAGACACCTTCAGGCAGAGACTCAATCCTAGTGAGACACCTTCAGGCAGAGACTCAATCCTAGTGAGACTCCTTCAGGCAGAGACTCAATCCTAGTGAGACTCCTTCAGGCAGAGACTCAATCCTAGTGAGACTCCTTCAGGCAGAGACTCAATCCTAGTGAGACACCTTCAGGCAGAGACTCAATCCTAGTGAGACACCTTCAGGCAGAGACTCAATCCTAGTGAGACTCCTTCAGGCAGAGACTCAATCCTAGTGAGACACCTTCAGGCAGAGACTCAATCCTAGTGAGACTCCCTCAGGCAGAGACTCAATCCTAGTGAGACTCCTTCAGGCAGAGACTCAATCCTAGTGAGACTCCTTCAGGCAGAGACTCAATCCTAGTGAGACACCTTCAGGCAGAGACTCAATCCTAGTGAGACTCCTTCAGGCAGAGACTCAATCCTAGTGAGACTCCTTCAGGCAGAGACTCAATCCTAGTGAGACTCCTTCAGGCAGAGACTCAATCCTAGTGAGACTCCTTCAGGCAGAGACTCAATCCTAGTGAGACTCCTTCAGGCAGAGACTCAATCCTAGTGAGACACCTTCAGGCAGAGACTCAATCCTAGTGAGACTCCTTCAGGCAGAGACTCAATCCTAGTGAGACATCTTCAGGCAGAGACTCAATCCTAGTGAAACTCATTTATACAGGGACTTAAACTTGGTGAGATTCCTTCATATGAAGAATCAGTTGTGGCTTATTAAGTATAATATGGGTCCTTCATTGTAAATCAGAATCTTTCTGATCCTACCAGATACATGGACTGTACATGAAGATCATATGAAATGATTTGTCACCCCTAGTAATGTTCCAAACAGGTCTGATTGACATTTTTGTTCAGTAACAGTTTAGCTTTAAAGAAAAATTCTAACTACATTCCTCTAAAAGAGTCCTGCCCCATGTCCCCCAAGGTTGAATCAACTTTCTGAATTCAAAACTTATTGCCCACCCATATTAATTTTTCAACCCCAAATTAGGTTGAAATCCTGTTAGGCATTAACGGCTTATGTATATTGGATGAAACATAATGGCTCTTGAACGTTCTCATCATATGAAATAAGAAGAGGCCCAATGGGCCTGCAGCGCTCACCTCGCATTTATATATATTAATACCACCCAAATATATGCCTTTAGGCCTTTTACTTCAAAAGAAGTCATTCACAGGTTTTGATAAATGTGATCCCTGTGACCTTTACATAGACCAATGTCATTTCTTTTTTCAAACTTCATCTGGCTTCATCCTAAGAACATACCAGCCAAATTTCAAAACATTTGGTCCATTGGTTATTGAGAAGAAAAGGATGCCGGACACCACGCCCTTCAAGCCAGGTGAGCTAAAGATTATTCAAATCTGACTCAACGCTGATGTTTTTGGAAACCATAATACTGACTTACCTCTTTCCTATTGGAACAAGGAGGGAGTCATTACAAGTCAAATGAAATTCTTTTCCATCGACATTCGCAGTAGAATTTCCCTCCTGTAAACACATGGACAATAATTATCATAACATATAACACAGGGGTAGGAGTTATCATTACTTATCATTACTTATAACACGGGGGCAGGAGTTATCATTTCTTATAACACAGGGACAAGTTATCATTATTTATAACACAGGGACAAGTTATCATTAATTATAACACAGGGACAAGTTATCATTAATTATAACACAGGGACAGGAGTTATCATTATTTATAACACAGGGACAAGTTATCATTAATTATAACACAGGAACAGGAGTTATCATTAATTATAACACAGGGACAGGAGTTATCATTACTTATAACACAGGGGCCGGAGTTATCATTACTTATAACACAGGGACAAGTTATAATTACTTATAACACAGGGGCAGGAGTTATCATTACTTATAACACAGGAACAGGAGTTATCATTACTTATAACACAGGGGCAGGAGTTATCATTACTTATAACACAGGAACAGGAGTTATCATTACTTATAACACAGGGACAAGTTATAATTACTTATAACACAGGGGCAGGAGTTATCATTACTTATAACACTGGGACAAGTTATCATTACTTATAGCACAGGGGCCAGAGTTATCATTACTTATAACACAGGGGCAGGAGTTATCATTTCTTTTAACACTGGGGCAGGAGTTATCATTACTTATAACACAGGGGCAAGAGTTATCATTACTTATAACACAGGGGCAGGAATTATCATTACTTATAACACATCGGCAGGAGTTATCATTACTTATAAGCACAGGGGCCGGAGTTATCATTATTTATAACACAGGGGCAGGAGTTATCATTACTTATAACACAGGGGCAGGAGTTATCATTACTTATAACACAGGGGCAAGAGTTATCATTTCTGATAACACTTGGGCAGGAGTTATCATTACTTATAACACAGGGGCAGGAGTTATCAGTACTTATAACGCAGGGGCAGGAGTTATCATTTCTGATAACACTTGGGCAGGAGTTATCATTAATTACAGTACAGAGGCAGGTTCTATTATATTTGGTAAAAGTCAGTATTATATAGATCATGCCATTCTCTAAGGTTTCTTGTGTGTACCCTCCTATTCTAAAAATATGTAATGCTCACCAGCTGCCAAATGAAAATTTCAGCATTATCACATTTCCCTGTATTCTCACCCTTTCCATAAACATTGACCTGTCAGTGCAGAATGTGAAAGAATTAGTTTAACAAGTTGAAATTCACATAAAAGGTGAATGGTCAACACCAAATGTATTATCGGACATGTTGACCTGACCTAAATAGAAGTGTTACCAGACATAAATGTATTAACCTGACCTATATAGAAGATTTCATCAGACATGTTGACCTGACCTATATAGAAGAATTCATCAGACATATTGACCTGACCCATATAGAAGATTTCATCAGACATGCTGACCTGGCCTATATAGAAGTATAGAAATGATGCAATAGTTATTTATTAGACTTGTTCACCTACCTCAAACTGCCTATCTTTGCCAAACATGTTGACCATGCCTTTACCATCCAGCTCCTCACGATTCCTATCAATCCAATCCTTCAGACTGAAAGGTTCCTCTAATTCTACTGTTGCATCCAGATTAAAAGGAGGGTCTGGAATAGTACCTACATCAAAAATCAAGCGGATTATATCTAAATAAATTCCTTCATCTGAAAGATTTTGCTTTGAATTCTAACATCGCATTATTCACTGAAAATGAACTTTTCAGCATGATTAATAGATTCTTACAACAGAATACACAGGCATTGCCAACGAAAGCAACAAATTACAGAGATTGGTCATATCTACAGAAGATCCTAGAGAGATCTTCGTGTCAATCATTGTTTGATTATTATCTTTTCTGAATAAGTTCAATCTTTTTCCATCTTTTCACTATTTTGCTCTATTTTTGTTCTTAATTATAAGGAATTTGAAAATTTTTTTCAACGAAAAGGCAAAAAAAACCTTTCATAGTTAAAATCCAAAATGGCAAGCTATCAGCCATTTCACATCTCTAATCAATCGCAAAATTGGCAATGCATATAGGCACTAAGGGAACCTATATATGAAATTGTTATATAAAAACTAACAAACTATCACTATTTAAATCCAAAATGGCCACCTTTCAGTCATGTAATTTTTCTGATCAGACAAACCTATATATGTGATTTGACAATAATCCATTAAATGTTTCTCAAAAAAAAAAATGAAAAAAAACAAAGCATTGCAGACAGTACAAATAACTTGCACCCAAAAATTGTACAATATGTAAAGTGTAAAATGAATTATGTAGTGGTTTTGTATGTTGCATGTGCTAGTCTAACATTGACCAATTTTATGTTCAATGTCTAAATTATACCTTGTATTTCAACTTTTAAAAACTAGGTTACTGATACTATAAATAGAAATTGACAGAATTTTGACATGACTGCTATACAGGTTGAATTTACATTTCTGATTGACTGATTCTGATTAATCTGTCTACTAGAATCTTATAGAATGAACACTATCATAAAAGATCTGATGAATTACAATCAAATTAGTCAAAGTAGGTCAATCAAAGGTCACAGTGGGTAATATTTGTGATTAAGTATGTGAAGCATCTTGACAATTGGACAATTGGATGCAGCTTGTAGAACAGTGATGTGATTTTTCTATTTATGGTTACAATGACCTAGTTTTTGACAGCAGAAGATTGAAACATGAAGTCACACAAGAGGTGGTGTTTGTGAACATGTGTATGAAGTTTCATGGCAAGCAAATAAGTAATGAAGCCTATTCTATTTATAAATGTGATGACCTAGTATTTGACTGCAGAAGATTGAAAAATGATAGCGGTGATGTTTATTAACATGTGTGTGAAAAACTATGACAACCAAGTAAGAAATGCAGCCTGTAGAGCGATGACACATTTCCTATTTATAGTTACCATGATCTAGTTTTTGACAGCATAAGTTGAATTCTCACATGGTGTCATTTGTGAAGATTTGTGAAGAATCATGACAATCAGGTATGAAATGCTGCCTGTAGAGTGGTGACATCATTTTGTCTATTTATAGTAATGAGGATGTAGTTTTTGACCTCTGAAGGTTAAACCTTAACAGAGGTGATGTTTTTGAACATGTGTGGATTACTGTGACAATCTGATAAGAAATGCAGATCCCTATACACCCTTGAAGAATTCATCTCAAGGATATACAGTTTCTGCTGTTCAGATATATAACTTTCAAATACAAGTGTTTGAATACTGATTGCCAAATTTCCACACTCCTAAAACTTCTGCAGCAAAAATACTTTGGTTTGTGCCTCTAAACAGTAATTTTGCTAGAGAAATAGAATCAAGGTTACTAATAGAATATATTGATTTTGTCGGGAACATCAGTACACAGCCTTCTATTGAAGACAAATATTAGATAGAAATAAAAAAAGCAAGGAATGCCTTGTAGGAGAGCTTACCAGTGGGTCGTCCTGTCTTGAACTCTTCAGATGCAAAGTACCTGTAATGAAACAGTATGACAAAGTACTGAAGTGTAACAAAATACTGTGACAAGACAATGTGATGAAGTCTTGAAGTCTGACAAACTACTACTGACAGAGTGAAATAGTAATCAAATGTGACAAAGTACTGTCAAAATATGTAACCAAGTACTATGAAGAGAAAGTGTGACAGAGGCTGAAGAAAAAATGTGACAATGTATTGATAAAAGAGAGTGTGACAGTATTGAAAAAACAAAGTGTGAGAAAGTTTTGAAAAGAGACAATGTGAGAAAGTACCCTGGTGAAAAGAGTGAAGAAAAAGTTAGACAAAATACCTGTAAGAAATGCGTGCAATGAAATTTAGGGCTAATGTTTTATTTGTATTTATCAAACTAATGATAAAATCTCAGAGGACCATATCACAGATCAGACTTTGGTTAAAATGTATTTCTCCTAAATAATTATTGTCTACCATAATGAATATGAAGGTAGGATATCACAGTTACAATAGATTAGAAATTGGATCAACATCTTGTTTACACCTACAGTTACGTCTAGATGATATCTTAAATTCACAGTCCATCCTGAATGTCCAATTTGACCCCTCAAATTGTTCAGAAAATCCCTCTAAATCTAGCTCTGATGATATGATAACAGAAGAAGCCGTAACAATCTAAAGTCATGATACGAGTAATTTACAGTGATAAAGACTGTAAACACACATTTGTTGTGAAAGGCAAAGAATTCTATAAATACAGTATAGCTGTTTGAACTGCATACAAATTAAAACTATTGTCATTTCAACATCACAATTTCTCCCTTTGGAACCCCCTATACAATATCAGTGTACTGTGAACTTAGATTAATCAAGAAAAGGGGCGATTCCTCATTACTATGGCAACTGTTTTAATTGTTCCATGGATCACACTGACTACCTGTCCCTAGGGTTATCTTAGTACTGTTTGACCTGGAATTTCACCATGATGTCCCTTTAATACATTCAGTTACTTTTTTATTATTGGTGCGAGTTGCACACCAAGGTCTTCACAGTGGAACCACTCCTCATACAGAGATTCTAAAGTTGAGGCACCATCCTTCTCTATGTAATATCTACAACATACAAATTTTTACAAAATGAGTCAAAGGTACCCTATCTTCAATATATTAGAGTATTGTCTAAGTTGTCGAAATATATGTCAAGGTCCCTCACCTAACCCTATCCTAATTAGATGTCAAGGTCCTTCACCTAACTCTATCCTAATTAGATGTCAAGGTCCTTCACCTAACCCTATCCTAATTAGATGTCAAGGTCCTTCACCTAACCCTATCCTAATTAGATGTCAAGGTCCTTCACCTAACCCTATCCTAATTAGATGTCAAGGTCCTTCACCTAACCCTATCCTAATTGTTGTCAAGATCCCTCACCTGACTCTATCCTAATTAGATGTCAAGATCCCTCACCTAACTCTATCCTAAATACATGTTAACATCCCTCACCTGACTTTAACCTAAATACCAAGATCCCTTACATGAATCTGTCTTACATTGGTGTCAGTGTCCCTAATCTGACTTTATCCTAAACAGATGTCAATATCCCTAATCAGAGTCTCTACTAAACAGATGTCAATGTCCCTAATCAGTCTCTACTAAACAGATGTCAATATCCCTAATCAGAGTCTCTACTAAACAGATGTCAATATCCCCTATCAGTCTCTACTAAACAGATGTCAATATCCCTAATCAGAGTCTCTACTAAACAGATGTCAATATCCCTAATCAGAGTCTCTACTAAACAGATGTCAGAATCCCTAATCAGAGTCTCTACTAAACAGATGTCAATATCCCCTATCAGTCTCTACTAAACAGATGTCAATATCCCCTATCAGTCTCTACTAAACAGATGTCAATATCCCCTATCAGTCTCTACTAAACAGATGTCAATATCCCTAATCAGTCTGTACTAAACAGATGTCAATATCCCCTATCAGTCTCTACTAAACAGATGTCAATATCCCTAATCAGAGTCTCTACTAAACAGATGTCAATATCCCCTATCAGTCTCTACTAAACAGATGTCAATATCCCTAATCAGTCTCTACTAAACAGATGTCAATATCCCTAATCAGAGTCTCTACTAAACAGATGTCAATATCCCTAATCAGTCTCTACTAAACAGATGTCAATATCCCTAATCAGTCTCTACTAAACAGATGTCAATATCCCTAATCAGAGTCTCTACTAAACAGATGTCAATATCCCTAATCAGTCTCTACTAAACAGATGTCAATATCCCTAATCAGTGTCTATCCCTACTAAACAGATGTCAATATCCCTAATCAGAGTCTCTACTAAACAGATGTCAATATCCCTAATCAGAGTCTCTACTAAACAGATGTCAATATCCCTAATCAGTCTCTACTAAACAGATGTCAATATCCCTAATCAGTCTCTACTAAACAGATGTCAATATCCCTAATCAGAGTCTCTACTAAACAGATGTCAATATCCCTAATCAGAGTCTCTACTAAACAGATGTCAATATCCCTAATCAGACTAAACAGATGTCAATATCCCTAATCAGTCTCTACTAAACAGATGTCAATATCCCTAATCAGAGATCTCTACTAAACAGATGTCAATATCCCTAATCAGAGTCTCTACTAAACAGATGTCAATATCCCTAATCAGAGTCTCTACTAAACAGATGTCAATATCCCCTATCAGTCTCTACTAAACAGATGTCAATATCCCCTATCAGTCTCTACTAAACAGATGTCAATATCCCTAATCAGTCTCTACTAAACAGATGTCAATATCCCCTATCAGTCTCTAAACAGATGTCAATATCTACAGTAAACAGATGTCAATATCCCTAATCAGAGTCTCTACTAAACAGATGTCAATATCCCTATCATCAAACAGATGTCAATATCCCTAATCAGTCTCTACTAAACAGATGTCAATATCCCTAATCAGTCTCTACTAAACAGATGTCAATAACCCGAATCAGACTCTACTAAACAGATGTCAATATCCCTAATCAGAGTCTCTACTAAACAGATGTCAGTATCCCTAATCAGAGTCTCTACTAAACAGATGTCAATATCCCTAATCAGAGTCTCTACTAAACAGAGGTCAATATCCCCTATCAGTCTCTACTAAACAGATGTCAATATCCCTAATCAGTCTCTACTAAACAGATGTCAATATCCCTAATCAGAGTCTCTACTAAACAGATGTCAATATCCCTAATCAGTCTCTACTAAACAGATGTCAATATCCCTAATCAGTCTCTACTAAACAGATGTCAATATCCCTAATCAGTCTCTACTAAACAGATGTCAATATCCCTAATCAGTCTCTACTAAACAGATGTCAATATCCCTAATCAGTCTCTACTAAACAGATGTCAATGTCCCTAATCAGTCTCTACTAAACAGATGTCAATATCCCCTATCAGTCTCTACTAAACAGATGTCAATATCCCTAATCAGTCTCTACTAAACAGATGTCAATATCCCTAATCAGTCTCTACTAAACAGATGTCAATATCCCTAATCAGTCTCTACTAAACAGATGTCAATATCCCTAATCAGTCTCTACTAAACAGATGTCAATATCCCTAATCAGTCTCTACTAAACAGATGTCAATATCCCTAATCAGTCTCTACTAAACAGATGTCAATATCCCTAATCAGAGTCTCTACTAAACAGATGTCAATATCCCCTATCAGTCTCTACTAAACAGATGTCAATATCCCCTATCAGTCTCTACTAAACAGATGTCAATATCCCTAATCAGTCTCTACTAAACAGATGTCAATATCCCTAATCAGAGTCTCTACTAAACAGATGTCAATATCCCTAATCAGAGTCTCTACTAAACAGATGTCAGTATCCCTAATCAGAGTCTCTACTAAACAGATGTCAGTATCCCTAATCAGAGTCTCTACTAAACAGATGTCAATATCCCTAATCAGAGTCTCTACTAAACAGATGTCAATGTCCCTAATCAGTCTCTACTAAACAGATGTCAATATCCCTAATCAGTCTCTACTAAACAGATGTCAATGTCCCTAATCAGAGTCTCTACTAAACAGATGTCAATGTCCCTAATCAGAGTCTCTACTAAACAGATGTCAATATCCCTAATCAGAGTCTCTACTAAACAGATGTCAATGTCTCACATCCGAGTCTAAACTAAACAGATGTCAATGTCTCACATCTGAGTCTAAACTACACAGATGCCAATGTCTCACATCTGAGTCTAAACTAAACAGATGCCGATGTCTCACATCCAGATGTATACTAAGCAGATATCAAGATATTTTACCTGAGGCCATCCATCTCTTTCTGGTCCCTTTCCCTTTCTATCACCATGCCGATGGTGTCAGATTGTCTCTGAGGTGAATGGGCTACTCTGGATGGTAACAGGAAAATCTGTATAGGAAAACATATCCTACTATTATAAGGATAAACAAGATTTAGGATAATGAAAACTAGTCCTTATTTGGATGAAGAACTTTTGATATAATGAAAACATGTCCTGCTTCAATCAGGATAAATATTTTTGGGACAATAAATAGATGACCTGTTGTTACGAGGATAAAGATTTTTTGGGACAATGAACAAATGTCCTGCTGCTACGAGCATAAAGATTTTTTGGGACAATAAATAGATGACCTGTTGTTACGAGGATAAAGATTTTTTGGGAAAATGAACAAATGTCCTGCTGCTACGAGGATAAAGATTTTTTGGGACAATGAACAAATGTCCTATTGCTACGAGGATAAAAATTTTTTGGGACAGCGAAAACATTGGAATAAGAGAAGATATACATGTACTTGACATGTTTTTTGAAATTATTACACAGGCACCATCATGTGTCAAAATTACAAAATTATTGAACTATGTGGCTAGTATATATCATAATAACTTGACTGAAATATCACTGCTCCCAAAAAAAAGATACATACATACCGCCCACTCCCTGGTAAACAGAGACATACATACCGCCCACTCCATGAAAAAAGTGGCATACATACCATCCCCTCCCTAACAAACATAACATCCCCTCCCTGACAAACATACTACCTCATCCCTGACAAATAGTGACATACATACCACCCCCTCCCTGACAAACATACCACCACCTCCCTGACAAACATGCCATTCCCTTCCTGACAAACATACCACTCCCTCCCTGAAAAACAATGACAAATATACCATCCCCTCCCTGACATACATACCACCCCCTCCCTGACATACATACCATCCCCTCCCTGACATACATACCACCCCCTCCCTGACATACATACCATCCCCTTTCTGACAAACATACCATTCCCTCAATGACAAACATACCATTCCCTCCCTGACAAACATACCATCCCCTCCCCAACAAACATACCATTCCCTCAATGACAAACATACCATCCCCTCCCTGACAAACATACCATTCCCTCAGTGACAAACAATGACAAACATACCATCCCTCCTGACCTAGTGACATACATACCACCCTCTCCCGATCTACAATGACATACATACCATCCCCTGACCTAGTGACATACATACCACCCCCTCGCAGACAAACACTGACATACACTACCAACCATCCCTGACCTACAGTGACATACATACCTGTCCTTCTTTAATGTGAATGTCCCTATGTTTGTTGTGCTCCACCACTTTCAGACACATGTCCCCTTTTATCATGTAGAACAGCTGGAACATGATCCCATCAAAAGGATACGCTTGATATTGTTATAAAAGTCAATATGAGGTATCACAAAATCAGTCTACTTGTGAGGTAAATACTACATACAGTTGATATTTGGGTTCACTACAATGATTACCATCCAACAGTCAAGTGACTTAATTAATCTTTATTACTATATCCCAGTATATTTTCCCCCCCAACATTAAAAATAAAAGTTTTAAACAAAATATATACTGGTATATTATTGAAGATAACCACACATGTGTAACAATGTACTGAAGTATTACAGTTATATATATATAGCTAAACTGTGAATCCTGTTCCAACTAACAAACCAGGCATACATCCAGTACAATCAAGTAGTTTTTATTATATGCATAATGCTTATCTACCTGACCTGTCCCATTGAAAAAAAAAACAAAGAGGCCCATAGGGCCTGTATTGCTCACCAGTATCTTCATACCTAAAGATTGGGTATTTCAAACATTTCCATATTAAAGCTTAGTCACTTAACCTCTTTGGTAGGGCAAGACCAGGGGATAAATTCTGATATCATGACTGTCTTTCTATATTGATGCCAAGTAAGAGTTTATATGATTAGCAGGCTGTATCTAAGATATACCGGTAACACAGAAATTAAGTCTTGAGGGGTGGGACTACACCTCAGGGCAAGTTGTTACATTATGAAGGTGTTTATCTCTTTATGCCCAGCAATGCTATATGTGGTTATGGGATGGGAATATCAAATGTTTCAAAGATATAACCCATTTCCCTAATTGAGCCAACCCTTCATTTAAACAAATCTGATTCCCCTTCACCCAAACATCCTTCAGATTTTGCCAAATTTTGGCAAAGCCCAATCATTTCTACAATGGGAATAGGATTTCACAGAATTTGCTCTATTTCCACTATTTGGCCTTCCCCTTGCAACCCCGGAGGCTGAGACCTACCATTTATATAAAAATTTATTCCACTTCACCAAAAAGATTCTTCAAACCAAATTGGACAAAATTCAATCATTTCTACAAGAGGAGTCAAAAGGAATTAAATCAAAGATCTTCCCCCACCCCTTCCTCTGTTGTTCATCAAACTACAAGCATTATGCAGAAAAAGTTGACCGCGACAAATGCCAGTTGGTACAGTGTACAAACCCCAGTAACTGGGTACTGTTTTGTACAGTGTTCACACCCTAAGAGCTGGGTACTATACTGTTGTAGTACAGAGTTCACACCCTAGGAGATGGGTACCCTTAGGCACAGTGTTCACACCCTAGGAGCTGGGTACTATACTGTTGTAGTACAGAGTTCACACCCTAGGAGATGGGTACCCTTAGGCACAGTGTTCACACCCTAGGAGCTGGGCACTATACTGTTTTGTACAGTGTTCACACCCTAGGAGATGGGTACCCTTAGGCACAGTGTTCACACCCTTGGAGATGGGTACTCTTTAGGCACAGTGTTCACACCCTAGGTGCTGGGTACGATTTTAGTACATTGTATAAACTTCAGTCCCTATCTCCTTACTACTGATGTCACTCCGACTATAACAAGACTGTCTTACCTCCTCACCCTCCTCTATATGATAGTCTTTCCTCTGGTTTGGTCCCCCCACATAGAACAGTTTCATCTGTCCTTCATTGTGCCTTCATTAGCAAGAAAAATAAAACAAACAGTTAAAATTAATTATTTTCATTGGTTACAAGTCTTTAAACGGTATACTCGTTTAACATATTAACTGTAAACATCTCTTTAACTAAGTGATGAACAGCTTTCAACATTAGTACCATATGTAATTTCTATGAATTATGCCTCTGTAGCCACTTACTCGCCTTGCACAGCATTGGTCCTCAGGATAGTTCTTACTATCTATCTGTAATCTGATTGTTTTGTCGTTTGTCTCGTGTGATTGTAAAAGGTACATGACAAGGACAAAAACATTATGAGAGATTGGTAGTCAGAATCCTTCAGATTGGTTAGGGACATAACAGCTTTTTGACGAGTAAAAAAGTGGGATGTTTCATTGTAGTGAATCTTCATGCTAGCCTTAACAGCATCAAGTGGTGGGGATACCTGACGTGTATGGGGAGTGCCCCATGCAAGTAATATGTTTGGGAATATGAAGAATTCTACCTGCAATCTTTTTTTAAACCTTTGATGTAAATCAGTAAACCTTTCATGAAAGATCATCAATCATATATTTGCGCATATTCCAAAAGGTTCTATCTATCCGCGATTTTTTATTTTCGTTGCTATAGTTGCTGTCATTAAGAAATTTTCTTACTTTCATTTTGCCGGACTTCCACAAGTCTAGCGAGTTATTTTTAGCGGCACGTCTGGCCTAAATTTTGATATCTACCTGCGACCATAAACCCATTGACCATAACCCCAGAACTTTGCGACCACAAGTAACAGTATCACCTACACATTGTATTAAACTGATGCTCTGATCAACATGTCTTATCTTCGCATGTTCTAAAGTAATAAACAGTGGCCTGCAATAGGAAAGTTCACTGAGGCAAGAGGGCCTATCTAGTAGTGATCGAGCGCGAACTTTCGGGTAAAGGTCGACTGAAGCTATAAAACTTTATCGAGACATAGCTTGTTACCTACATCATTTTGTTGCACACAGGTGGGAGGAAGAATTTCTGGTTCTCCTCGATCCATTTGTCCGTGTTGTAGTGGACAGGTGCGTTAACAGTCGTAGTAGTCATGATGGCCGAATTGCTTAGCGGTGCGTTAGTGGGGCACTTCTTGGGGTAGTTATGTTTTGTTGAAAAGAAAACAATTGTCTGTTTAGCTGTTACTTAATATTTGTATTCAAATTAGCGTTTTTGTTGCTAGAAAAAAATCCTGCTTCTTGTACTTAACATCATACCTATACGAGGGTTGAAGGAGTTCTTATACATTGTTTTAGTTTCAGTCTCATAACCTCATGATGAACTTTTCATACATGACTTTGCAACTCTCTAGACGTGTCACTCCCTTGTCAAACGTTGTCGGAGTTGTTGGAAGCTGGGTTGGGTTGGGGAGGGGTGATAAATAAAGTATCATGTATTTGCCATCTCGTGTAACAATTTTCAGCTCCATCTCGGGGACAATAAGTCAATTTTAAACAACCAGGAGCCCCCGCTATGCTTCTATGTGTACAATTCTGGAAAGAAATACCCGTTGTGTCAAATTAAAGACTTCGAGAAAATATGTGACAGAGTTGAATTTTATTTCATTCAACTATAATGTTCGTTTTTCTTGTATTCAAGTAATTATATAAGTAATGTAACGTCATCGGTAAACATGTTATGATTGGTCATATCCGGGTTTGTGCGACGAAAAGAGTATGAAATATACCTTATAACAAAACGAACAATTAATTTCGTAAACATCTGAAAAACAAAACAAACAGGGAGCATTTCTAAGACGAACTGTGTGCATTACCATGATAAACAGACTCAGATGCAAACCGAACGGTCACCATTTCAAAACGAAGCGATTGGTACAAAACGACCAGTCACTATTTGAATTAAGGCTAGATGGCGTGCGAGTCAGCATTTCTGTCATAAATACGGTGGAGTGAAATTGTTCCACTGACGAAAGCAATTAGGCAACAGATATAGCCTATGAATGTCATCTCCTTACTGATATAAACAAATATACACATCAGTCCGATAACGAACGAATAAGATTAACAGTACATGCATAATTCATAATCATTTGAGACAAGCTCAAACAAAATAATAAATACCAACCGTTTTAGTGTTAATAATATCGCTAATTGATTATGACAAGAACCGGTCCGAAGGTCAACTAGAATGGAATGCAGCACAGGCAAATAGTCCATACATATTCACCCTCCTTTGCTGAATCCATACACATTCACCCTCCTTTGCTGAATCCATACATATTCACCCTCCTTTGCTGAATCCATACAGATAGCAAAGCAGACAAAAACCTGACACTACAATGTATGATCGGAATATTTACTTTAAAAACTCGTATCAGTAATGAATCTCTTAATCAACTCAAGTATGGGATTCTTCGTAACTACATCTAGCTCATGGTGGCCATCTTGAAATGTTTGTCTGTTTAGAGGAATACGATCGCTCAGGTCAGAAAGAGAAGTAAAAATGAGTTGTCTTTGGTTAATGAAAACATGATGAAGGAAGAAGTGAGAAGCATCTTCAACTGGATGGCCGAACTATCTATTAATATATCATTATCATCGTTACAATCTGAACGGCCCGTCAACACATAAAAGGTCGTTAGGGCCATTAACCAGTGAAAAACGCGGCGATCCAAAAGAAAATAACATTAACAAACTAAAAAGTAAAAGACAAATGCTAAACATCTTCAATGGTTATGTTATCCCTAAAAGATTAAAATGGAAAGTGATATACTTTAATACGTACGATAAAATGTTCTCGAGTAGACAGAGAATGTCAATGCAGTCCAGTACAAATTATTTAACGATGAGTGGCTAATCACATCCTATGCACTAAGGGTTATCTTCGCCTTACATCAAATATGAATGTGTAAGGTAAGTATGGCCCATCCGAAGACGAGCAAGGACAACTTCGTTTGGTGGTTGTCTCTGTAGAATGGAGACCGTTCACCGACGATAGGTTTCACGGAATGCAATCTATTATCGGTATATTGATTCAATTTCTCTTGCTACGGAGCTTTTAAGAATTGCTTGATAAATGTATTACGAATGAAAATATTTTCGATATTTCTGTTGCTAAGACTTTGAAGTACAGAAAAAGAGTCTGAATAGATAACAGCTCTCATTACTTAGTTTGTTTGAATATATTCAAGGGCGAGGTAGATAGCTCGCGCTTCCGCCGAGAATATTGAGGTGTTCGGTAGCCGGCATCCATAGGCTTCATCTCAAGTTGTGAAACCATGGTCGCGGCAAGCTTATTATCTTTTGAACCATCAGTGTATAAACGCAGAAAAAAAATTAATTGCAATTTCGAAAAGGATGATTGGAAGGTGCAACTGTCAGTGTCTGATTTATCCATTTCGTAAAGGGAAAAGTCAACTTCAAGTGAATTCAAGAGCCAGGGTGGGATTTCTATTATTCCAAATGACTGAATTTGGTTAATATCAACATTTATGTTTTGTTAAAGAGTGAAAAACCGAAAACGGAATGGTGGAATGGTCTTTGGTTTGTTTTGAAACAAGTGAAAAGGCCTGATTTGAAGGATTTGACTTTAGCTGAATTGTGTATTAATACATACAGAGACGTATATGTTATATATGCCTCTGATACATAAGAGGGCGTTGAAAAATCAGCGTTCAAACTACTAACGGAATCATTTAACTGACCTAAATTTATATTAATTTTCCTGCTTCCATAAACTTGAAAAAAGGAAGTGCACCTGTGTTTGGCATCTACAACGAGTTGAAATAAAACTTTTTTGTTGCACTAATGGACGGCATTGTGGAATACAGGCAAGATGGGTTGTTCCATTCAGACATATTTTGGAGGGAGAAACTGGTTATACATGAACATTAGAAAAATATATTCTGACGAAGATATTGATACTGGTCAGTAATATTAATGATGTAAGGTTGAGTTGAATCATAAACACGAACAGGGTACCTTTTAGAAAGTATTTTGATGAATGTAACGACGTTTTATAAGTGGAAATAAACCATATTCTCTCTGTAAAATATGACGACTTGTTCCCCGACTCCAGGCGGTAGTTATACTTATCGCCTCAAGTTGGATGGAATCTAGGATGTTACTATTGTGCTCTGTACAATTTAACCACATTGCATCTGCATATTTAAGATTTGGATGAAAATAAAATATAAATTGTTTCAAACGAATTTCTGTCAAGTTTATATTCTAGTAGTACATTTATTCTTTTGTATGGTAGGCTTTTACATAAATATAATTTATGTGTTTTGACTAGTTAGCATGGCTGTTGAAAAATAGATTCAGATGATTATGACTGCGAACATTTTTATAACCAAGTTATTGAAGTTTAAAACAGGATATAAAATCTCAGAGTCAATCCGTCTTGAAAAAGGAGGGGTCCGAGTCTTACCAGAATTGAAAATGATTTCCCTTTTTTTTTTGGCCCAAAACAGAAAGTTATCTCTGACCATTATTCAGGGCATTAGCGGCTTGTTTCCCTCAACCAGACCGTATAGTAAAAACAAGTATGGACCTAAAACTGATCCTTCAGGTAAACTTGCCTATAACGTTTTCCAGTTAGGTTTGAATATATCTAAGACCACTCTGTGTCTCCTATCAATTAGGTAAGATGAAAACCATTTCAACATGTTGTTATAAATGCCATATTTCCAATTCTGGTGGGTAATTACATGGACACGGTCAATGAACTTCTTACGTAAATCTAACTGTTCATTAGACACAAAGCTGAAGTTCAAAATATGTAAAAAAAGAAAAAAAAATTCTTTTAAATCCTTGAAACAACTCTGGGAAGAGAGACTTCACAGAACCCTACAAAAATGGATGTACTGATGTCTTTCAACAATTACACCAAAAACTTACACTGTAACATTTAAAACAACAAGAGCATGCCAACTTGTGGACACAATCATAACCTAAACTATAACTCAATAAAACTAAATATGAACAACAATTTACACGGAGATTCATGAAAAAGTTAAAGGAGAATAAAAAAGGTGTTCCTGAAGAGTAAACATCTTCTGCTTCATTGAGGACACACACCATGTAAATCTTGGTAAATCAAAGTAAGTCGATTAAACCACAAACTGACCAGCCAAAAATGGAAATTTTTAGCTGTGACCTAATTTTCAGAACATCAGATGAAGGTCACCCTGCACCTGTGGTATGTCCATAAAACAATAGTTGTTGTTGCTATTTCTTGATAAGTGCTGGGTGGATCATTCCAAAATTTCATATAAATTTCCATAATCCTTACTTGTGCCCTTTTGATTTTCCGAGTGACCAGAAAAACAAAACGCTAACAGGTGGACTTTAATAAAGCAGTTTGTTATTTATTGGTAAGTACAGGATGGGCCTTTCTGAAATTTCCTATTTTTATTTTGGTGTCCAGTAAAGCCCTTTGAATTTTGTGACTGACCAAAAAAACAAAAACGGTGAATGATGGTCATCTTGGGTTCTGATAATGTAAGATAATTATTGCTATTTCTTGAGTAGTACTGAATGGATCTTCCTCAAGATTTCATATATAGAATAATCATGGTCTCAGGATGTGTGTATCCTTTTAGAACTAATGAAACAAAATGGTCAGAAGCCTTCCAACTTAGATTTTGATCTTGTTATTTAACCAATGGAATGGATCTTTTTTAATTACAGTTGTGTGCGACTGAATTAACCAAGGTTGTATATAGCTGTGTGAACAGAGGTTGTGTATGACTATGTTAACTAAGGTTGTGTATGACTGTTAATTGTGATTGTGTAGACTGTGTTGACTGTGTTAACTGAGGTTGTGTATGACTGTGTTAACTGAGGTTGTGTATGACTGTGTTAACCAAGGTTGTGTATGACTATGTGAAACTAAGGTTGTGTATGACTATTAATTGAGCTAGTATATGACTGTGTTCACCAAGGTTGTGTATGACTATGTTAACTAAGGTTGTGTATGACTGCTAACTGAGCTAGTGCATGACTCTGTTAACTGAGGTTGTGTATGACAGTGTTAAATGAGGTTGTGTATGACTGAGTTAACTGAGGTTGTGTATGACTGTGTTAAGCAAGGTTGTGTATGAGTGTGTTAACCAAGGTCGTGTATGACTTTTAACTAAGGTTGTGTATGACTGTGTTAACTGTGGTTGTGTATGACAATGTTAACTGAGGTTGTGTATGACTGTGTTAACCAAGGTTTTGTATGACAGTGTTTTAACCAAGGTTGTGTATGACTGAGTTAACCGAGGTTGTGTATGACTGTGTTAACTGAGGTTGTGTATGACAATGTTAACTGAGGTTGTGTATGACTGTGTTAACCAAGGTTTTGTATGACAGTGTTTTAACCAAGGTTGTGTATGACTGTTATAACTGAGGTTGGTTATGACTGAGTTAACCAAGGTTGTGTATGACTGTGTCCAGTGATGTATTTAATGTATCATTTGGCCCATGCCCAGTGATGTACTAATATATCATTCCACCGAGGCCCAGTGATGTATTAATGTATCATTCCACCGAGGCCCAGTGATGTATTAATGTATCATTCCACCCAGGCCCAGTGATGTATTAATGTATCATTCCACCCAGGCCCAGTAATGCATTAATGTATCATTCCACCCAGGTCCAGTGATGTATTAATGTATCATTCCACCCAGGCCCAGTGATGTATTAATGTATCATTCCACCCACGCCCAGTGATGTATTAATGTATCATTCCACCCAGGCCCAGTGATGCATTAATGTATCATTCCACCCAGGCCCAGTGATGTATTAATGTATCATTCCACCCACACCCAGTGATGTATTAATGTATCATTCCACCCAGGCCCAGTGATGTATTAATGTATCCACAAGGAGTAAAGGGTTAACTAAGGTTGAATATCTCTGTCTATTGTTGATATCCTGTTTCTTTCTCTTTTTTTTTTAATGGTTAACAAATAAAATTGATGCATTTTACTTTCTCACAACATTTTATTTTCATTCACACTTTCGAACAATTTGACTAAAAGTTATTATCATCAAAATCCTGGATTCCAGTCTAATTTTGTGTGTACCATCTTTGACTCATAACACACAATATAATCTCCAGGTTGAAACACAAAGTCTTCATCACTTACTCTAAGTCCACATTCCATGTCTTTTTTTATTTCATTAACATCCTTTTTGAAATGTTTTAGAGAAACTACACTCCCTGAAATAAACAAAAATATTTATTATTTTCTATGTCACACGAGTTCATCTTTTTGTATAAATGTTTGTAATTCAAGCACTAATTTCAATATGTATATCAACCCATCATAATAAGACCTTTCAAGCAAATTCTGACCAAGTGGAGATATGAAATATAATGTAGGCACTACCATTGACAAAGGGGGGGGGATATGAAATATAATGTAGGCACTACCATTGACAAAGGGGGAGATATGAAATATAATGTAGGCACTACCATTGACAAAGGGGAAGATATGAAATATAATGTAGGCACTACCATTGACAAAGGGGAAGATATGAAATATAATATAGGCGCTACCATTAACCAAAGGGAACCTAGGAAGAAGACATGAACCTGCCTGTTTACAGGAGTAAGGGACAAACTATTATCAAATACCTGTACAATAGCTCAGATACCTGTTCAATATCTCAGATACCTGTACAATATCTCAGATACCTGATCAATATCTCAGATACCTGTACGATATCTCAGATAACTGTACGATATCTCATATACCTGTACAATATCTCAGATACCTGTTCAATATCTCAGATACCTGTACAATATCTCAGATACCTGTTCAATATCTCAGATACCTGTACAATATCTGTATGATATCTCAGATACCTGTATGATACCTCAGATACCAGTACAATATCTCAGATACCTGTATATCTCAGATAACTGTTTCATATCTCAGATACCTGTATGATACCTCAGATACCAGTACAATATCTCAGATACCTGTATATCTCAGATAACTGTTTCATATCTCAGATACCTGTATGATATTTCAGATACCTGTACAATATCTCGGATACCTGTACAATATCTCAGATACCTGTACCATATCTCAGATACCTGTATGGTATCTCAGATACCTGTATAATATCTCAGATACCTGATCAATATCTCAGATACCTGTACCATATCTCAGATACCTGTACAATATCTCATATACCTGTACAATATCTCAGATACCTGTTCAATATCTCAGATACCTGTACAATATCTCAGATACATGTATGATATCTCAGATACCTGTATGATATCTCAGATACCTGTATGATACCTCAGATACCTGTACAATATCTCAGATACCTGTATATCTCAGATAACTGTTTCATATCTCAGATACCTGTATGATATTTCAGATACCTGTACAATATCTCAGATACATGTACCATATCTCAGATACCTGTACAATATCTCAGATACCTGATCAATATCTCAGATACCTGTACCATATCTCAGATATCTGTACAATATCTCATATACCTGTGTGATATCTCAGATACCTGTATGATATCTCAGATACCTGTACAATATCTCAGATACCTGTATGATATCTCAGATACCTGTTCAATATCTCAGATACCTGTACAATATCTCAGATACCTGTACCATATCTCAGATACATGTACAATAACTCAGATACCTGTACAATATCTCACATACTTGTACAATATTTCAGATACCTGTACAATATCTCAGATATCTGTATGATATCTCAGATACCTGTACAATACCTCAGATACCTATCCAATATCTCAGATACCTGTATGATATATCAGATACCTGTAGTGTATGTGATGAAACAACTATAAAATCTCTCCAGAACCACTTGTTATGGACAATACAACAATGGTATTGTTACCTCTGTAAATTGTCTCATCATCCCGTATGACCTTGAATGGAGAGGACAACAGCAGATTTCCCTTGACACACTTACAACCGGCTATTGAGAGCTGCTTCTTGCCATCATGGAAAGGGAAAGATTGTAGAACTTGGGCTTCACCTGAAAGATCCAAACTCTCTTATACATTGACCATATCTTATTTTGCTCATGATACTTTGCCTGGAACATTGGCATGTGGTGCACTCTATATCCTGTTTCTATGTATCTCACTATGACCTAATTCATTCCCTGTAAAACCTAGAGATATTTGTGTCTAGATTCCTCGGTATACCTATAAACTTGTCCACTTCCTCTAGACACTAGAAAAGTTTGTGTCTATATTCCTCACTATAATGATAACCTTGTTTACGCCCTGTAGACACTAGAGATGCTTGTGTCTATTCCTAACTACACCTATAGCCTTGTCTACACCATGTAGACACTAAAAATAATGGTGTCTTTGAATATTTGCAGTCTTACCTATGATATCTTCCACTTCCTCTTTTGGAATCCTAGAAGTCATGGTTTCTTTAATGTCATCAATCATTTTGTATATTACGTTGTGTTCTCTTATTAAGATTTCTTTTCTTTCTGCCATTTTGCTGATATCATTGGGAACTTTCACATTAAATGCATAAATTTCACCTGAAAAAACAAGAAATTTCTTATGTGAACAATTAACTGAAATCTTGTGCCTGTGTCATAATACCCCAGTTAAATTCCTTATGTAAACAATTAACTAAGACGTTTAGCCATATAATACTGAATCCAAACATCTGGCCCTTGACCTTGTGTCACTTTGCCCTTGACCTTGTGTTTCTGTGCCTTACTATCTTCACTTTACCAGTTCCTTATCATATTAGGTATAATATTATACATACTAATTGCCAACAGTGGAAAAGATACCCATCTATGGGTCATCGTGTTCTTCTGTACGAACAATAAGGAATGTCAGAAAAGGAAGGAGAAAGAATATCAAGAATATTTCAGGATTGATAAATGAACATGGATAAAAGGTAATTGGATCATGATGTAAAAATTATAAAATAATTATGGTTACTAGATGTATAATCATACACACTACATTATTTGGGACCAGTGACTGATAATTACTTATCACTTTAATGACCATTAAAGATAACTAAATGATTGTAAAACAAACACATTTCTAATATCAGATACAAATTAACAGACCATCTAATACAATTCACTAACCATTATTTATGATTATACAGACCATTTAATAAGCGTTTAGTGACTGCTAAATGAGACTGTTTTGGTCATGAAGCCCAAATTGAAGAACCATTAAATGTGAATTTACCAATTAATTCAAGTTTAATGACCACCAAATACAGCTGTTTTGGTCTTTGAGAACAAATTTATTAACCATTAAATATGAAATCACCAATCACTTAACTACACTAGCATTTAATGACCTCTAAATCAGATTGGTTTGGTCATTCAGTACAAATTTTAAAACCGTTCAATCGTAAATTCATTTACAATTAAATTGGCACTTTATGAACACTACAAGACATTGTTTTGGTCATGGAGTATAAATTTACTAACTAAAATATATGTTTTTACCAACCATTAAATAAGGGTTTAATGACAAATAATTATAATGAAGTTGTTTCAGTCATCACGTTTAAATTTACAGACCATCAAATACTTCAGCTGTTTCTATGTCATTCATGTTCACCTCCCCAACGTCATAGCGAAGAATATCCAGTCGGCACTGTGACGAGTTGTATGTGCTGAGACAGTTTAAAATTGCTTCCACAGAACCATCAACATCACCTGAAAATTAAACAAATTAACATTGACATTGATTTGTCAACATCACCTGGAAATTATGTAAATTAATGCTGACAACAATCAGTCAACATCACCTGGAAATTATGTAAATTAATGCTGACAACAATCAGTCAACATCACCTGGAAATTATGTAAATTAATGCTGACAACAGTCAACATCACCTGGAAATTATGTAAATTAATGCTGACAACAATCAGTCAACATCACCTGGAAATTATGTAAATTAATGCTGACAACAATCAGTCAACATCACCTGGAAATTAATTAAGTTAATGTTGATCAGTCAAAAAACTCATTCCTCAAACACGTTCCCTTAATACCTGCAGATGATGGTGATGATATTTACTTTAACTGACTCTAACCAATACTGGACATAAACACATTTCCATAGTAAAATATATACTGATATATACATTTGTAATTATGTAACAATAAAACAATTGTCATAAATGCACGTCAAAAAGCAATCAAGTTATTTCACAAATCCAATAGTGTGTAAATAACAGTTTCATATCATCATTTATATTTTTTACTAATTACAAGTATTAACAGGTGTGTTATAACAATATCAATGAGTTAAATGTCTACCTTTTATAACGACAGCTAATTGTGGACTAGTATCTGCTGCTTCAGATTCTTTCTTTTTTTGCATCGATCGTCTCCTATATCCTTTTAAACGGATTGAGTTCCTCCTTTCAAGATAAATTTCTCTCAGCTTTTGTTGTTTTTCTTCAATTTCTTCAAATATTTTGTCTTCCTTTTCTTTAAACTGGTTATCTTTCCTCCAAGAAATTGCATCTTTGATCTGTGACTGTGAAGATAAAATATACTATTTTAACAGTATCTGCCCTTAGCTGTATGCAATCGGTAGGATACTGTAAAAATGTGGAAATCAACGTAAGAGAAATCTACACTAAAATGGTGAGTCTTTTGGCTCTGTAAATTTCACTCACTCAATGTACACATGGAACATGTGGTGGCAAGGATAATGATGAGAAACCTACATATGAAACATGTGGTGACAAAGATTGAGATGAGACACCTACATATGAAACATGTGGTGACAAAGATTGAGATGAGACACCTACATATGAAACATGTAGTGACTTCAAAAAAGATGAGACACCTACATATGAAACATGTGGTGACAAAGATTGAGATGAGACACCTACATATGAAACATGTAGTGACAAAGATTGAGATGAGACACCTACATATGAAACATATGAAACATGTAGTGACAAAGATTGAGATGAGACACCTCCATATGAAACATGTGGTGACAAAGATTGAGATGAGACACCTACATATGAAACATGTAGTGACAAAGATTGAGATGAGACACCTACATATGAAACATGTAGTGACAAAGATTGAGATGAGACACCTACATATGAAACATGTAGTGACAAAGATTGAGATGAGACACCTACATATGAAACATGTGGTGACAAAGATTGAGATGAGACACCTCCATATGAAACATGTGGTGACAAAAATTGAGATGAGACACCTACATATGAAACATGTGGTGACAAAGATTGAGATGAGACACCTACATATGGAACATGTGGTGACAAAGGCTTTGATGAGACACATATATATGGAACATGAGGGGACTTAAAGAAAGAAGAGACACCTTCATATGATAAAAATGATATTAAAGGATTGCAACATATAAACTAATAGAAAAAGCATTAAAACAACTCCCTCTTTTAGACCACCTCCTCCCCACCAATGAAGGTGTAAGATGCATCAATTATTCAAAATTCAGTTCACTTCACCAAAGGATGATTCAGACCCAAATCCAAATTTGGACAAGATTCAATCAATCCTACTGAATAAGAACAGTTTTAGATAATTTGCTCATTTCATCTATTTGCCCTTCCTTCCAAGCTAGGTGAGACTCAGTATTTATAACAAGAAGCCTAGCAACCTTGATGGTAACCTGAGATAAGCAATATTGAATATAATGTTTAGCAGATAAGTAAGTAGTTTCAATTGTCATGAATAAAGAAATTGTGACATTGATTGTAGTAAGCCAGTAAACCCTACGGAGAAATGTGACACCCCGAGGCCATGAAATTCATAATTTTGGTAAAGTACATCAATGAGAAGCATTTCAAACTATCATATCTGAATGTTCAGAAGATTTCATTAATTTGAGTTAATTTGACACTACAAGCCCCACCCCTCAAGCCTGTGTGGGGTGGGGACCATATAGTTCAATCTTTTGGTTCAACTTAGGCCAGGGAAGGTTTCCGCAATATTTTACTGAAATTAGTTCAGGGGTTCTTGAGAAGTCTAAAATGTTAAATTGTTTACGGACGCATGATGCTTGAGAAAGATGATCACTCTTTATAGGTCAGCATGATGAGTCTTTGTCTCAGGTGACCTAAAACTGAATCCCCCCTTCACGTGAGGTTGCTCTTGACCAATTTGACCAGAACCCAGTCATTCAAAGAATTTTTGAAGAATTTGCTGTGTTGTCCTTATTAGGCCCTGCCCCTCCCATCTCTAGGAGTTGAGAAGCACCATTTATATGAAATTAATTATCTTCATCCAAGGATGAATCAGACCATAAATTGGGACATAATCCTAGTGTTCCTACACAGATATACAAATTTAAAAGAATTTGCTCTTTTTCCCCTATAGGGCCCCACCCCTGACACTCATGGTGGGCCCAAGACCCACCGTTTATACAAAATTGATTCCCATTCACCAATTAATATTTCAGACCAAATTTGGGCAAAATCCAATTATTCCTACAGGAAGAATAGGATTTTTAAGCAATTGTTTTATTTCCCTGATTGGGTCCTGCCCCTCCAGCCCAGGGAGCTGTGACCAATTGTTTGTACAAAATTTACTCCTCTTCTTATGCTTCTGACAAAATTTGTTCAAAATCCACTGAGTCATTAACAACAAGTTGCGATTTATAGCAAAAATTGGACAGATGGAGGGACATATCAGTATATGGAAGGATGCTTGCTCTATGGCATAAGCTCATTGGTCCATCAGACCCGGTGAGCTAATAACAATCCTGGAAACATCTGATATGTCAAATTAACAGGATTTGATAGCTTATATCAGCACTCTGGGCCTTATGGCTGATAAGAAGAAATTGTTTAACACTTTTGAGCCCTGTTACATTGAAAGTGGGTCAAGGTCATTCATTTGAATAACATTGATAGCCGTTCACCCAAGGTGGCTATAGGCCTTATATCAGAACCCTTCGCCTTTTGGTTATTGAAAAGTCATTTGAATGGAAAGTGTACACACAGTGACAGACGAAACATGAGAGCAGGATGGAGATAGATCAGCAAATGCTGTTAGTAAAACATAAAATGAAAATTTCAAAAATTCTTCAGCTCTTGAAATTCACACAAATAAGACATTTTTACACCAAAACATCACTCTTCCTATGGACTGAGAGGGAAACTATTCTGATGCTTTACAGTAAATGTTTCAATATAACTTAATAAACTAATGAAGACTTTATAGGCATTTCTCAAAATCTGTAGTTTTTGTCAATAGTATACACAAAAAAATTAAATTCATGAAATATATATTTATACTACCATATGACTCTAATCCTGGTTTGTTTTGAAAAGCACTTCAACTTTTTAGAAACTTTTATGTCCAGCTTCTCGGCATACTTACTGGATGTAAAATTTATGTGATAAAACTATACATCAAGTTTGGTTAAAAACTGAGGCTGTCACTACTGGAACTGTAGTCTTGCTTTCATGACTTTACATTACAAATGAGACAAATTTGGCAGTGGAAGGACAACAGATAGACAATACATGTCACAAAATGGCTATGTGACAACAGCTCACTTTGCTTGCCCAATTAGATAAAACACAGTTGATTTACATAGATAAAAAGTTAAATACAAGGAATAAAGCCAAAGTCAATCTGTACTTGAGTGAATCCGAATGTCCTTTACTCTTCAGCTGGATACTCAATGGTATGCAGGGTGATTGGGTCATAGTGTGGTGAAATCAGGGTATACAATCACAACAGCTTCCTAGCAGGCTTCTCATGTCACAACACCAAGAAAATACCGACATGTGAACATAGACTTAGCTAAAATTTGATAAAACTAGCGTAAAATATTAACAAAAGAAAGATTTACATTTAAACTCCTGACAAGTGTACACAGAGAATAAGACCAGGTGTTCTGCAAGACAAAGTGTCTTCTGCTTCATCGATAATACCTGCCATGTAAACTCAATCCAATTAAGTAATGTCACCTTCTCAAATAAGAACAAGGTATACAACAACAGAACCAACAGGCAAACTAATGAGCATCAAATGCATCGACCTTCATATCACACTATGTAATAAAATATTTCTAAATGAGATCACTATGACGACTGTAATAATTCTAATCAACCTGCATCTCCTAAAACCTGGTGTTAAGAGTTTGTTCTTAATATGATTCATCTTGCAGGAAAACTGTGATGTTAGAAAAAGCTCTTGATTATGGAATCAACTGCAACACCATAGGTTGGGGATGCAGAAGTTGCTATCCAGAAACGCAAAAATCAAGATAGGAAAATGGAACATTGTATCAGCTATTAATTGAATTGTATACTTGCATTTTATGTACCTAGGGGTAAAAAAAATTGCATTTTGTCCTGAAGAAGCTGATTAACTGGTGAAACAGTAAAAAACTACAGAATAAATTGATGAAAACCTACTCAGAAGCTGTTGTTAACCCTGAAGAAATAAAAAGTTGTTGACTTTGTTATTGTAGAAAGTTACATTAGTCAGTAAATCAAGCAAGGTCTGAGGCAACTTATCCTATATCTTAATGACTTAATTTTCTATACTTATGAACCAGCATGAATTCCTTACCTCTGATGAACCCTGAAGTATTTCACATCCTGCAGATGGTAACTCCTTCCAGCCAGTGATCTCAACAGGTGTTGCTGGCGGAGCTTCCTTTAAAGGTTTTCTGTTTTCATCAAACATTTGTCGAACCTAGTGTCACAGATTATATCAGAATTAACAAGCATTCTGAAAGTACAGGTATCGCAAGTTTGGAAAATGATGCATAATTATAAGAATATTAGATGCAATGTCTCCATGATATGTTATGCACATCCGCAGTTTAAAATCATCATCTGTGCTAAGTTTGGTTTTTATGCTAAGGACTTTTCAAAAGAAGGTGCACGAAAGTAATGTGGTAGTTTTTCATAAAATGAATGAAAAGTTTCTTTGTAAAAACTTTTATGGAAGGCAAGGTGATTTTCTAAACCTCTATATAATACAAAGAAATCACGACATGCCAATCTTCACTTCATAATGATTGTTTTTCCATAGTTTCCTTGTCATGTAACATAAACATTAGGAAGAGCTGCATTTACAAAGAATGCTGTGTATAAACATAACAGAAATTCTGAAAGAAAGCTATGAAGTTTAAAAGGGACGCACATAATTAATTGAAGAAATAGTTGTCCTTTTTGGACCCTACCCCCAAGTGGTTGAACAAATTTATTTTAATTTATCTAAGAAATGATTGCAATCTCCCAAACAAGTTTCACAGCAATTTTGGTTGGAATCTGCTAAAGGTTCAGTAGAAGTAGAATTGCAAAGAAAAGTTCACTGACAGCACACAAACAGACAAACCATAACAGCAATAGGTGATCTAGTCCTCAGGGTCTAATAACATAATAAAAACTGACTATTTGTAATATTCAGTGAAATTCCATAAGAAATGAATTCCTTAGAGTAATGAGACTGACCTTGGCCCAGGTTGTCCCAGCTATCAGCAGGTCTCCTTTCCTCAGTGTGCCACTCTGTATTATGGCAGTAACCAACCTCCTAGAATGTTTAAACATGCTGCTGTCATTCTATAAATAGCAAATTAACAAATCAAGATGAAACAGAACAATCTGCCCAACACTGAAAGAATACATCCCATGTGATTTAGGGTACATATTGTAATACTAAGAATGTAACCATTTATGAACAGCCTGTACAGGTCTGGAATGTATCAGTCCCACGAAGTACAGGTCAGTAACAGTCCCACGAAGTACAGGTCAGGAACAGTTCCACCAAGTACGGGTCAGGAACAGTCCCACCAAGTACAGGTCACCACCAAGTACGGGTCAGGAACAATCCCACCAAGTACGGGTCAGGAACTGTCCCACCAAGTACGGGTCAGGAACAGTCCCACCAAGTACAGGTCAGGAACAATTCCACTATTCAAGGTCAATGTAACCTTCAATATTATTAAAGTCTTTGATTTTTCATTCTCCAACATATAATTTCTGAAATCTTACCCTCTACCAACATCAGTACTGGCCTCTATGACACGACCTCTGACCTTCCCTGCTGGGCTAGCTTTAAGATCCATGATTTCTGCTTCTGTGAGTATTGCCTGCTGAAGTTTTTCAAGGTTTGTACCCTGCAATAGAAAAGCAATGGTATATTTACCTTGAAGAAAAGGCTTCATTTATATCTCCACCAAAACAGACCTGTATAAATTAACATTGCTATAAATAAAAAACAGCTATAAACCTCATCATTTTCATCGATGTGAGTTGAATATTATATTGTATACTTAATATGCAGTATTTTTCACAAACACTTTTTATTGTTGATGATTTGTTGAGTCATAATGATTTCCATTTGCAAGTACAAATCATCTCTGGCAAGTATCATTCACTTAAAGAAAAGTTGAAAAAAAGGGTGATCAACAGACAATACACAGCTAAACTGATGGAGGGTCACAGACAATACAAATCTCAAATGAATAAATTTTAAATTCTAAATATCCAAGCAGAAAACACAAAACATATCTATTTTCTCATTGGGTCCTCACACTCTCTCCCTAGGGGTTCAGCCAATTCATGCTTCAGACCAAATTGAGACAAAATTCTGCCATTCCTTATGAAAAAAGGATTAAAAAAATGTTCTATTTTTACTGACAGGTCCTGCCCCTGGAGGTTGAGAATTGGTGCAAAATCATATCATTCCTACAGAAGGAGTAGGATTTCATAGAATTTGCTCTATCTATGCTATACAGGGCCCTGCCACTTCTGCCCCAGGGGGTTGAGGCTCAGGTATACACAAAGTTAGTTACTCTTCCCAAATGATGCTTCTGACCAACCTTTGTAAAATCTCCCCAATTATTCATGACAAATAGCAATTTGGGCCAGATGAGCTAAAAACACTGTATGTTGATATATTTAACAGAGTGAAAGGGCCTCTGCACCTGTGTTCTCGGTTGTACCTTAGAAAAGTATTTGAAATATTACCTTAAGAGCAGACACTGGAACTGCTTGTGTATCTCCTCCGTAGTCTTCAACAGTGATTCCATGTTGTAACAGCATTTGTTTGGTATTTTCCTGTAAGGTTCAATTTTCTTATTTCAACAGTTAAGATACAATGTCAGCTGTATACTACAGTACTGGTACAATGTCAGCTGTATACTACAGTATAGGTACAATGTCAGCTGTATACTACAGTACAGGTACAATGTCAGCTGTATACTACAGTACAGGTACAATGTCATCTGTATACTACAGTACAGGTACAATGTCATCTGTATACTACAGAACAGGTACAATGTCAGCTGTATACTACAGTACTGGTACAATGTCATCTGTATACTACAGTACAGGTACAATGTCATCTGTATACTACAGTACAGGTACAATGTCAGCTGTATACTACAGTACTGGTACAATGTCAGCTGTCTACAGTACAGGTACAATGTCAGCTGTATACTACAGTACAGGTACAATGTCAGCTGTATACTACAGTACTGGTACAATGTCAGCTGTATACTACAGTAGTGGTACAATGTCAGCTACAATGTCAGCTGTATACTACAGTACAGGTACATTGTCAGCTGTATACTACAGTACAGGTACAATGTCAGCTGTATACTACAGTAAAGGTACAATGTCAGCTGTATATTACAGTATAGGTACAATGTCATCTGTATACTACAGTACAGGTACAATATCAGCTGTATACTACAGTACTGCTACAATGTCAGCTGTATACTACGGTACAGGTACAATGTCAGCTGTATACTACAGTATAGGTACAATGTTATTTGTATACTACAGTACTGGTACAATGTCATCTGTATACTACAGTACTGGTACAATGTCAGCTGTATACTACAGTACTGGTACAATGTCAGCTGTATACTACAGTACTGGTATAATGTCAGCTGTATACTTCAGTATAGGTACAATGTCAGCTGTATACTACAGTACTGGTACAATGTCAGCTGTATACTACAGTACAGGTACAATGTCAGCTGTATACTACAGTATAGGTACAATGTCATTTGTATACTACAGTACTGGTACAATGTCATTTGTATACTACAGTACTGGTACAATGTCATCTGTATACTACAGTACTGGTACAATGTCAGCTGTATACTACAGTACTGGTACAATGTCAGCTGTATACTACAGTACTGGTACAATGTCAGCTGTATACTTCAGTACAGGTACAATGTCAGCTGTATACTACAGTACTGGTACAATGTCAGCTGTATACTACAGTACAGGTACAATGTCAGCTGTATACTACAGTATAGGTACAATGTCAGCTGTATACTACAGTATAGGTACAATGTCAGCTGTATACTACAGTACTGGTACAATGTCAGCTGTATACTACAGTATAGGTACAATGTCATCTGTATACTACAGTATAGGTACAATGTCAGCTGTATACTACAGTATAGGTACAATGTCAGCTGTATACTACAGTACTGGTACAATGTCAGCTGTATACTACAGTACTGGTACAATGTCAACTGTATACTACAGTATAGGTACAATGTCATCTGTATACTACAGTACAGGTACAATGTCAGCAAAAATAAAATTCACTGAAATTTCGAGAAGAATGATTGGAAGGTGCAACTGTCAGCATCTGATTGATCCATTTTATGAAGAGAAAAATAAATTTCTTGTGAATTCAAGAACAAGGGTGAAATTTCTATTGTTCCAAATAACTGAATTTGGTCGATATCAATATTTGTGTAATGTCAGCTGTATAGTATATTGCAGATACTTACAATGTCAGCTTCAGGTTTATCTATCTTGTTAATGGCTACAATAATTGGAACTGAAAATGAGAAAAGGAAACACATTGTAAAAAGAACAATTCTCTATGAGATAATTTTTTGTTCATCTAGCACAAAGTGTTGTAAGTAAATTATTCGTTCAGGTATGAGGTTTCTGATGGTGCCTTTCTCGTTATGATATTCTTTTAAAACACAGTAAGTGATGTTTTAGCTGAATAGAGTTATACCTCCAGCATTTTTGGCAAATATAATGGACTGCTTGGTCTGTTCCATCACACCATCATCTGCTGCTACCACCAGTACGACAATGTCTGTGACATTTGCTCCTCGTTCACGCATGGCTGCAAAAGCAGCATGTCCAGGAGTGTCCAGGAATGTTATAGATTCTCCTGATGGCAGGTTGACTAAAAGCAAAAAAACAGAAATTAAAATGTCAATTCTACCACACAGGTGGTTCATTATTTAGATAATATCACACACACAAATACATCAATCCCTGTGTGTAGTAGAAATATTGTCAAAATCTTGCTGATTAATCATTATCTGATGAATGTACTAGTATCAAACCTATTGACCCGTGAAGGATATATTTCAAAACAATAGATTCAATAGTAATATCATATAATATGGAGGGTGATCATTTGCTTAATCTTAAAAATGTGTTGAGAAATAAGAATAATGAGCTTAAGAGAATAAGAACAAGCATTGGAAACAAACCAGAAAATGCTCCAATATGCTGAGTTATGCCACCAAATTCATTTTCCACCACATTGGATTTCCTGAGAGAATCTAGCAGCGACGTTTTACCATGGTCTACGTGGCCCATGATGGTGACAACAGGAGATCGTGCAACTAATACACTAGGATCTGGGGGTGGACTGAAACACAGCAAGTTTAAACAATACTTTAAACACATACTGTAGACACACACAAACAGGACTACTAACATTCCTACAGAGTAAGTCTGACTTGTAAGTAAACAGACAAACATGACTAAAACATTCAATCAAAGTTAGTCATCAAGTAAGTAAACACACAAACATGACTAAAAACTTTCCTACAGAGTAAGTCTGTCTACTAAGCAGCAGACAAACATGACTACTAACATTCCTACTGAACTAGTCAGTGTGTGATCAGGACATACTACAATATGTACATTGCTTACATACGATGGTAATATATCTTTGTTTTCGGTCTGCTCCTCTTCAATGTATGTAATCTGCTTAGCTGGCGCTTTCTCTACTACATTCACTTTCACTCCGACAAATTTACCAATTGATTTCATTACTCCAGCTGATGGTTCGTTTTCAAATTCTGTATAACAGATAACAGGAATCCTAAGTTAGGGCAATATTTCTCTAGAAAATGTCAAGTACACAAAAACATTTTATTTCACAGTAGAATTCTTCCCAAGGACAGAATTCTTTAGTGTAGACATATAATGAAAAATAAATTTCATGCTCTGATGATAGTGTATTCAAGTTTTTATCAGGAAAATGAATTCTTAATAGAATTATAAATACAGGTGGATGAAGGGATATCAACCCTTGAGAATACAATCTCCAGGAGAAAATTATCCAATCCACCAAGGCCTATTTTGTCTTCCTTAGTTTACTTTTATTTAACTTGTAGGGACATCCAATTATACTGTAACAATATTCTTCTAAACTTATGGGAACATCTAAATGTACAGTACAAATATTCCTCTAAACATGTGGGAACATCTCCATTTCTTGTAACAATATTTCCCCTGATTTTTTATAATAATCTCCCTTCCTTGTAACAATGTTCCCTTAAACTTGTAAAAACATCTCCATTCCTCCTAGCAATTTTCCTGTTTTAAATGGTTGTCAATTAGTAGTAATTGTATACTACATTCATTCACTCTAACATATACATACTTGATTTGAATTTTTCGTAATCATGACCACCAACAGCTTTCTTATAGTATTGTTGTATTGTACCTGAAAAAAGAAACAAAGAAATATTTAGATACTTATATTTACTTGGCAGTATTTATTGTATATCCGTGGAAAACAGTCTTAGCTTGAAACTCTGCAATCTACCTCACCTACCTCACCCACAAGGTATATTTTTCCTACTGCCCCATCCATTGGACATATCTTTCCTTCTGCCCCACCTGCCCAACCAATCATTCCTGCTGCCCCATCTTCCAAGTCAACATTTCCTGCTGGCCAATCTGCTGCTGCACATATCTTCCTGCTGGCCAACCCATTGGGCCTGGGCCTATCATTCCTGCCACCCCAACCACCAGAAATATCTTTCCTGCTGCCCCATCCATCAGACAAGTCTTTCTTGATGCCCCACTAGCTGAGCCAATCTTTCATTCTACCCCATTCATTGGGCATATCTTTCTTGCTGTCACACTGGTTGGGCCAATCTTCCATGCTACCCCATCCACTAGGCATATCTTTCTTACCCTACTGCTATGCATATCTTTCCTCCTGTCTAAACTAATAGGTTTATCCTATCTGTTGCCCAAACATCTGGGGATATCTTTCTTGCTGCCCCACTAGCTGAGCCAATCTTTCATGCTACCCAACCCACTAGACATATCTTTCTTGCTGTCCAGCTACTGAGCATGTCTTTCCTGCTGACCAATGTGAAGGGCATATTTTCCTGCTGGCCAACTCATTGGGCCTTGGCCTATCATTCCTGCCACCCTAACCACCAGGAATATCTTTCCTGCTGTCCCATCCACCAGGCAAATCTTTGGTTTTCTTACTGCCCCACTGGCTGAGCCAATCTTTCATGCTACTCCAACAGCTGAACCAATCCTTCATGCTACTCCAACAGCTGAGCCAATCTTTCATGCTACTCCAACAGCTGAGTCAATCATTCATGCTACTCCAACAGCTGAGTCAATCTTTCCTGCTGCCAGACCCAGCAGGCCAATATTTATTTACAACTGTGCCATTTGAATTTCCATTTATAAAAGTAGAACATGTACTCATTTGGCTAACTGTCATTGATCAAAGGTACAAACATTGTTTAAAAAGTGTATAACATTGTTTTTGATATAGACTAGTGTCAGGGAAAAAGAAATTTGCTAAATCCCCCAAACACATATACTTATATTGTCAACAAATATACCTTCATCTATGTTCAGCAGTGATGCAAATTTTTCAACTGAAACTCCCATTGGCACCTTTACAAATATTGAATCTGGCACAAACTTTTTACTTCCATATACAACTGGAGCTCTTTTCACATTTGGTCCTCTTCTCTGATTGTTTTTACCACCAAGAACAAAAACAAGAAAACAAAACAAATTAAATATATACATGTAAATACAAAATAACAGCATAATAATTGATTTAACCACAACAATAAACTATAATCAAAAGCACAGTACCAAATAGTTCAGATAAACTTGGATTTAAATAATAATTATAAAATAAACATACTGTATACATCAACTCTCTGTAATTACATTGTTTATATATACCAATCCGGACCAATGGAAAAGCAATATTTTATGTTTTCAAAATAAATAGTGTTACACTTGACTAGATACAAGCTTTTCAGTGTGCAAACAACCTATAGATTTCACACTTAGTCTCTTATAAGGACAAAAGGCATTTCCAATACTGAAAATTGCTAGAACAACAAGCATTTGCAAACCAAAAAATGCCAAGGCTTTCTGATAACCTAAGACATGAGGTGATGAGTATGCTAGCTAGTGGGCTTTCCTGTCATGAAATTGTATGGAGAAATGGTTTGACATCTTCTATTTTCAGACGGAATCTGATAGACCATGTCAAGGAAGACAGCAGGTAACAATGACATGGTAGAGTTTGATGACACAATGGTGAACGTATGCCCAATTACTGTAACAATGAGTGAGATCAATAGGGTGGTGAAAGTGTCATGGTATTGAGAGGAACTTCTTTTAAATCAAAACCCTGCTGGTTACCATAAATAGTAATCTGACAGCCCGGTGCTACATTAACAAGATTCTGTCAACTGCTGTACCATTTTTTTGGCACACCATATTGTTGAAATTGTAGGATAATGCTCGTGCACACTCTGCTAAATTGACAAGTGACTTTTTCCATCAGCAAAACATTCAGACACTTTACTTGGCCCAACTTTTCTACTGACCTTAGTGCCATTGCACACCATTTAAATAAACTTCAACTGAATTCATACATTTTTCAAAACTTTCAAAAAATTGGCAAAAAAAGAAATCCAGTGTTAAATTTTTCTTGTATATATATCCTCTGCATATATAAACACTCTGTATATATAAACCTCTGTATTATATATATATATATATATATGTATATATAAACCTCTGTATTATATATATATATATATATATAAACCTCTGTATTATATATATATATATATACATGTATATATAAACCTCTGTATATATATATATATATATATATATATATAAACAGTGATATAGCGGACAAACTCCACACACACCCTTACATTATATATATATATATATATATATATATATACCTAAACATATGTATATATAAACCTCTGTATTATATATATATATATAAATAAAATCATCTGTAAACATAAACCCATAGTATACATGTACCCACTGTAAATATATAAACCCACTGTATATATATAAACCCACTGTATATAAAAACCCACTGTATATATATAAACCCACTGTATATAAAAACCCACTGTATATATATAAACCCACTGTATATAAAAACCCACTGTATATATATAAACCCACTGTATATAAAAACCCACTGTATATATATAAACCCACTGTATATAAAAACCCACTGTATACATAAACCCACTGTATACATAAACCCACAGTATACCTAAACATAAACCCACTGTATACATAAACCCACAGTATACCTAAACATAAACCCACTGTATACATAAACCCACAGTATACGTAAACATAAACCCACTGTATACATAAACATAAACCCACAGTATACCTAAACATAAACCCACAGTATACGTAAACATAAACCCACTGTATACATAAACCCACAGTATACCTAAACATAAACCCACTGTATACATAAACCCACAGTATACCTAAACATAAACCCACTGTATACATAAACCTACAGTATACCTAAACATAAACCCACTGTATACATAAACCCACAGTATACCTAAACATAAACCCACTGTATACATAAACATAAACCCACTGTATACATAAACCTACAGTATACGTAAACATAAACCTACTGTATACATAAACATAAACCCACTGTATACATAAACCTACAGTATACATAAACATAAACCCACTGTATACATAAACCTACAGTATACCTAAACATAAACCCACTGTATACATAAACCCACAGTATACGTAAACATAAACTCACGGTATACATAAACCATCTGTATATGTAAACCTTCTTTATACAAACAGTCTGTATAAACCCTGATGTAGTCATCAGATTGGTATATCAGTTCTGGCATAGAATTAAAACCATCATTAAGTGTTAGTATAATTTATTGCTGAATCTCAACATCAACAATAGTTTGAAATATTACCTTTGTATTATGTACACATGATGACTGAATTCCCCGCAATGTTAGGTGTTGGCAGGAGATCATGTGTTTTGTGGCCATCAATGTCCCATGTTTATGTATCCAGCCAGCTTCAAAAGTACCGCAAACTGACACCATACACATTCTGTAAGGTATACAGTGCTGCTGCAGTACTCTGAACACCCGACTTAGCCTCATTGTGTTATCTGTTTAAAACAATGTTGAGAATCTACCAGTCAAAACCCTAGTAAATAGATATTTAAGGTAAAAACATATTCAAAGAACAATTCTAGGTATTTTGCCTGAAATCCAAGTGTGGCAAGTAAACTAACTTGTGATGGTATAATCATGATATACTGATGCATATTTCAAAACACAATAACATTATCCCTTGATCAAGTAGTAAAAAGCACCTGCAAATCTGGCTTTATACTCAAATTTCACTGTATGTAATTAAGGAAAATGTCAAAATATGAGTGACTCCTGACTGCAAAAATCATCAGCACATCAGAAAATGGATAACAAATCTAATGAGTTCTTGGAAATGAAACTTTTCAAACGACACAATTTCTGGTGAGTTGGTTGAATTTGTTATTGTAGTTTTTGGTACTTGCATCCTTTTATCAATATTTTCTGATGGTAGGGCAAGAAATTTCATGTTTTAAACTCTCCATATCTCAGCTGTTATCTCCACAAAAATCACATTCATTGCATGTCATTTCTTTTTATAAGGAACATTATACTGTAAGTGCCCCAGAGTTCTGAATTTTCATAGAAGAGATGTTTATACAAGCCTAGGAAACTATGTCACAGAGGTGGTTTATGTAGAAACAATAATATGGTGAATTTAACTTAAATATGTGCAGTTCGAAGACAGAAGTGCTCTCTTCTTCAACCATGTTTTTCTCCCTGTCAAGCATCTCTTTGACAGTGTTTACTTTGTATATCATGATCATCAGTAGATAATACAACCAAAGCTGAATGATGGCATAGTGAATTGACCCATGAAAGTCAACTGAAATATTACTTTTTTACTTATAAATTACTGAAACAAGAGGTCCAATGGGTCGGCATCATTCACCTGGTATTCAAAGCTTTTCTCAAAAGCATTATATTTCACGTCATTTGCATTCAAAGTCTTGGTTAATTGGGAAATGTTTATCGAAAGTTTCAGCAAAACATGGGTCAAAATCATTTCTCTTTTTCAGATTTTGTAAGGCTTCATCCCAGGAACCTTCCAGTGAAATATCACGATTCTATGATCTTTTGTTATAGAGAAAAATTATTTGAGCACTTAAACAAGTTTGACCCCTGGGACCTTAAATATGGGTCAAGGTAATTTATTTTTCTACAATAACAAACCTTCCAGGCTACAGAAGTCCAATCATACACATTTATCATTGAAAAACATTGGTTTTAAAACAATCCCTTTTGACGACTTATTTCTGTGAAGTGTAGACCAATAGATGGAAGAAAAAAATCCCACTAATTTCACCCAGTGCGCAGTGTTTTCCTGTAAGAGGTTATAAACTGATACCTGCATTATGGGACCATTTACCTTTTTTTCACATCATGATGCTTATATGTTTGCCCTTGCACATATTTTATTAGCCATAAGAACTGTTTGTTTACAGATAATCCACAGCCAATAGTTTGCTTTTTAGGGGTTGAATCAACTTTCTGAATTTAGAAATGGCTGCCAACTCCCAATGATGTTTTAGTCAAAATTTGGTTGAAATCAGTCCAGGTATCAAGCAGGAGTAGTGTTTAAAAGAAAAGTCTACTGACAGAAGTAGATGGTGCAGGCAGACGGACAAGGCACAATAGCAATAGGTTAACTTAACTTGAGTCAAATTACCTAAAAGTTTAACTTAAAAACTATGACTAATCTGAGAGAAACAATAATTGCTGATTGTCATTGCCGTCCTGGTAATTAGAAGTAAAAGTAGATATGAAAGTCAATTTGCCTAATTTTGCAAATATAGGTTTTAAAGCATCAACACTTTGATCTACACAGAGGGTCAAAATGTTTCTGGATTTGAGTAAAAAGATATTGGTCTATAGCTGGAAATCTTTGCGGGAATTCATACCTATAAAAGCCACATTCAGTGTTTTTCTACTATTACAAGGCAAACTCAACAAAAGTATTAAATCTTCCCAACAAACTGTGCAACATGCATCCTCTGTAAAGCAATATCCCCCTCCCTTCCAACCAACAAGTGATTCCCTCGTGGCACAGGTTCCACCTACCTTGTGATGCATGCACGTCTGTCATTTCAAGTGAGCAAGCAATTGAGGTCATATGTGGATTTTTCATGATAAATACAGACACTTCACTTAACAGTTTATTGAATAAATCTTATAAGACTGAACCACAAAAATTAAATGTTGTATATACATGTGTGAAACATACCAACAATACTAAATGAACAGCTTGAAATCCATAACGTATATCATCTGGACATCGGCACCGGACTATTATGTACTTCGGAACAATCTATTCACCCTTCAGAAAAGGTGCACACATCAACACATGCACAGATATACACCATTTTTTTGCACCATTGATTTTTTCTGTCATCAGTATGTCATTGCCATTCAAATGAAGATTTTATGTAATACAAGTGTACTTTTGGGTCAATGTAAGCTATCTCAAACGTCTCTGAGAATTAGTGATGTCATCAAAAACGGAAGTGCAGTCATATGTCCGACATAGATGTCGATCACATCAGGTGAGCGAATTTGTGGTCGGATCTGTGGATATTTTTCAGAAAAATACTGTTGTCTCACTAATCACTTTTCAAAGAAATATATTTTATAATATGGACATATTTGAATTAATTTATGTATTTGTTTGGTGGTAATTCGTTGACAAAACCTAACTAGCATGAAATGGTTCTTAGGGGTCATAAACTAATGCCCCAAGGATAAATACAGATACGGAAAAAAAACTTGCTATTTTAGTAGTGTTTAAGATATGTTTACATACAGAATGGCAAATTCCTGTGGTATGTACACATTCTAAGACATTTATGCAATTATTTGGTTGAAATTCATCGACGTTAATGGAGTCCGATTTACAACAGCTGAACATCTACAGCAAAACATACTGATATAACCGGGCTTATGTAACAAATTGCCAGCCAAGGCCTTTAACAGTAGCATGTATTGTCTGTTTGATAATGAGATCATATTGCCTTTGTAACAAAAGATAGGAATCAAACAGACGATTCTATGTCGTCAATATCAATATCGTCAACATAATCATATACAACCTTGTCAGCGTTGGTCGTCTCATGGATGTCGCCATGTTGAATATTCTAATTGTAAAGCGAGTGCGAAACCGGAAAAGCAATTATGAAACATGAAATCCGGAAATATATAACAAATTAAATCCTGCCAGTAATTTAAGTTTAACTTAGTTACATATAGTTGTATTATTAAAAAAAAAAGAGATCCCAGAGATACCATTGTTTGGTCTTTATTTATTTTTTCATTGACTTAACTTGGATAAATCTATTCTAAGACCATGTTTTTTTAAATGGTTCTATCTTTTCCCTTCAAACAAGTATACATCTATTTCTTCCAGGTACAGAAATTTTTCACTAGTATATATCTCTTTTCACTAGTAAGTCAATTTCTTCCCTGATTGAATCTGTTTCCTCTATAATTACTCTCCGATACCTCCCACATCGACTTGTTTTCTCTGAGTTTAGTCATAATTCCCTCCCACACAGATCAGACTCTGACTATTTGTTCTTGTTACTTTCTTATTTCATTGACAAATTTCTCTACTTTAATTACCTAAGATGCTCATTAGTTCTCATTCTTTCAAGTAATAAGAGATTTTTTTTTGCCATCATACATGGGACTTCTTTGCAAATAGAAATACAAACAAACAAAATCCAGGTAGAATCAGAGTTGGAAACCATAAAAAAAGTAGGGGTGTGGGGGATGTTTGAGTGTGAGATTTTTCTATTTAAAACAACCCAAAATCCTGGATAAGTGCTTGCTCACATAGATCCATTTAATTTCTCTGTGTATAGTCAATTTCTTTTCATAAAGATCCATTTTGTCTTGGTATAACTGTCAATTTTCTCTCACATAGATCGATTTCCTCTGGGTATAGTCTATATCCTGCCACATAGATCTATTTCCTCTGAGTATGGTTGCCAGCTTCCTCGGATATAGAGCTATAGTCGATTTCCTGTGACATAGATCTGGGTATAATGATCAATTTCTCTGACATAGATCTGTAGTCAATTTCCTCCCACATTAAAATTAATTTGATTCCTTTGTATATATAGTTAATTTCCTCCCACAAAGATCTCTTTCCTCTGGGCATAGTCAAAATATCCTCCCAAATAGATTTATTTCCTTTGGGTATATATGCTGTTCCCACAGATCCATCAATGTCACTGAAAGTGATTCTATAAAGGTAACTTGCTATCAAATCATAATACTTATTTAATTATTTTCTTACAATACCTCTAACATTAAAAGGTGCAAAATAGATTTGGTATCTTACTGAAAAGACATTTTCATAGCACATACATTTAAACATTATTTACAGTTTACTTACAAACCTCAAGAAAATTTTTCATAAGATTTAGAGCCTTATCAAAATTCAGTTATGGCCTGGTAATTCCAGGTGATGTATAACTTTATCTTATTTGGTAACTTGCGATGGCATATTCCTATTTGATTGGGTAAATCCAGGTGATGTGTGCTAGGAATATATAATACAGAGGTATAGGAATTCGAAACTGCTGATATCTCTTTGCAAAACTTTATGGAAGAATGCAAGTTAACTAGCCTTACTTGTAAACTATTTTTCTTATAAAGCATGAATATTTCAAAATAAAGAGTGGTAGAAATCTTTATAATTTTCATATTGATTATGACAAATAATTTCGCTTAACTTTTGCTTTTTATGAAACAAATGCTTGTGCTATTTACAGCTGAAATACTGCCTTACATTGAATACTATTTTCAGTCCAAAATATGAAGAAAATCATCTATTAATAGATGGTATTAAAAAGCTAAGTAACTTTCTGATTGACTGGCTGACAAAATGGTTCTGGTCAGGCCCATCACTTGTAATTCCACACTAACAACAGCATGGAAGTGATTAGAGCACAGGTAGATAAGATTAGATAAAAACAGTTAGAAGATGGGACTTTACAGATCAATGAACAAACACAACAGCTAATGCTAGAGAAGTCAACACTGAGGCTAGTTTTTAATCCCTCGATATTATATATTCCTGTGCGTTCCTACCTTATTTGTCAAATTCAGGTAATGTATAACTATATCTAATTTGGAAATTACAGGTGATGTTTAAAATAGTGAAAATATCAAATTACAATATATATATAAATAACCGAAAATTAAATATGGTTTTTTGAGTATAAATCTTTAATACGTTTTTATCTGGCAGATAACAAATGGTCAACTGTTGATTGTGATCAATATTGAGCACATGACAAAACAACCTGACATTACACAATCCGGCTTCCATCATTTCACTCCAAAATAATGTCATAGACTTAGATATAACTAAGTATAAGTCCATGATTGTATTAAGTTTCATACAATTTCTATACTGCAACAAATTATTAATTTGAATAGGTAATTTGACTAGATTACAAAACTCTTTAAAATAACCTTCTGATGACCTTCATTTAACTCTGACCTTTACAAGGGTCCTAGAAATTTACGCAACATTAGAAAGCAGTTAACATCTTTGAAGAGATGAACACAAAAATGAATTTTTCCACATATAGCTGGACAAGCAACATCTTGACAATCTCTGTACCTATATGAGTACAGATCAGTAGATCTAACATACATAGTTAGACCATCAAGACACAATCGTTTTGTATTCCAGTTCATCAGTATATTAAATCATTGGTTCAAAGTCACTAAATTTCATAAATGTGTGGGATAACTTTTTTCAATTACTACCTACTGCAGTATATCAGTATTCTGTATTGTTAGGTATTGACCATGAAAATCATAATTTGCCCATCATAGCTGAGCTTGCTACACTAACAAATAGTATGTCGGTTCATATCTAAAATCCTGTGATGTATTATCACACACACTTTGTGTGTCAGTGTGGGGGATCTTCACCTGGGGTCTCTAAACCAGCACTTTCGACTTTGTACACTTTTATATGAATTGCAGAATTGTTCCGTGAAAACGTGTCTGGTTCGTTGTCATCCTTGTCAGGCTCTAGATCATCCACCAGTTCCACAGTGGATGTATGAGTAGCAATGGCTATACTACCTCGTCCTGCTGCCTGAACTGTCAATGCCAGATTTGCAGCTCTAGTAATCGCAGCACCTAATCCATGAATATAAACTTCATTTTCCAAGTCCAGTATCTTTTTGCATCTTTCAAGCTGACTTTTATAGTTGGTTTTCCGACTCACGTAAACATCATTTTTGCGTTTTGGTAATTTATGCGGCAGACGTTTACGAAGGGTAAACTCTTCTTGATCAATGAGGCCCTTAAGTTCTGCTGACTTTGACCTACAAAAGAAACCCAAATAGTCACACCAGGTAAACAGTGAATTGTTCCTGTACTAAATTTCAGCATGACAATCCAATAGCTATAGAAATGTACACTTCATCAGCTTAGTAAAATCAAAGACTGAATTTAACAATACATACAAGCCAAAGAGACCTGCTCAGTCAGTCAAAGCAATGACCTTAATCTCAGATGAAGATCTGAGGTGCATGGTCCAAAGCTCCTACCCATGGCCTTTTTACAAAAACAATATTTTCATGATGTCAGCTTTGGAAGCCATTTTAAAATGCTTTACTGGTCCAAATTTTAGTACAATAACTCAGATCCAACTCATTAGTAAATGTCCAGTCTCAGTAGTATTATCCAGTCTTGAAATGAAGAACAAGCTTTTCTACATGGTTGTCATGGTAGCCATATTAAATATCATTTGGTTTACAAATAAAGTTACACTAATGAAAAATCAATGAACAAATGAATGAACTGGATGACAGCCCATGATGTTTGTGACTAAAACAGACCTAAAATCACTTTCTATTGAAACATTTGGTCATACTGATGTCACATCATATTTTATCTCCTATAACATTAAAGTACCCAGATACTCCCTGGTCTTTCAGCAGATGATAGGTTGTGACAAGGGGGGGCTATAGCTAATTCTAAGTGTTTGTCTTTTTCAGGTCATGGCAGCTTATTATCTGTAGGTAAATATTTATCTGTACAAAAATGAGATACATTTTCATCATATGTTTGCCATGATATATATTCCTTTAATAGTTATGCTTGATTGGAGATGCAGGGGAGTTGGGAATAAGTTAAAGGGATATGTCATTGTCCTGAGTAAGAATATGAAAAACACAAGATGTTATATGGTAGTTGTATATGTATCCCTTTATACCTGATATAACTGATGGCCATCATATATGTGTCCAAACTACTTAAAATTTGATGTTCAAATTAACTTTGTGTTCATACAGTTAAATTAAACATCAAATTTAAACTGGATTGATCTTTAAACCCTAGAAGTTGATAAGGCATACAGCATAATCATTTCATTGCGTGCAGAAGTATTTATAGTATAAGTTAATTCCTTAATTTGTCTCTACCATATAATGGTCAAACAAGACGTGTATAAACCCATATAATAGTATACGAATCTAAAGATTTTCCAAGTATGATTTTATCATAATTCAGGCAAACTTGGAAACAAATATATCACATCTTATTTCCGTACTTTTGTCACAAATGAATTATCTTAGAGTAATATATTTAGAACTGCCAAACATCAATAATTGGCATTAAGACTAATATACATGATATACATGTGTACATATCTTGTTAAAATATCCATACATAATGTACTTTTAGATAAAGAAGTACATGTAATTAAAAATGAGTAGAAAACAATTTTTCATGTGGCAATTGGTTTATGCCTTTATGTATACTATGGTAGACGGAAATCAGGTAATTATATAAAAATCTACCTGTATAATGTATTGGTTTGATTTTCACTATGATACCCAACTTTGAAATATTGTTATATTACATAAATCAACCTGGGGTTGAGTTTGCCATCTATGTAATGAATTATATAACCACAACACCAGAGGTAAAATGTCTACAAAACTTGAATCTGAATTCAAATAAAGAGATACAACTCTAAAATATCTAATTCCTGTTACACATACGCAAGTTAGTAGAAATATGTTTTATCTTTCCATCAATGTAAGATTTATAACTATTGCACTGATGTACACTATATAAGACATTGGTGGGGTCACTGGCATATCTATATAGGGTGGAATTCTGACTTTCAACGGAGACAAAGACAAAAGTAAAATTGCGGATAGTTAGTCAGAAGCCATCAGTCCAGTGTGATCCCTGCTCTTTTGTTATAATACTACTTGACATGATGTCATTAACTTACTATTGACATTACAGTCACAATGACACCTGTACAGGTATCTTGGTGTTATTTTTGTGACTAAAATTACCCATGTACAATTTGAATTAAAAAAATGTTAGGAGAGCCAGAAAGAGTATCCACATACTTTTTTGATAAGGATGCAAATATGATATAACCTCAGACACAAATATAAAATTAAGGTGAAAACAAACATTTGGTAAATGTTATATATATTTTTTTATAATTTCAAGGAACGGTTACATTAGTTATTAATTGTCAATTAGGCCAACATATCGTCTCATTACAACGGATCAAAATCCTCTTGACTCAGACACATGGGTGTATAAGTATGCAAATCATTTCAACAAGTTTTGAGCCAAAATGTTACGTCAACATCAGCAGTTTTAAATATACCTCGGATGAGTTTTCCCTCTGTCGCCGACAGTCTGCATGGTCAAACCGGAAGTGAATGAACTGGTTCCAGCTGTTGGTCTCAACTAGAAACTTCCGGTTTGGAAAGTGAAAGTATAAACAGCTGTAGTTGTGAATATGACCACTCAAACCGAATTGGCATTACATACACGGGATTACAAATGTATTGGCTGTGGAAGTGTTGCTGACCAACTCTATCGTGATTTTAAATCTGGAATCATCAAAATTGAGCACTGTGTAAGGAAATAGAAACTTAAAACGCAACGTGCAACTGTGCAATGTCGATGTAAAGGACCCATGCAAATAAATAAGTCACTATATGTTATTACTTAGAATTAAAGCTAAAACATTAATATTTGAACTTCGACACAAGTAACAACTGTTTAGATTCATAGAAGCATACTTGTCGAAGACTGCAAAGGACATAATTTAGTAGGTTTAATGGCATCTCGTACTGTCATCGCCTTCAGAACTCATTAACCGGAAGTTTACAAGTGAAACCCCCGACATTTTACACCTGTCTGAATCCGTCCCAAATCAATTTTTTATGAAGTCTGATTATGCAGATTTCCTTCATTCATTATAAATTATGAATTCCGTCCCCACAGAGGACGATTTCTTTTACCAAATCTAAATTTTGGTAGGGACTAACAGATTGAAACAGAATCCCTAGTCGTTCAATGGCTTACTTAGTTGCGTGAGTCGTAAAGTGTTTCAACAGTTCAATACAAGTGGATTACCTGTTTATTTTTTTTACGAGGAAAAATACATGTTATATCTGTGAACTAAAATCTTGTCTCTCAAATATAAAATGTTTGAGTACTATGGTTGATTTGTTGCTCGAATGTTCAAGTCTGAAGTGTTCTCACAATTTATCTGTGATTTTATTTTTATCTTTGTACGGTCGGTAGTCAGATTCCTCCTGAAATAAAAACAACATCTTGTTTTGCTTCCTCTATCATAACCAGAAATCAGGCAATATTTCTTTTAATTTACATCAGCATGATAGTTATAAATCATACATGGATAGAAAGATAAAACAATTATCTACTAACATAAGTATTTGTCAATGTAATGAAATGTTGTATTTTCACTCATTTTCCCAAACAACTCTCCAAATTTTTTGCAATGGCTGCCACAACAGATTCCTGCTAATCTTGTTCTTATGTAACAGAGGTCATTATTTATTTCAATGCCCCCGCTAGGAATGGAACCCAGGACCCCTGGCTTACTAGTTTGATGCTCAACCAATCAAGCTAAAGAGAAGTTTTCTCTAGCCGAGCAGTATTTTGTGGCTAGTATTTTACAAGGGTTATGTAACCTTGTTAAAATACTAGCCGCAATATACCACTCGGCTAGAGAGAACTTCTCTTAAGCTCGATTGGTTGAGCGTCAGACTAGTACGCCAGGGGTCCCAGGTTCGATTCCTAACGGAGGCATTGAAATAAATAATGACCTCTGTTACATTGGCGCCCATGTAGGGACCCGTGAATAGTACTTAGCCATGCCCCACCAGCATCGCTGTAACCCCTGGAAACTCCAGAACGAGTTATTTCCTGGAGGGGGATTATGTAACCCTGTTAAAATACTAGCCGCAATATACCACTCGACTAGAGAGAACTTCTCTTTAGCTCGATTGGTTGAGCGTCAGGCTAGTAAGCCAGGGGTCCCGGGTTCGATTCCTAGCGGAGGCATTGAAATAAATAATGACCTCTGTTACAGTTACACTTGTAAACCTAACAAAAAGTTAACTCTCACAACCAATAGCAAGACAAAAGTAAAGTAATGGATAGATAATCAAAACCTTTCAGACTATTAACATGTATCTCCTTGGCACACAGCAGGTGCCTACTTTGTTTTGCATTAAATGTTCCCTTATTCCATAATATGAAAGAGAACATGGCTATTGAAAATAGAACTGATTTTGAAAAGAGGCAACTTTCTTCTGTCAATAGATGATCAAGAAATTGGAAATTGTCAATGTGTCAGAAAACATACTTTTATAACAAGCAGGAACTCCACAGGCTGTCTGTACCTTTGTAGAAACTTAAGGGGAGAGTGTTTTTCATTGCTCCTTCTTGTTACACATATATGAATTATTATCAGAGGAGACATATATGACAAACTTGGATCATTTTGCTGTCAGTACATTTATAAATAATTGAATATGCATTTGTATTTCAAAATGTGCAATCTATAAATTGTGTTTCAGAAAAACTGTCAAAAGGTTGTAGATAAATACATTGAGTCAGAGCCAGTTATCGTTTGTTTGGATGCTTTACTATTGAAGCAGCAAGCATTTCGACATGTTTTGTACAACAAGAAAACACAGGTAAGCTGTCAGAAATGATATTATTACTTTTATGTACAGAGGTACTTTAATAAAAAAAAAAGAAATATAAATACAGCATGTGTCACAAGTATTATCTTGAAGGTTCTGCTTTGTTATTTTTCACAAACTAAATTACAGGTGTATAAGAAATGGGATTCACAGCAATGGTGTCACTTTGAAAAAATTATTAGGTCACCTGAGACAAAGTCTCGAGTGACCTAGTGCTATCACCTATGTCCAGGGTTGTGTGTTGTGAATCTGTAAACTTTTATTTTTTTTTTCTTCTCAAAAAGCATCTTGATGTGCCTTACCAAAATTGTGAATTTCATGGCCAAATGGTCCAACATTTCCACACAAGGAGGGGGTAAAGTTTACTACAGTTTATATAGGAGAAAATGAAAAACAAATGAGCAAAATTTGTTTAATTTCAATTGGAAATATTTCAAACTTGGGTAGAATTATGAGCAAATGATGATGGCTTGATGGTATGCTAATATTGATCATGACTGATCCCCCAGGGGTTGATGGGTGGGGCCAGAAGGGATCAAACTGACTTGAATTTAAAAAATCTTTTCAACAACCAGATATGGTAGCATCAAATGTTCTTAATTGTCTTAAGGAGCTTTACCAAAATGAATATCACATTTCTCTCTATAGAGGTTAACTTTACTATAATTCTTATAGAAAATTGTGTTTTAAAGCAAAATGTTGTTTATTTTCCACCAGAAATAACTTTGTAAGATATATTAGTATAGGATGACAGTTTTAATGGTATGCTTGTATAGACACTGGCTTACTATCAGTAATGTCACAATTTTTTTTCATGACACTTGAAAGTGACCACAGCTAGCTGCCATTATTTATTTTAGGGACACTGGAAGTTAGTGGCCATCTTACTTCTCTGTGATGCATTTACAAAACTGTTGCTGGAGCATCGGAGCAGTGGAGAATCTCACCTTCGCCCTGATTACATGATCTATTCAGCGTTGGAATGGGGACTATATCAAAATTTCAGTCTTGCATTAATAGGTACTGGTAACACTTTAGTGTCATGCTATCAAACAACAATATATATGATAAGTAAGTAACTATTCAGTGTCAGTTTGACAGGTAACACCTTAGTTATAAGGTAAAAGTACTCAACATCTAATGAAAAAAATCCTGTTCCTGTTTCTTAAAAAATTAGGGTTTGTAGGTAAAGATTTTTTTTAAAGGATTTTATTTTTAAAATAAAGACATTACATCTTAAGTATGGCATGCTGATTAGGATTAGAGTATACCTGATGTGTCAGGTATGTATTTAAAGTTTTTTTCTGAATTGTGTGTCATGTCTAATATCAAAATCCATGTCAGAAAATCTATGATGTTTGATTTTTTAAAATAATTTTTTTCCTGTAATGTCAAGTGCCAAGTTTCAATGAAATTCTATCAAATGGTTTAGGAAGCGTTGCACTTATAAAATAATGGATGAATAGACAGACATACTTGGTGATTTCTAATCCTATATACCTTCCCCCAACTTTTTTGCGGGATGAAGAAAAAAAAATGAAAAAGCGAAAATAAACAAATAGAAATATGGTTTAAAGCAATGCAGAATTATCACTTCCAGAAAGATGCATACTTGTCTGAAACACCTGATCTCATCCTTAGTTTTTGTGAAAGTTATGATATTTTTATGCATGTGTGTGTATTTTATGAATTTCACTGTCAAAACCAATGACAGCATGGTGATTGCTATCATCCTAGACAGTTAGATGTTGAGAGAATGTTTGACATGGTCTGTATAAATAGATGTGTAGTGTCTGTGATGAATTTGCCTGAAGTTACTAATACTGCTGGAAATCATCATCAAATAAAACTGTTGACGAAAATGTGCAAAAAAATAAAAAATTAGATTCAGTAGCAAAAAACAGGGATGGCTGTGAAACATGAAACACAGATATCTATTTCTGATGTTATGATGATTTACATTACTAAATGGCAGTGAAATGTTTACCATTTTATTTCTATTACAGAGTTGGTCATTGTTGTTTCAATAATCATTGTATGCATTAGGATGGTTTCTACAGAGGAATTTAGGTAAGCCAATTTCATAGACATTTGTATGTTGTATAAGAACTCATTTCTTATTTGATTTTGCGGAATGGTTTCCACTTGGTGCTTTGAACAGAATCATTTTTATATTTGGCAGGTCAGAAGAGTTGATGCGTGGAGTGCTGCTATCCAACTTTGGTAAAATCCTTGTGATCCCTGCTGTACTGTGGGGGAAAAACTACAGCCACATCTATGTGCGCCTGAGTCATCTGTTTGTATGTGCTGCAAACATCCAGGCCATTAGAGGTATATGAGTCAATATCATAGTTTACCCTACTGTACAGTTAGTGGTCAGAGGTATGGTCAATATTAAAGTCCACACTACAGTACAGCTGGTCATCAGAGGTATATTGGTCAAGTGTACAATCCACACTATGATACAGCTGGTCATCAGAGGTATATTGGTCAAGTGTACAATCCACACTATGATACAGCTGGTCATCAGAGGTATATTGGTCAAGTGTACAATCCACACTATGATACAGCTGGTCATCAGAGGTATATTGGTCAAGTGTACAATCCACACTATGATACAGCTGGTCATCAGAGGTATGTTGGTCAAGTGTACAATCCACACTATGATACAGCTGGTCATCAGAGGTATATTGGTCAAGTGTACAATCCACACTATGATACAGCTGGTCATCAGAGGTATATTGGTCAAGTGTACAATCCACACTATGATACAGCTGGTCATCAGAGGTATATTGGTCAAGTGTACAATCCACACTATGATACAGCTGGTCATCAGAGGTATATTGGTCAAGTGTACAATCCACACTATGATACAGCTGGTCATCAGAGGTATATTGGTCAATATTATAGTCCACCCAAAATAATAGCTGTCGTAGTTATACCTCTTGTAGTAAAGTTAGGGTGTTTGTCCAGATAATCCTGTCTGAGCAATTCTCTTGGAGCACTTAATTAATTTCCATCAGACCTCCTTTCTATAGATTAATCTAGATTAGGATTTAAATACAAATGAGTCTTTTATATAGAATAGCATAAATGTTGATTAACTTTAAGGTGAGGTGTGATGTCTTGTTTTCATTTTCTATATGCATGTTTTAAATTGAGAAAAGTCATATTTTTCAATGTCATTATATGGGAGTTCAAATGGAAATACATCTTGTTTTCAGTTCTCAGTCCTAGCTGCAACATTTCCACTTGTATCCTATCTGTTGTGTTTGGACATTTGGTAGCCATGGGGACATCCATCTGGATACAAACCTTGTTTTCCCAAAACTCATTGTGAAGATCATAAACAATCAAAAAGACAAAAATGTGCCCTGATGGATCAAGGACATAAGGTGCTCAGGTGGAACAGGGCAAGGTGATGCCCTAAAGAAGCATGGTAATGTATAACTGTGTAAGAGCAAAGAGAAAGTGTTCTGAAGGAGCAAGGCAAGGTGATACTCTGTGATGTAACAGAGCAAAGTAGAGCTCTGATCGAGCATGGCAATGTAGTACCCTGATGGAGCGTGGCAGCGTAGCAAGGAAAGGTGGTGCTCTCATGGTGCATGGCAATGTAGCGCTCTGTTGGAGCAAGAAAACATGGAATTCTGATGGAGCATGGCAATGTAGTGCTCTGATGGAGCATGGCAATGTAGCCCTCTGTTGGAGCAAGGAAAGAGTGTGCTCTCATGGAGCATGGCAATGTAGCCCTCTGTTGGAGCAAGGAAAGAGTGTGCTCTCATGTAGCATGGCAATGCAGCACTCTGTTGGAGCAAGGAAAGAGTGTGCTCTCATGGAGCATGGCAATGCAGCACTCTGTTGGAGCAAGGAAACAGTGTGCTCTCATGGAGCATGGCAATGTAGCCCTCTGTTGGAGCAAGGAAACAGTGTGCTCTCATGTAGCATGGCAATGCAGCACTCTGTTGGAGCAAGGAAAGAGTGTGCTCTCATGGAGCATGGCAATGCAGCACTCTGTTGGAGCAAGGAAAGAGTGTGCTCTCATGGAGCATGGCAATGTAGCCCTCTGTTGGAGCAAGGAAAGAGTGTGCTCTGATGGAGCATGAGAATGCAGCACTCTGTTGGAGCAAGGAAAGAGTGTGCTCTCATGGAGCATGGCAATGCAGCACTCTGTTGGAGCAAGGAAAGAGTGTGCTCTCATGGAGCATGGCAATGTAGCCTTCTGTTGAAGCAAGGAAAGAGTGGGCTCTGATGGAGCATGGCAAGGTGGTGCTTTGCTTCATAAAGGCAATATGGTGTTCTTTTTTGACTAAACCAAAGCAATGTTTTTTTTGTTTTGACCAAGACAATGGTGCTCAGCTGAATAAAGACCTCAATGAAATTTATTTGCCCAGGTATTCAACAGGACTTTAGATTGAACATAAACAATAAATGATTTCAATACTTTAGTTGCTCACTTGAGATGTATGTATTTTACAAATGGACAAGGGCAGGGGATCATCATGACTATGTCCTTGTTGAAAATTTGTTGTCAATACTCATCTGTAAAAATAATTGTCATATACACAAATATGATAATAAACAAATATGATAATAAAACAACTGATTATTCTTTATAAAACGCTTTATTTGAGTTTTTTGTCATGACACTGATGACAGGTTGTGACACAGAACATGAAGCTGCTTTGGCCGTTGGGAATTCATTGTCTAAATTCAAAGTAACGTACCTTGGTCTGTGTAATTTTGATGTACTCCACGAGTACACTGTACTGTAAATGTGTGGTCCATCAGAGGACTATGTTGTATCTATGTTAAGTCTATCGGTGTACTAAGATAAAACAGTGTAGTCTTTCAGTGGACTGTGGTGTGACTGTAGTGTGTCAGTGGACTGTGGTGTGACTGTGTAGTGTGACAGTGGACTGTGGTGTGACTGTGTTGTGTGTCAGTGGACTGTGGTGTGACTGTGTAGTGTGTCAGTGGACTGTGATGTGACTGTGTAGTGTGTCAGTGGACTGTGGTGTGACTGTGTAGTGTGTCAGTGGACTGGGGTGTGACTGTGTAGTGTGTCAGTGGACTGTGGTTTGTGTGTAGGCCATCAGTGGACTGTGATGTGTTTTATGATAAACAATATCTACGCTCTTTGGTACTGTGACTTTGAGCTCAAACAATCAACCAACACATTACTTCCTGGTTAATACAGGAACATGGATGCTTAAGTAATGACAATACACAATATAATTCCAAAAAAATGGTACACTAACATCCATTCTTTTGTTCACTCTCTCTCAATCTATCTCTCTCTCTCTTGCCCTCACAGTAAAATCTCTTAAAGATGACTGGTATTGGTATAATGTTCTCTACATATTACAACAGACTAACACAATCAGAGACTAACACAGTTGACTGTATCCCTGATAATACCATGCCAGTGTATAGTAGTTCAAATTGCTGGGAAAACAGAATGCTTCATTTTAACTACAAATGAAAAAAAAATTCATTTTATTTGTGAAATTGACTTTATTTATATGTAGCCAATGATGGGGAATAATCATGTCATCTCATTCTCGAAAAAAAAAAAATTGACAGGATTCTGAAATAATTCTATAAAATGAAACTCAAAATGTGTAATCTGTTCTATCCATCTGGGGCCTTGTAGCTCTGAAAACACCTCAAATGTGCTAGAAAAATTCACAAACACCAGTATTCAATATCTGGACCTTGTAGCTGTAACAACACAGATATGCTAGAAAAATTCACAAACACCAGTATTCAATATCTGGACCTTGTAGCTGTAACAACACAGATATGCTAGAAAAATTCACAAACACCAGTATTCAATCTAAAAGTTTTTAAAGTGGTAGAAGTTTACATTTTTTATATGGACAAAACCTATTCAGATCCAACTTACAGGTAATATAACTGATCATGTTGTTGTGGAATTGACTTCACAGAAAAATCTAAGCATCAAAGTTTGTGATAAGTGAACCATCTGAAGCTGTCCTGTCCCACACATCGTAAATTTATATCCTTTACAGATGTGTTAATGTATTGATGCACAACATTATCCTTGAGCAGTTACTGGAAGCTACCTACTGGAGATTTGCAAACTTTCACAGACTATAAACAAACAAAGGAATCAACATTGTTTTTCCTTTCCATTATATTGGCAATGTTTTCACCTATTGCAGCACATCTGAAAATTTTATATCCACCTACACTTGTATTACAAACATCTAAAACATTTTTTTTATATCCACCTATTACAGCATAAATCAAACTGTATAAATTTATAATTAGTTGTTGTAGATGTATAAAAATGTTATGCTAAAAATGAAATCATTTATAACAGTTATCCATACACACATTTAAAAGTCTACAACCAACTGATTATATATACTGGTCTTAAAAATAGAATCTTTGACTGCAGACTAATGTTTCCATAACAACAAGATGATTACTTTGATTTGGTATGGGCTCGAGACAGTGTTTTGTAACTACTGATATACCTATTTGTGACAAAATCATAGAAACTTCACAACATAACTTCACAGCTTTTAAGCCGGCTTATCACTTTGTGGCAAAATGATGAATTTAAACATGACCATTTATGACATGAGGAATCTGTCCGATCGTATAATGGAATATGTTGTAATCAATGATGTTTGGATCATTTCTTCGTGACAGAAACATCCTCTCATAAATTAAAAGTTAAATTAAGATTTTCTCACAGAAACAGCATTAAATAACTGCACATTAAGATACTATATGTACAAATTATATACATATCAAAATTATTACAAGTTACAGTTCACAGCACAAGTCAGTAGATGTAAACACACAGATACAATAATAAATAACAAAAAACATCATATTAATAGATTTATCCTTGATTCCGCATAAGTCAAGTAAGAAAATCAGAATTGGTACTGATCTTCTAGTGAGAGATCAGCGTTACAACAGTAAAACTTCCAGTGAGAGATCAGTGTTATAACAGTAAATCTTCCAGTGACAAATCAGCATAAAATAGCATATATGCAAGTTAAAAATCAACACCATAACAGCATATCTGTCAGTGAGAGATCAGTGTTATAACAGTACAACTTCCAGTGAGAAATCAGTGTTACAACAGCATATCTGTCAGTGAGAGATCAGTGTTATAACAGTACAACTTCCAGTGAGAAATCAGTGTTATAACAGCATATCTGTCAGTGAGATATCAGTGTTATAACAGTACAGCTTCCAGTGAGAAATTAGTGTTATAACAGTACAACTTCCAGTGAGAAATCAGTGTTATAACAGCATATCTGTCAGTGAGATATCAGTGTTATAGCAGTACAACTTCCAGTGAGAAATCAGTGTTATAACAGTACAACTTCCAGTGAGAAATCAGTGTTATAACAGTACAACTTCCAGTGAGAAATCAGTGTTACAACAGCATATCTGTCAGTGAGAGATCAGTGTTATAACAGTACAACTTCCAGTGAGAAATCAGTGTTATAACAGCATATCTGTCAGTGAGAAATCAGTGTTATAACAGCATATCTGTCAGTGAGAGATCAGTGTTATAACAGTACAACTTCCAGTGAGAAATCAGTGTTACAACAGCATATCTGTCAGTGAGAGATCAGTGTTATAACAGTACAACTTCCAGTGAGAAATCAGTGTTATAACAGCATATCTGACAGTGAGATATCAGTGTTATAGCAGTACAACTTCCAGTGAGAAATCAGTGTTATAACAGTACAACTTCCAGTGAGAAATCAGTGTTATAACAGCATATCTGTCAGTGAGAGATCAGTGTTATAACAGTACAACTTCCATTGAGAAATCAGTGTTATAACAGCATATCTTTCAGTAAGAAATCAGTGTTATAACAGCACAACTTTCAATGAGAATTCAGTGTTATAACAGTGAATCTGCTAGTGCGAGTTCAGTGATACAATGAAAACTCAATGTAAATTTATACACCTGGTATAATACACAGAGAACTCACTGTAAATTTATACAGCTGGTATAATACACAGAGAACTCACTGTAAATTTATACAGCTGGTATAATACACAGAGAACTCACTGTAAATTTATACACCTGGTATAATACACCAAGAACTCACTGTAAATTTATACACCTGGTATTATACACAGAGAACTCACTGTAAATTTATACACCTGGTATTATACACAGAGAACTCACTGTAAATTTATACACCTGGTATAATACACCAAGAACTCACTGTAAATTTATACACCTGGTATAATACACAGAGAACTCACTGTAAATTTATACAGCTGGTATAATACACCAAGAACTCACTGTAAATTTATACACCTGGTATAATACACAGAGAACTCACTGTAAATTTATACACCTGGTATTATACACAGAGAACTCACTGTAAATTTATACACCTGGTATTATACACAGAGAACTCACTGTAAATTTATACAGCTGGTATAATACACAGAGAACTCACTGTAAATTTATACACCTGGTATTATACACAGAGAACTCACTGTAAATTTATACACCTGGTATTATACACAGAGAACTCACTGTAAATTTATACAGCTGGTATAATACACAGAGAACTCACTGTAAATTTATACACCTGGTATAATACACCAAGAACTCACTGTAAATTTATACACCTGGTATAATACACAGAGAACTCACTGTAAATTTATACACCTGGTATAATACACCAAGAACTCGCTGTAAATTTATACAGTTGGTATAATACACAGAGAACTCGCTGTAAATTTATACACCTGGTATAATACACCAAGAACTCACTGTAAATTTATACACCTGGTATTATACACTGAGAACTCACTGTAAATTTATACACCTGGTATAATACACAGAGAACTCACCGTAAATTTATACACCTGGTATAATACACAAAGAACTCACTGTAAATTTATTCACCTGGTATAATACACAGAGAACTCACCGTAAATTTATACACCTGGTATAATACACCAAGAACTCACTGTAAATGTATTCACCTGGTATAATACACAGAGAACTCACTGTAAATTTATACACCTGGTATAATACACAGAGAACTCACTGTAAATTTATACACCTGGTATAATACACAAAGAACTCACTGTAAATTTATACACCTGGTATTATACACAGAGAACTCACTGTAAATTTATACACCTGGTATAATACACAGAGAACTCACTGTAAATTTATACACCTGGTATTATACACTGAGAACTCACTGTAAATTTATACACCTGGTATTATACACTGAGAACTCAATGTAAAATTACATTTTGTATTCAGCTGTTATGATACATCGGGCACTCAATGGAAACATATACATCTGGTATGACACACTGATAACTTGTTTTAAAAATATACAGCTGATATGGTATACTGAGACCTCACTGTGAAGTTATACACAGCTGGTATTGTATACCGAGACCTCACTGTAAAGTTATACACAGCTGGTATGATACACACAGTTGGTATGGTCTATGACAATGGGTAATATACAAATGCTTTGATCAAATGAGTCAATGGTATGGTCAATGAATTCAAAATGGACCTTCAGTTCTCAGTCGTGCTGCTGAAAATATAGTCACTGAAGTATGGTAATGAACCTATGTGAGTTGTTATGAGTGATGAACCACAAAAATGTGGGTGATGAACCACAACATCCTTCCTGTCCTGTGCGTATAGACATACTTTTTGTTGTAGAAAAGTTGGGACTTATTGTAAAAATATACATAAGGTTCATCATTTGGTTTTTAATGACAGATATTAAACATGATAAAGTTCAATGGATGGATGGTATCTGGGGATGTTGTTCCTGGCGAGGGTGACCTCCCTTTGGGAGGGTTCACACCTGGTGTAGTTTGGTAGAGTTTATTTGACATTTTCCTGAGTTAAACTTTTCTTTTCCTGTCAATAATCCCTTTCACCTCTATAACTGTAACAGTTTCACTTCTTTAGATTCATTCCATTTTGAGCATGTTATGTAACATTTCCTTGGTAGATATTTCTACACAGTGTATAGATGAACCATACGACAATCAACAACACTGATAGAATGATCCCAAAAACACTTAAAGATGCTACATATGTCTCTGAATCTAGCAAACACTAGGGGCACAGCCCATAGTCAGAGCATCTACTCAAGGGAGATTACTGATGCTTAAAGTCGGAGCACCTACTTAAGAGAGATAACTGATGTCTCTGTAAGGTATATCACACCATTACTTCACTTTCTGAACTTAAATCTGCACCAAAAGTTCTATGTATCTCAGCCAAGTCTCGCTCGGCAGCAGCTCTCACTGCTAATGATCGAGTCCTCGACAGTTCTATATTAATGTCTTTTGTCTTTGTTTTTTGTATGGGACTAGTTTTCTTCCAATCATTGGAATCATTTGGAGAGTCCTGCAGGCGTAACAGCCTTGTTGGACTTTTTTCTATCTTATCTAACTCCTGTAGCTCTGTGAATGACAAATCCTTTGTCCCTCCACCCTTGTCTGTTCCAGCAAACAAAGGATTCTTGTAACGACGAAGATTTGCTTCATTTTCATTATTAGTCTTTTGAGCAACATATTTTGCCTCTCTTTTCGTGCGTTCTATTGCTCTCTGTCTCTTGAAATGGAACACAACAAGGCAGATGATTATGATGACACCTAGAAGGCCAATCACCGAGCACACAGCTGGAATAATGTAGGCTGATCCTACAACATAAACAAAATTTCATTGGACTTTAACATATTTCCAGTATAGTATTCCATGTCTGACTGTCCTACATAAAAGAAGATTTGGGATATAAACCCTTCTTACTACATCTTAGTAGTTAGAAATGATGAAAACTACATACAAAATGGAACCAATGAATGATGTCTTGTTACATAATATGGTATCTATAAAAACAAAACCTTTTAGCATTATCCTCAGCTTAATTTTTATCATTACTACAAAACAAAAAAGTATCTGTTCTTTGATCGTTATATCATGAGAGAATACAATATACAGTACCTAATACTCCTTTCTCTTTGATGACTGCAGTCTCTATCTGGACCTCTATGATGGCAGCCAGGGCACTGCTGTTGGTGAGCTTGTGGCTGATTGTGTTGGTAAGGTTATCAAGGGCATGTTTTAACACTCTGTCCATCTGGGAATTTCCAGCATCGACTGTGTGCTCCGTTGACTGTAATAGAGAGTATACTATGGTTTAAAGCCTTGCATATTTATATCATTGATCATCTATTGTAGATGTCATACAACATTATAAACTTTTGACTCTTTTCACACAAACTCACCAGCAGCACCTCAATGGTGTCTTGGTGTGCTGTTTGGATGGCACACATGATGTAAATCTGCTTTTCCTTGCCCAGCTTCTGAATGGTGGGTATCTGTCGCAGCCGGTCACATATAGTCTCTACCGTGATACCCTGAAACATCAACCAGGAGTGTGTTTATGGAAACAATAACACTCTGCTAGCTGAGAAATCTGAATTGACAATCAATTGATAAGCTTGTTTTATTTGTAAAAACATTCATGATGATGGTACTTACCGATGGCATTTTTGATTTATCGAAAATCAATGAAACCTTGGCACAAGTGTTACTGAGCTGTGCCGCATTTGGAATGCAGGTGGTGTGGACACCATGGGGGGCAGGGTCCTTGATTTTGTCCATATCCTTACATTGTCCCCAAGGAAGACAGGGTGGGGTGAAGCAGATGTTGTCAGTCTGTACCACACAGGTTTGTGTTGGTGCACAGTGGACCACACTCTCTGTCAGGTTTGCATGGGACAGGCAATTTTTAGGCCCACACCAGATCTGTGAACATTTAAGGTGTTATCTTTATTCCAAGACAATCTAGTGTTACCTGTAAAGTCTTACCTACATGACTAGGGACCTTCAGTATACAAGCCTTACCTACCTGACTCTGGACCTTTGGAACTGAAGCCTTACACCTACCTGACTAAGCACCTTTAGTCTTGAAGAATTACCTACCTGACTCTGGACCTTTAGAAATGAAGCCTTACACCTACCTGACTAAGCACCTTTAGTCTTGAGGAATTACCTACCTGACTTGGGACCGCTGGCCTTTAAACCTGATGTACCTCACTACCAGACTAATGACATTTTGCCTTGAATCCTTATCTACCTAACTAGCAATTTTTTGCTTTGAGGCATCATAAACGTAACAAAGGACATTTAGAGCCTTGTAGCCTTATCTACATTTCAATGACCTTAAGCTTTGAAGCCTTACACACTCAACACAGACATACAGGTCTAACCCTTACTTTGCTGACAATGGACCTTTAGGCTCAAAGCCTTACATACCCAAGAGAGGCATACAGCTGTAAGCCTTACCTTGCTGACAAACAACCTTTACCTTCGAAGCCTAACATACCGGACAAAGAAATGCAGCTCTAAGCCTTACCTTGTTGACAAATAACCTTTACCTTTGAAGCCTTTTGTACCTTATAGAAACATACAACTATAATCTTTACCCCGTTGACAAACAACCTATACTTTCGAAGTCTTCCGTATCTGACAGAGACACAACTTTAAGCCTTACCTTGCTGCAGTGGACAGCACCATTGTCACATGTACACATGTTGCACTCATGTTCCCAGGATGACTTGTCTGGGTAAATTCCACGGTTGAAGATACAAGATTGTGGAGATGGAGTTTGACCCTCAACTTCAGCACATTTTGGCCCAGTCCTTCCCGGGGGACATATACATCGGTACTCCCCTATACCATCAATACAAGTACTGCCATATGTACAAGGACTGGACGCACACTCGTTTATATCTGTGGATGAACAAAAGAGATTTTGGAATAATATCACTTAAAGAAATAGAAGTACTGATAGGTAACGTTTTGTTTACTGTTATAAAAATTTGCACTCTTGTGAATTTGTATCACAACTAAGACATCTTCCTCGTTGATTGTTATGAGAAAAAAGCAAGCAGAAGCATCTGTTTACAAGCAATTACAATGAGTGCACACAGATGCAGTATATCAGCAGAGATCCCCAACATTTCACCTTATCAGAATTTCGCCTTCATCAACTATTTCTGTTGCTATCTGATCACATACAAGATGTTAACACAATGATTAGTTAGAATCTCTCCTCCATCCCATCCAACTCTCTTATCCATTCTTCATTCCTTGTGTCACTCTTTTTCTCGATGTTACATATGTACTTTTACAGCTGATAGCAAACTTTTTTTCTGCACAATTTATTTTTACACAGCTTTATCTATCACCAGCTGATGAAAGGCAGTATTTCAATTTCTTCCCTACAGTGAGTTTTATTTTGGGAAATATTTTTGCACTTTTTCTGATCTCAAGATTTCTCACATTAACACAATTGTTGTCAGCGCTGACAAAATTCACATATTGGTCAATGTAGTTTTTACACTGAGTATTATGTTTAGGGAAAAATGTACAGACAAATGAATTAGTATTTGTCATAGTTGTATAGTCAGATATATTAACACAAAGTGCACTTCACAATGACACCAAATGACAAGTATAATCAAACCTTCCCCATGAAAAAGACTTTCTCTTTTACAGAGGAGATCACAAGATCCTTAATACTTACTGACACGACAGTCTGGTCCAGCAAAGCCTTGGGCACAAACACACCTGTACCAGTTCACACCATCTAGACACTTGCCTCCATTGTAACTATAACAGAAAGGTACATGATCAAATGCATACTGGTAATCTTATTCAAGTCTAGCTAGTTTGGAAGGTGTCTTCAAATTCCTTCCCCCATACTGAGCAAACAAAATTAGTTTGGAGGGTGTCTTCAAATTCCTTCCCTCATACTGAGCAAATAGAATTAGTTTGGAGGATGTCTTCAAATTCCTCCCCTCATACTGAGCAAATAAAACTGGTTTGGAGGGACACTGCAAATAATGTTTTCCTAAATTGATCAAATCTAATTATTTTTCATACATAGTTAATTCTAGAAACTTTAACATTTTACAGCATGATCTTCAAGTTAGTCAAATGTAAACCAGCCAAGTCTAGCTTTCCAATTCCTCCCTTCACCCTGGTTAAGTCTAGTAAATTAGTCAAATGTATACTGGCCAAGTCTTGATTTCAAATTTCTTCCATCATACCGTTGACACCTAGCTAGTTTGTTAGATATATAAATGTCAAGTTTTCTAAATTTGGAGGGTGACATCACATGTATGTATTTGAATAGGTTATAATAATTGTATACTTACCAGGGGAATGGGTTACAGTCGTTGATGTTGTACTGACAAGTGGGACCCTCAAAGCCTTCCTTACAAATACAGGTAAAGCTGTCCCCACTATTGACACATGTACCCCCGTTATCACATGGTGATGAGTCGCACGCTCGTTTAGCAACTGATATAGAAAAGATCATTTTCTTATTGTATTTAATGTTGTACATTTACATTTTTATAACTCCACAAATACATGCATTGTAACCAAAAATTTTATTTATAGATATATGAGGATCTTCATGGTCTCCAGATAAGTTACGTAAAATTGAGAATCCTTTAGTAAGATACGTTGTGAATACAAGGAATAACCAAATGTCAAATTCAAATTTAGTAACAATATATAGCCACGTGTTTACTTACGTCTCTGACAGGTACGACCTATGTAGTCAACACCACATTTACAGGTGAAGGTGTCCCCCAGATCTATACAAGTTCCTCCATTGGTACAGGTGGTGACCTCACACTGACTGTGTTCTACAATACATACACAGTCAGGTTTAATACTTCATCACCTAAGTGTATTGACATGGCATTTATAGTCTGTATAAATGATGTAGCACATATTACATGCTGGATCAACAAGGTATATCTATACTGACTATAAGCCAGTATGTTTTCAGTATAAACTTATGCAGTGTATATTTGTTGGTATCACTTATGATGTGTTCATTTGTTGATATACTTATGAATATCAATTTGTAAGTACTTAAGGAGTGTACATTAGCAATTACCTATGAAGTGTTAATTAGGCTTATGAAGTGTACATTTGTTGGTATTTACACAGTGTAAACTTGTTGGTACTTAAAGGTACTTGCAAAGTACTGATTTGTTGGTATCTATGAAGGACATTTGTAGATACTTACGAAGTGTGCATGTTTTGCCTTTCCAGCCCTCCGCACACTGACACACAAAGTCAGCCACTACGTCTATACAGAGACCATTGTTCCTACATGGGTTAGGGTCACACTCATCCTTATCTGTAAATAGAAAGTTATCAAAGTTTATACACAATTGTACTGCCTATGTTCTTACTTTACCCTAATTACTGCAGATAGTATGCAGAAGGAGACTTTGCCTAAAAGTCCTCCTGGCTGTTTGTGAATCATTAAAACCCAGCAACACCAATTTACACAGAAACCCAAAAGTCTGTAAAGAAAAATTATTTTCAACATGGAAAGGGTCAGTATAAATAAATGTCCTGTGCTGTAACACTAAACACTAGTACAGAACATTGTATTTAATTGTTGAGTGTGTACTTACTGAGGTTACACAGGGCACCTTCCCACCCCTCCTTACATATACACTGGTACGAACTGACCATGTCTATACACGTCCCACCATTCTGACAGGGGTTACTCATGCAGTCATTTATGTCTGAAAAACAAACGTTCATTAAGCCATCTTATACAAAAGAAGGTAACTGCAAAAAAATGATCAAATCATATAACACTTTAAACTCAGCTTTGACAAAGAATTTTCTATCAAAGGGTCTTAGTTATGATTCAGCTAATTTGATCAAGACTGAAATGTCTTCCTGGGAGAGAGGAACATGTCTTCAAGAAGTTATCAGATTATGAGAGATTTTTTTACAGAATGAGTATACTTACTCTCGTGACAGTAGGTTCCAGTGAAGCCGAGGTCACATGCACATGTAAACTCGCCATTGGGTTGACTGATGCACATACCATGTTTACCACACACATTGGAGGAGATGAGCTGCACGCCTCCACGACTACTGTTAGATGGTATAGCTATGGTACAGCTGTCAATCACTGTAAATAAAGATAGAAACTTGTCATAGTAATTAATTGACCGCTAGTAGTGCTACTTTACAAATGGCAATGACAGCATACAATTCTTACCTTGGCATGACCTTGAATCACAGGTGGGTTTGACCTTGTGACAATTTTTGCCTTCCCAGCCATCATGACAGTGGCAATAGTAGTCTCCCTGTACATTGAAACAGCTGGCTCCATTTTCACAAGGACTGGGGTAGCAGGGATCAATGTCCACCTGAAACATAACAACTTGATGATTACCACTAACCATGGTAACTCATGATCCTAACCTAACTCAACTGATCAGGAGAGTTACAAAAGGTTAACCATTGGCATGGTTACTGATCAAATCTCATCCCAACTTAACTTATCAGGATAATCATTAACTAGGTTAGCTTCTTCACTCTGATCCAATTCTAACTGAACTGATCAGAATAACCACTAACTAAATTAACTTCTTATCTCACATCCAATTCAAATTTAACTGATCAGAATAAGTACTAATCAGCTTCAGCTTAATCATTAACTCCCATCCAATCCAAACATTGCTGATTAGCCTAACCACTAACCAGGTTAAGCTTGTTAACTCCTATCCAATCCAAGCTTAACTGATCAGCATAACCAATAACCAGGTAAGCTTTTTAACTCCCATCCAATCCAAATTTTAAATGTACAGTTACTAAGAAGATAAATATATTGATGTAATTTGTTCTATCAGCATACCACTGTATATTTTTATAGTTCATGATTAACAACTAGGTCCAACTACTCTTTTGATTTTGTCATAAGAATTATAAATATTTAATGCTGTTATTTTAAGCACCATTACCTGTACCTTATGTAGGTTTACCTGTACTCACCTGACAGTTAAAACCGGTGAAGCCTAGAGCACACTCGCAGGTATAACCAGCGACCTGATCGTGACAAATCGCACTGTTCTGGCATGGACTACTTTCACATTCGTCAACATCCCACTCACAGTGGCGGCCCGTGTAACCCGGTAAACAAGCGCAGTGATAGCTGTTTACAAGGTCCTACAACACAACAGAATAAATTTTAAATATATTTAACGAGAAATCAAAGATTGAAATATCAACTTCCCTCCTAAAGAAAGATAAAGTGTCACCTCTTACCCTATAACATCAACCAATGACCATAAGAATATAAGTTTAATGATGAAATAATTTTGTACCAAGTAACCAAAATCTAATGTTTTGTGAGAGTTATTCCCCTTTGCCTACTTACCACACAGTGAGCACCATTCTGACACTGATGATGACAATCCACTATATCTGTAAACCACAAAACACCAAGTTTATTTAAGTAATTGCCAGAACATCATTTCTCTTTAATATCAATCATTCTTTCTTCCTTCTGTAAAAAAGAAGTGCAATTCCATCTGGTTTGATTTTCCCTCTCCTGATCTTCTATATCTCAGTCTGTTTTGTAAACCTGACCTGTCTCACTGTCCACTTTGTAGGTCTGACCTGTCTCACTGTCTGTTTTGTAAACCTGACTTGTCTTACTGTCTGCTTTGTAAACCTGACCTGTCTCACTGTCTGCTTTGTAGGTCTGAACTGTCTCACTGTCTGTTTTGTAAACCTGACCTGTCTTACTGTCTGCTTTGTAAACCTGACCTGTCTTACTGTCTGCTTTGTAGGTCTGACCTGTCTCACTGTCTGCTTTGTAGGTCTGACCTGTCTCACTGTCTGCTTTGTAGGTCTGACCTGTCTCACTGTCTGTTTTGTAAACCTGACCTGTCTTACTGTCTGCTTTGTAGGTCTGACCTGTCTCACTGTCTGCTTTGTAAACCTGACCTGTCTTACTGTCTGCTTTGTAGGTCTGACCTGTCTCACTGTCTGTTTTGTAAACCTGACCTGTCTTACTGTCTGCTTTGTAGATCTGACCTGTCTTTCTGTCTGCTTTGTAGGTCTGACCTGTCTCACAGTCTGCTTTGAAGGTCTGACCTGTCTTACTGCCTATTTTGTAGGTCTGACCTGATTCACTGCCTGCTTTGTAGATCTGACCTGTCTCACTGTCTGCTTTGTAGGTCTGACCTGTCTCACTGTCTACTTTGTAGGTCTGACATGTCTCATTGTCTATTTTGTATGTCTGACCTGTCTCACTGTCTACTTTGTAGGTCTGACCTGTCTCACTGTCTACTTTGTATGTCTGACCTGTCTCACTGTACGTTTGTAGGTCTGACCTGTCTTACTGTACGTTTGTAGGTCTGACCTGATTCACTGTCTGCTTTGTAGGTCTGGCCTCTCTCAAAGTCTGCTTTGTATGTCTGACCTGTCTCACAGTCTGCTTTGTATGTCTGACCTGTCTCACTGTCTGCTTTGTAGGTCTGACCTGATTCACTGTCTGCTTTGTAGGTCTGACCTGTCTCACTGTCTGCTTTGTAGGTCTGGCCTCTCTCACAAACTATTTTAAAGTTTGACCTGTATTCAAGACTATTTAGATGGTTAGCCTGCCTTGAAGATTACCTTGAAGACTTGACCAACAAGAGTTTATACATAATTATAATTGTTTCTGTAGAGCTGATATGTGAATTTTCACTCCCTTTAACAGGGTATGTTGTCTTACCTGTTTCACAGTTCTTGCCGGTCCAGCCGGGCTGACAGTCACAGATGTAGTCACCTACCAGGTCCTGGCAGGAGAAAGCATTTACACACGGACTTCCACTACATTCATCACCATCTAACTGACACTGAGGCCCCTTCCAGCCTGACGGACATAAACACTCATACTTGTTGACCCTGTCAAGACATGTCCCTCCATGTTGACATGGATCTGAGGCACACTCATTGATATCTGTGAGGGAAAAGTTTATTCTTGTACAATAAGTAATGTAAGAAAACACGTTTGTGTCATTGAATGATCTATTAGTATGTAATACAGATAGCAATAAAAGAAATCACCCTTGTGTCTGGAAATATTTATTTATAGTACGAGTAGCAATATAGGAAATCACCCTTGTGTCTGGAAATATTTATTTATAGTACGAGTAGCAATATAGGGAATCACCCTTGTGTCTGGAAATATTTATTTATAGTACGAGTAGCAATATAGGAAATCACCCTTGTGTTAGAAAAAAGTCTATTTATAGTATAAGTAGTAGTATAATTAATGAACTGTACATTTTAGAGGTATTTGAGGAAATTTGTCCAAACATCCAAGTAATGTTCTTTAATGGTTATATTTGTAGGTAAATGTACAGAGAATGCATGAACAAACTTTCCTTCTGATTGAAAAGTGGTCTGAAATACTGGAAATACAACAGTGAAAACAGAAAACATAGCCATGAACTGGATAACAGTTTTAGTACCTACAGACGATGCGGTTTTCAATTAAATTCTATATTTAGGGAATGAAAATTAAATGCAGACAGCCAGAGGTATTTATTAACAAGTCAATTATGAAGACAAACACCAGTCTCCAATATCACAGTCTAACAAGAAATAATTTGATGCGCAATCATTATAAACTAAATTTTCACTTACAGGTTTTGCAATACTGAGCTACACATCTTAAATGATATCCTGAAAATGTTTTAATTATTTCAATTTTCACAGTTAGCTTGTTACATAACATGGATTTCAGAACTTTTAACATTCTATACAAACTTTTATTTGATACAGAAACATAGGTCTTTAATTTCATGTATCTACATTTTATATCTGACTTCCCATTCCGGCCTATTTTATTTAGAAGGTGGTTTGGAGTATGTGATTAAGGAATTCGAAGGTAGTGTTTATCTATGTTGTTTTGATAAAGTACATAGAAATATCTATATATGATCAAAGTGGGCGGTGTACAGGTCACAGCTTACTGTCCTGTGCTACATCTAGGTAACAACAGGCTCAGAAGTGTTACAATTTTATCTTAAAGTGGAAGAGCTACTCAAACACTACCAGTACATAAAACTTCAGCAGACTCCCACCTTAGAGCAGGATAGGACAGAGATCAACAGTGGAGGGCAGGTCTGTTGAGGAGTACCCTACAGTTACCTTTTTAATACTCCTGTATATATTTATACCTGTGTCTGCACCTTTCAGGTATCAAAAGCTTATATCCAAACCTTCAATGACTCTTGAAAACATTTGTATGTTTTATTCATCTGTTTGAACTGGGAGGAGCAGACAACACTTCACAGACAGAGAACACAATAGGGACAGATGACAGCTGCAATGGTCAAACTGGGAGTCTCGCACGACTCAAGTCCGAGCTTTAACAGGTGGAAAAGACACCATTCAAAGGGCTATTCCAACCGTCAACAGGTGGGAAAGACACCACTCAAAGGGCCGTTATCACACTCGGACGATGGAGGTCCACCTTCATTGTGAACAGGAAAACATGATGCAAACAAATGGACTCCTTCCATTTATTGCTGGATCAGGCATACATTGGAGAAGCCTAACAGATATGAGGTTATTCAAGTGACCTGCTTTGTAGTGAAAACTTTGTTCTGATCTAGTGGACAGACTTCATACAGGGGATAAAAGCTGGGAATCTGAGTGGTTCTGCTGATTGCAAAAATAGCTTTGATATTGATAGTACAGTAGGTGACATAAAAAGGAAATGATAGCACTGACATTTGAAAAAATAGTATCTGACAGCATGGATACTGACAGAGTAAATGACAGAAATGGTGGATGATAGCACAATAATGGCCAGAAATAGTCTTTGAAAGCACAGAAATAGGAATAAATAGCTAGTAACAGCAAAGAAATTAGAAGAAGCTATTGACAGAATAGAAATTGGAAAAAAATAGCTTTTGACAACACAGAAAGTCAATATCTAGATATAGTAGAGAATAAGTCTATACTTACTTGAGTCACAGAGGACACCAGTCCAGCCTGGCAGACAATTACAGACAAAGCCACCAGTTACATCAATACAATTCCCTCCATGGGAACAGGGGTCTGACGTACAGGCATGCTCAGCTAGAACCAATAGAAATACATACACTGTATAGTTAGTTAATTTCACAAGGCATATATTTCATGATTGTCCTCTTCAGGTTTCTCTTTCAATTGGTATCATGTATACAGGCATTTCAATTCAATGTAGAAAGGCTCTCTGGGTACTTAAATTTCACATTACTTTAAATGACCATGAATTTAGGGAAATTAAATGCCTCACGAATATTATCAATTATACAGTATGTCACTTTGGTTCATCTGGATATTTTTAAATTGCAGAAGATAATATTTTGAATTAAGAACCTGATTAAGAGAAATGCTATTATCTTCTTTACTTTTGACAATGAAACTGGTCTTACCTATTTCACAATTGACTCCGGAGAAACCGTTAGGACAAGTACAGTCATAATTATCAGGAGCAGTATTTTTACAGATGCCATCATTTTTACAGGGTTGGTGTCGACCACAGTAGTTCAAGTCTAAAACAAAATAAAGAAGGTCATCAGGGACACAACACAACAGATTTATCACAGGCACAACATGATAGGGTCATCAGGGACACAACACAACAGATTTATCATGGGCACAACATGACAGGGTCATCATGGACACAACACAACAGATTTATCATGGTAACAACATGATAGGGTCATCAGGGACACAACACAACAGATTTATCATGGGCACAACATGATAGGGTCATCAGGGACACAACACAACAGATTTATCATGGGCACAACATGATAGGGTCATAAGGGACACAACACAACAGATTTATCATGGGCACAACATGATAGGGTCATCAGGGACACAACACAACAGATTTATCATGGGCACAACATGATATGGTCATCAGGGACACAACACAACAGATTTATCATGGTAACAACATGATATGGTCATCAGGGACACAACACTACAGATTTATCATGGTAACAACATGATATGGTCATCAGGGACACAACACAACAGATTTATCACAGGCACAACATGATAGGGTCATCAGGGATACAACACCACAGATTTATCACAGGCACAACATGATAGGGTCATCAGGGACACAACACCACAGGTTTGACAGGGATATGTACAACATAACTGGAGCAAAGTACAGCTATCATGGTGTTTTGTTATATACCACATATTAGTACATATGTGTTCTTGTCAGTTGTCTGTCAGGTCAAAATGTGTGTGAAATAGACATGTCCCTTCAGGAGTGAAAGACATACTCTCAAGAGTCTATTGAATACCCCGAGTGTACATGTAGGCTGGAAACTGACCACTAATATATACTGGTAAGCTAACTGACTTCTTACAATACAGCTATTCATACCTCAGCACTGACCACTTCAAATTTACCCCTTCCTATCAACATGCCATTAGAGAACATCATATGGCATTCATCTGTTTCCCACAGAAGACCAAAACCAAAAGTGATGTGATGAAAAAAATATTTCAAAATTCAATCAGCATAGTCCACTGGCAAGGGCCCCCCATCGTTGATCAGCCACCCACACATATCACGTGATAGCCTGATGGAGAAGCAGATTCGTCAAAAATTCATTGGAATTTATTCTAGTTTCTCCTTATCGAGCCAGTTGACACCTCCTAAAATCCTGCCACCATAAAGCCTGGTTATTATGCCAATCAGTTCATACCATGCTGCTACAAATTTATGCCAATTCCTTTAATTTGAACACTGATTCTGTAGAAACTTACAACACCAGAATCTCTGCTAATTTGATTTGCATAATTGTCTTTATTCAGATGCCAAAGAATGATAAATTGGTGAGAATCAGGGGCGACTCGGGGTGACACACAACCGTATGGCTGAAGTGCTCAAGTGGTATCCCTTACACAGCCACGAAATAGTTACATAACCATGTCACACCTCTTAAAACTTGACAAATTCAGTACCCATTTCTATTCAAATACTATATTGTCTGACAAAATCTTAATATGATTATGTAAACTTCATTTCTGTTTTATTTTCTATGATTTTTTTAATCAGAAAAAAATCTTTCAATAACTACATTTCCACAACACAATATAATTTTTTTCCTTGATCCTGTGTGATGTAGAATTCATCGCTTATATATGTAATTTATCTCCTAACTGTGTGTGTTATATCACTTATCTTGAAATGCTGTGTGATATATAATTTATCTCCTGATTCTGTGTGTTATATAATTTGTGTCCTGATTCTGTGTGATATATAATTTGTGTCCTGATTCTGCGTGATATATAATTTGTGTCCTGATTCTGTGTGATATATAATTTGTGTCCTGATTCTGCGTGATATATAATTTATCTCCTGATTCTGTGTGATATATAATTTATCTCCTGATTCTGTGTGATATAATTTATCTCCTGATTCTGTGTGATATATAACTTATCTCCTGATTCTGTGTGATATAATTTGTGTCCTGATTCTGTGTGATATATAACTTATCTCCTGATTCTGTGTGTTATATAATTTGTGTCCTGATTCTGTGTGATATATAATTTGTGTCCTGATTCTGTGTGATATATAATTTATCTCCTGATTCTGTGTGATATATAATTTATCTCCTGATTCTGTGTGATATATAATTTGTGTCCTGATTCTGTGTGATATATAATTTGTGTCCTGATTCTGTGTGATGTATAATTTATCTCCTGATTCTGTGTGATATATAATTTGTGTCCTGATTCTGTGTGATATATAATTTGTGTCCTGATTCTGTGTGATATATAATTTGTGTCCTGATTCTGTGTGATGTATAACTTATCTCCTGATTCTGTGTGTTATATAATTTGTGTCCTGATTCTGTGTGATATATAATTTGTGTCCTGATTCTGTGTGATATATAATTTATCTCCTGATTCTGTGTGATATATAATTTATCTCCTGATTCTGTGTGTTATATAATTTATCTCCTGATTCTGTGTGATATATAATTTATCTCCTGATTCTGTGTGATATATAACTTATCTCCTGATTCTGTGTGATGTATAATTTGTGTCCTGATTCTGTGTGATATATAACTTATCTCCTGATTCTGTGTGTTATATAATTTGTGTCCTGATTCTGTGTGATATATAATTTGTGTCCTGATTCTGTGTGATATATAATTTATCTCCTGATTCTGTGTGATATATAATTTATCTCCTGATTCTGTGTGATATATAACTTATCTCCTGATTCTGTGTGATGTATAATTTGTGTCCTGATTCTGTGTGATATATAACTTATCTCCTGATTCTGTGTGATATATAATTTATCTCCTGATTCTGTGTGATGTATAATTTGTGTCCTGATTCTGTGTGATATATAATTTGTGTCCTGATTCTGTGTGATATATAATTTATCTCCTGATTCTGTGTGATGTATAATTTGTGTCCTGATTCTGTGTGATGTATAATTTGTGTCCTGATTCTGTGTGATGTATAATTCATCTTCTGATTTCATATGCTATATGTCTTATCTCTTTATTCTGTATGATATATAATTATTTCCTGACTTCTGAGGTGTTTGACCTCAAAACAATATATTTCATGACATCTGCATATTCTCCATAAAATGTTGAAATTGTTCAAAGTATTGTTAAGTCAAAACCACTGGTACTAAATGTTTACCTTTGTTACACAGGATACCTCCCCAGTTGACATGACAGAAACACTGCCAAGGTGAGCCATTACAGGAGCCATGTTCACATCGTGGGTAGGGGATACACTGGTCACACAGAGGGCCCTGCCATCCGTACATACACCTGAAATATACAACAAACTTAGTAAACAGGGTGGGGACACAGTGGAAGGCCCACTATCCATACATACACCTTGAATACATTAACAAAATAATGTATTTTGTGAGGGGATATAGAGGCAGTAAATGGAGGGTGATTGGGAAGGTGACCCTGGGTCACTCGTTTATTGAAATGAAGTCATTTAAAGAATATAACAAATTTAACACCTGTGACATTGATTGGGTTAAGGTCAATCATTTGAACAAATTTAGTAACGTTTTATCCCAGCATACTATACTGGCCCACAGCACTTGTTCATGAGGCCAATATAGTGGTAACAAACAATTCAAGTTTACGCTTAAATTTCAGTAAGGTCCATCTGTAAACAAAACATCAAAGTGAACTTCTTGTCTTGATATGAATTTCAGGTCAGGAAAAAAAACAGTAACAAAGTTTCTGAGTGTGGCCACATCAGCTATTTTAAATGTGGCACAGCCACAATTTTGCTTGGGACTCTCTGTGGCACAGCCACAATGTCACTTGGGGCTATCTGTGGACCTTACACAATTCCATAGTGGAAGTATCGCCTTGATATGATTGTACACCTCACTAGTTAAGGTCCACTATCTGAAATTTTAGAGGATTTGTGATATTGAGAAATCGACTAAAGAAGGAAGGATGGATCCTGATTACAGACAATGCTTCATGAAATACAAAGGTAGCTTTCTGGTCTTCGACCAGCTAAGTGTAGAGCCTCAAATTTCATACCAAAGAGTTGAATATTTACTTGGATATTATGCTCAAACGAATACAGTAGTACAAAGATACCTATTTAGGCTGTTACTAAGAAGACTTATTTACACATTTATAACATGTGTATATTACAAGGTAGAGAAGCAGTGTTGATATCAGCTGGACTTCTATCATCTTTCTTTTTTTTCTTTTGTTAAATTGTATGAATTCCATAATGGATTTTAGTCCTTAAAGATGGCCTGCTGGTAAGATTTTACAATTCGCTGGACGGTATGGATTTTTCTCTTGTACGACATATTGATTTTCAATGATATAAGAATTAAATAAATTCCTTGTAGGGTAGAACAAACTAGGTGCCCCAGGAAATCTCCCAGCATGAGTTCTCCTCCAACTCCTGGCAAATCAATCCACCCAATTGATCGCTGATCCATTACACAGAATTGTTAGCACCAAATCGGAGTGTCTTGGATGACTATGAGTATTATAGTAGACCCCTATGAGACTATCTGGACCAAGGGGAGGCACAAGGCCCTGCCCACAGCCTGTATAGTAAATGGACAGTGGGACAGACAGTAGAGTGTGGACCAGGATGAAATACAGATTACTGATATCCAAGGGATAAACACATGACAGGACCTCTATACATGATGTCAATAATTATCCTGTTTGTGGGTACTCCTTGTCCAGCATCCTTCAGGAGGCCTGTTCTTCCTGTTGATTCACCTGACTGGTAGTTAACACTTTAAAATCTTAACTCCTAGGATATTGATGTTCCTACAATTTCCTACTTCCACCCTTGACTTTTTAAGCATCCATCAAAGACAGGTTTGTGAACTCATTCAAAATAAATGTCAGAAGTGTAAATGGACAATACTGCTATTCATTTTCAATATAACACACCAAGGCAGTAAAGAGAGTAAGGAAACACCATTGGTTATCTGGTGCTGGGGTACTTTATTGTTATGTCAATCTACTCACTACCTTGTACACCTGGTGGGCAGAAGGCTACAGACTCATAAATAAACGTTATTGGTAAATGGTCTATCACTCAGCTAGCCAAGAACTGTCAAGTTGAAATATCAATTGAAATGTTGTTTATAGAGATTTGGCAATAATTCAAACAAAAACAAAAACATAAATCAAAGTGTTCAGGACACACTTAGATGCTGCGTATTGAAATAAAGGAATACAGGAAGTGGCATATCGATATGGAATATGGCATATAATCTTAAATATGATCTTTAGTGATTGGTCACATTGATATATATACATGAAGGTTCAATACACATGGTCCTAAGATCTTAATATGATTATTTTGGAGGATGAGTATGGTTGGAAAGGTATTAATAACTGATCATGCCCAATTAAGTGTGCAGACTCTGAACTCTACACCTTTGGCAATGAAGTGCATGGTCATAGGCCAATGAAAGTGTAAAGTATTGAACTTGAATATTTTCTTGTGTTCATCGGGCAGGGTTGAGATTTCAACATCAATGATTAGTTATTGTAACAGACAACTGATCATTTATTTGCTTGTTAATTCAATTGACAGTTCTTTTTTTTATTATTTTAAAATGTTTTACACAACAGTGACCAATAACATTTCATCAGTTCATAGCTTGTTTAAGCACTGCATATCATTAGTTCTCAAATACAAAATGTATGTTTTAGATCAAAGAGTTCTACCGATACTGGAAGTTGTAGAAGTCAAGGGTACTGTTGGTCACTTTTCTGGCTTTGACAAGTGGGAATTACTCTTTAGGTAAATGGTAGGGTGTCTGGCTAGAAACCAAAGGGTCACTATTCCTTCAGCAGAATCATCAGTATCAGTGGAGGTACTGGTGAAAACTAGGAAGAAGAATTCTACCTATAAGCTTTTTTCAAACCCCTGTAGCTAGGAGTTGTGTTTTTTTTTTATTACTCCCTCCAATTACATCTGTTTATATGAATTATATGTATCAAAATCCAAAATCCAAGATTTAAACCTTTTCATTCAGTCAAAATATAAATCAATTGCATCTGTAATTTCCAGCTGCAGTCAACAATAACTACACAATAGGTTTCATTTCAATGGAGAAAGAGATGATAAATCCTTGCTCACAATTTTATACAAGTAAAATTATCACATGGATGTAAAGAATACCAGTATACTCGATTTACACGACTGATATAACATGATAATATGAAAAATAGGCCTATTAGCTGCTCAAGCATTTAAACATGTTCTTCACAATATGCTGCAAAGTCATAATTAGGCGTATATGCTTATGACAGAACATTTAATAAGAACTGTTGCCGATATTGAAATAATTACTAATCTTTATTAGCACAAATTGGATGATGTAATCTAACGACTGCTTTGTTCACATCTACGTAGTTTGCTGACTGCAATTTATTGCTTTAAGCAATATAGCTTTCACACTCTTGATCATTTTCTCGTCCTTATGAACTGAGTTTAAGCTTACTGCCAGAATTTGTTATGAAAAGCTAACTACACTTCTCAGTGTTATTTCATATGAAAGATTTCATAAACTTTTCAATTAATTAATTGTTTTTATATAATTTTCAAAAGTGAAAAAAAGTATTTTAAATGTCTATTTGATAAATTATGTGAGAAACATGATCTCGTAGACATTGTGTCCCATGGGCTTAGATATCGATAGAAAGTCTATGGTGGTACTGAAAATCAAACTAAATTACAAACTTCCTGTATTAGAATTATGTCGGAAATCATTTACCCTTTCAGATATGTCTGATCATCTTTGCAACATTGATATCTTCCATAGAGTAGTTGAAAATATTTAAACATCTTTTTTGTTACGTCATGGAATTAAGCACCTTTCGCAAAATATCTAGCATATAAGAAACTTCAAAATATGGATGAAGGGAGAGAAATTGAACAGTGTAGATGATGTAATTTTTCTTCCAAACAGAGAAGAAGCATAGTAATATCTGTAAGAAATAGTTTCAAGTTGTCATTAAAACACAACATTTTATATACATGTATTTATAAAATAACAACATCAACTACTTCAGGAACTAATTTCAAAACACATTTAATATCCTTTCTGTGGAGGTATATGAGTGTTGTTGGGTTTTTTTTCTGGTGTAAAATTTGGTCGAGGCTATAAATTGCATTCAGCTAGCCAGCAGCTTATCCCAGTGATGGCTATAGACACCGAGCATCCTATAGATGTGTCTAAAAAACCTATCTTTAACATTCTGTAATAACATACATTTTAGAGTGAATGTTCATTTTCAAATATGTTACTTTTTTATAAGTTTTATCACTGGAGCTGCGACAGCATATTTCACAAAGCAATTTTAATTTGCTGAAAGTGTAATGCTGTTATGATTTATTGGGCGATTTGCTGTATACCTAGCACCAGTGTTACATCTTATGTGTGATCAAATATCATCCAAGTTCCTTCTTCCTATCAGAACTGACTTTTGCAGGGCCACATCAAACAGACAGGAAGACAGCAATGAGAATCATTTTTACACACAAGTACCAAAAAATGACTTCCTTGACAATAGATCAGCAAAATTAAATTAAACTCTGTAAAAATATACAGATGGTAGATGGTGCAGTGATAATTCAGTCTTGATGTGAAAAATCATGAGGTCACCTACCTGACCACATAGATTTTCATCGGGTACTCTGGTTTCCCCGACAATTTCTCAAATTCGCTTCAACCCAGGCCAACAAAAGTGATTAAAATGTGTTGGAATAACTGGCCACTTTGCAACTGTTGTGTAATAAATAAAGTTTATAGTTTAATATGAACTTGATACAATATGTGTGTCTATACATAATAAATAGATTCCTTCCTATTGCTGTATGTCAGATGACCTATAGACACCAGCTTTAATTGATATGAATTTATCCCACGTTGTCATCAGGCCGAGAATTATTACTTACATAAGATTTATGTACCTTGAAATGAAAACATGAGGTAATGATGTATGTGTATTACACACACCAAGTTATAAATATGACTTGTGCACATCACAACACATGTTTAAAAGATTCATGCACAGATCTTAATATACCACAATAAATGTTTTAACATCACAAATAGATTTCTTTTTTTTTTTATCTGCCAAATATCCAAATTAGTCAGTTTACCTGTTGCTTCATGGTTTGAATGCATGATAAGTGGTATTTAATGATGTTGCCTGAAGAAAGTGGTAGTATCGCCTTACGATGATAGAGTGTATTGCTGACAGGCACTGTCACTTATACAAAGTGACCTGTTTCACACTACCCC